TCTATTTTCGTCCGTCCCAAAACAAGGTTACCATTTTCTAATTTAGTAATTGTACTACCTATTTAATATAATAAATATCCTTTCAATTTACAATATATTACACAAATGCCATTACTTTTATATTACACGATACTAATAGGGGTATTTTTGTCTTTTTTATTACAGTTCAATATAATACTAATATTAAAAAATTTATGTACAAAAAAAAAAAAAACACTACCCTTCTAATGAGACGGTGGGAGTAAAAAAATTTATAAAGACAATACATAAATTTTTTCGAATTTGGTTGTTGTTAGAGATAGTTCCTTATGACATACCAAATTTAATACCACACCGCATACGTACGGTATAAAATTTTTGATATGATATTTTACCGTACCATACAAATATTTTGGTATACCAAATTTGGAAATAAAAAATATTGAATTACGGAAATAACATGCATACTCGTAAAATATATATATATATCGAAAAAATTTCAAAGTTTAGATACAATATGACTTTTTTTGTATGATAACGTATTTTCAGTGTATGTAGATAATTAAAAAAATTGGTATATTTGTATATATTGATTATTTGATACAATATCGATTTCTTTTTTTAATAAATTAAAAATTTTGGTACGGTATACAATATATTTTGATATTTTTTATATATTATCTCAAACTATCTCAAACTGAATTGTATACACGGTATTAGAATATAATACTTTACCTCAAATACCGAAATTAAAAATAAGTTTATAATTTTGCTTTATAAATAAGTTCTATTTTTATTTTTTTGAACAAAGAAAAAAAAATCAAATCTCATTTTTAATTAATTTTCAGCCATAAATTTTCAAATCTAACATCAATTTTTTATTATATATTACATTAAAATTTAATTTTAAAATTAAATGAATATTTATTCATATAATATTAAATATTTATTATTTTTATTATTTAAAATTTTAGCCCACTTCTAAATTTACAATTAATAAATAATAAAACTAAAAATATTAGTAAATTAATAAAATATAGTTAAGTTTTTTTTTTAATTAGAAGTATTAGTTATTGATTATTACTATAATAGGAAAGTGGACTAATTTCGTGGGACGGCTAAAAAAAAAAATAGACTAATTTTGTGGGACGAATAAAGTACAATAATAAGGGGACACTTTTGAATAAGACATATGAAAATGATAAAACCAATGGGATGTACAGTTTTATTGAGAACCTAGAAGAGAAGAAGAAGAAATAAAGAAAGAAAGAAAGAAATTCAATTTGTGTTTGTTTGGGGAATTGGATTGGATTTACACTATTCATCCCATTTTTTCCCCCAATAAATATCAAATCAAACACCTATTTTTTATTTTTTATATTATACTAAAAATCAATTTTATATTCAAAACATCACATCAAAACCTATTTATATCACATCATACAACTATTCAAATTCTAACTCAAAATTCAAACCCCTACGGATACCAATTTTTTATACATCACAAAAAGATACTTAAATATTAACACTAAACAAGCAACTTTAAAATGAAATATTACTGGTAAGGAAAGTATTTATTTTATTTAATTAAATAGTAATTTAAATATGCTATTTCGCAAATAATAATAATAATAATAATGTATTTTTTATTTTATTTTTTAAAATTTTTTTTTAATCGAAATATCATAAAAATTATATAACACCAAACCCAAGTAAAGGACTAAAGGTTGATATTGTACTTGTCTATAACAAATCAACAAAAAACGTTGTTAGTTATTTCATAATACTATATTATTATAGAAATTTATATTACTTTTATGTTTATTTTCAAATATTTTAATAAGTTTAATAATACTAAATTTTTTATAAAAATAATAATAATTAAATAAATAACAATTATTTAGTTAAGGAAAATATTATCATTTAATTAAATTAAATAAATAATTTTACAAATTTCAAATGAATATTTAATAATATAAATTATGATTTACCTTATATATTTGAAATAAAAAATATAATATAACTAACATAATATAATATTAAAATAATGAACAATATCAATTAAAAAAATGTATAAAAATTTGAATGTGTTTAGAATTTTAATTATGATAATAGTAAACTATTTATTTATATATAAAATGAGCTAAAATTAATAATTGCGAATATATATGTTTAAAATATTTGATTTAAAAAACATACAATAATTTTTTTCTATAAATTATACAAAAATATTATTTATGTAACGTGAGTTTGTTTGATTTATTTAAAATATTAAATACTAATAGTTTTTATTTAAAAATAAAATAAAATACATACTTACAAATTATATATAAAAAAAAAACTCAATTTTTTTCTATAATAAAATGTAATATGAAAATAACATTATTATTTATATACATAATAACTTTTTAACATTTTCTTTTATTAATGATAACAAAATTGTAACTCTCTTACGGAAAAAAATGCAACTCTCTGATGTAAAAAAAGAGTAAATAGAATAAAATAAAATATACCTTAATATAAATTATAATCAACTGAGAATAAGAAATTAAATTACACTTAAATATTTCTATGTATAATAAAATAATTTTTATATATTACAAATAAATAATGAAATCAGTTTTTCTCAAACCACCGTCTCACTATCTAACAAAACTGTCATTTAAACCCCCTGTATCATTTATTTTGATAATTAAATAAAATTATTTAAAATAACATCCCACTATTTAAAATTATTTTGATTTACTATATAAATAATAGTCTCAAAAAAATAGTTTTGTTCGTCCCAAACAATAGTCTCATTTTTATAAATAATCATATCACTGTAAAACTATCTTACTTTTTCATTATTATTACACTATTGTCACTATTTTTTACACTAATACACTCACAAAGACAAAAAGGTCTTTTACCCGTACTTTTTATTCACTACTAACCTAATATCAATATTTCTTGTGCCAAACACAACTCTTATAGTTATGGAACAGAGGAAGTATATACATGATTAGGCAATATGGTGCTGACATCTTATAAAATTTAACTTGAAAATGTATAATTAGAAATATAGAGTATATGTTTACAAAATATAAATCCAACATATAAAATTATGTACTTTATTTGCCCACATGTAAAGTGAACTTATTTAATTTTTGCCCATAAACTAAGATAAATTAATATTTTATATATATAATCTAATAAAGTAATGTAATATCTATTTTATTCTTTAACATTAAAGTAAAAATGCTATGAAAAATAAAAAATAAAAATATTTTGATATTTAATTGAAAGTTACTTTTATTTAAAAAAAAAAATTTTTTTTTTTTTTTAATTAGACAAACTGGTATAATAGAAAATTTAATGGATAGAGTGAGTAGTTTGTTTTTTTAGTATTTGTGTATGTTTAATATTTATAAATATTTTTTATTTTTATTTAAAATTAAAATTTATCATTGTATGTTTATGTATTGTCATTGTCAAATATTATATTAAAATATTATTTAAAATAAAATTTCAATAAAAAATTAATACTCAAACCAAAACCAAACTCCTGTAGTTTTATATCTTTGTTGTACAGTAGTATAAAAATCTTCCTAACTTTATTTTTTAATTGCGATCTTTTTAAAATAATACTTGGCCCAATTCTAAGAGTTTCATTTACTTTTTACATGTTAATTTTTGAACGTTAGTTATTATACATAAAAGTAGTACAAATCAAAAGAAATGACAAAAATACTTCAATTAGTATTTTATAATACTATTATAACAACATTTGTTTAAAAAATTATACAAATATAAAAATATTTTTAATGTTAAGTACAATGATAAAAAAAAAAAGGTAAATCAGACTCTTACGGGACGAAGAGAGTAATCAAAACACAAAATACTTTTTACAAAATCAGTAAAAAAAAACCTCTTACCTTTCAAGTGAAGGAACAAAACTAGCTAATTTAAAGAGTGTTTAGTTGCAATATCTTTTTAAAAAGATAAATTTTAATTGAAGAAGTGATTGAACGTAATATTATATATATATATATATGTGTATTTTTATATCATTGTAAATGTAATAGAAATGAACCAAAAAATAAAATAAAATTCTGAACAAGCAATTCAAACTGTCCAAACTTCAATTTACACTTACAAATTTTGACAATATTTATCAATATCAATTTTTTTATTTTTTATTTAAAAAAAAGATCATCTCAAAACATATTTCTTCGTACCAAAGATCTAATTAAATACTATTTTTTTAAAAAAAAAAAATCAAAATACTGAAAACCTCATATTATGGATTGATCCGCAGCAACCCCTATCCCCTTGGATTAAAATTCTATAAATTTAAAACTAAAAGGCATGCTTTGTTTCGATTTCAAATCAAAATCATCACCACATTTATAAATAAAAATTCACTACTATATTCTCTCACACACAAATAAAAAAACTTCAATTTCAAACAATAACCATAACAAAAGGGATAAAGATGATTTAAAAATTGAATAAAACTTCCTCGTATTTTCAAAAATATTGGACATAATCTCCTGAAAAATAGATTTTATGCAATATTTTGAAAACATAAACTAGTCTCATGAGAAAAAATGGTACATACTTTCTAAACCATAAAGTAGATTATAAGTATTTCTGCCTTTACAAAATATAAAATCAAATCACTATTTACGCAAAAGCTAAAACAAGAAAACACAAACCAAACACATCTTGTGTAGTAAGCACGACCATATAATAATAGTCATTAATATGCCAAAAACAACACATCCACTTCCTAAGATCCGACTTCTAAAAAACATCAAATCAAATAATTATTTAAACAAAATCTAAAAAGTAAAACACAAACCAAACACATCCTAAATGCTTATAGTAAACATGACCTTAAAATAACCAAAAAAACCAAATATCACAATGTAGAGGAATATATCAAAGTCCAACTTAGGGATCCCTTAGATAATTACGACAAATAAAAAAGAAACTAATTAAATGCAAAGGCCCCAAACACCGACGAAGATAAAAAGTAGAGAAAGCAAATAGATTTAATCAAAGTAACTCTTCAAAATAAGAAGGTAGGTTCAGGAAAGCAAACAAACATACCAGGGGTGGGTGGGTGGGTGGGCGGGTGGTTCGACCATGACGGAGGACCAAATGGCTTTGTCCATACCTAGTTTCAGGAAAAAATATACAAGACTAGACGAGCAGCTTCATCTACCTAGTAGAATCATCAAAAAAGTTCGAGGGGAGACCTTTTGTGCAGGCAGCATTTACAGCGGGTGGTTTAGATGCTGCAGCTTTTGTGGCGCAGTTTGGCAGCAGAGGTGGTCTCCGGTTGGGTTTGATTCAAGCCAAGTATCTGAATAAGTTAGCATTGCTCGAGTCTCTTTCCAGATAGTCACGAGTGATCAAATCTTCGATTCTCTTCTTTATTGCCTTGATGTCAGGCTATGAAACACACAAGATAAATATTTCATCAGCAATAGCAGCATTTATACGTCACATCGCATTCAAAATTTTATACGTCACATTGCATTCAATTTTCTACAGAAGAACATTACAATAAATAACTATTTTACATTTAAAAAAATAAAAATCATCAAAATAAAACTCACACACACACACACACACAATCCCCAAGTAAACAAACAAAAATGATTCTAGTTCAGTATCAGGAATGGTAACATTTGGACGGTATTACAATACTAAGTTTCGGTTTTTTAATGCAATCCTGTAAATATTAGAAGATTCACATTTATTGAAATCTTTGATAAAAATTAACAAATTTGAATGAAAGCTGGACCTACCCTTATGCATGACTTCGGAATAATGCTACACATTTTCTTTTGTATCGGATTGTGATGTGAATGTCATGCATAAGGGTGGGGTCCAGCCTTGTCTTAAGATTAGTTTCGGTATTTTAGGATTTTATTTTGATTAGAATTTTCCTTTTAACGAATGCACAATTTGGATTCTATCCAAACTGATAAATTTCAATAATCCTATAATTATCGAACTCTTATCCAAACTATATATATAAACTATCAAGATTAGTTTCAGTAAAAACTTGGATTCTATTTTGATTAGAATTTTCCTTTTAACAGAAGTACAATTCGGATTCTATCCAAACTGATAAAAACTTCAATAATCCTAATATTATTGACCTAAGTAAACTATTAAGATTAGTTTCGGTATTTTGGGATTCTATTTTGATCAGGATTTTCCTTTAAACAAATGTACATTTAGGATTCTATTTCATGAGCATTCAGACTGATAAAAACTTCAATAATCCAATAATTTTCGAACTCTTATCTAAACTATTTTGTGTAAACTATAGTTTTAGGATTCTCCTCGGGATAGAGCATATATATTTATTTCGCCATTTTGTTAGGCTCTGTTTGTATGTGTTTTAAACTCAAACTTTACTAGTCACTAATCTCTCCCACCTAAAAGTATCACATCAAACTCCTATTATTTAATGTTTTATGTTACACACAAAAAAATATATATATATATATATTTAAAACATCACATAACACCTATTTATATCACATCAAACTCTTATTGTTCAATTTTTTATATTACACACACACACAAAATTATATTTAAAAATCACATAACACCTATTTATATCACAACAAATAACTATTCAAATTCAAAACCTCCAAACAAACACACCCTTAAAATTATAGTTGATTTGTTTTCCATTTGGTGCTTCTTTCTTTCTTCCTTATTTTTTTAAAAAGAGGGTGGGGGAAATAGCGTGTGTGTGCGTGCTTTTTTTTTTTTAAGTTTGTTTTCTTTGTTTCTTGATTGAATAGTGATTTGAATATGATGTTTTGTGAGAGAATATAGTATCTTTTTAATGGGAAAGCGCAAAGTTGCATAGTAAAAAAAATGAAACCAAATTCTAAAAGAATAGAACCTATATCTGGAATGCAGTAGTGTTTCTGGCCAAAGCCTTGAGCTTGGCAAAATTGGTTCAAACAGATTTTTTTGGTGCCTTGTTTACTACATGGGATTATTTAATCTTCAAATGAACAAAAGATGATTAAGGGTGCGTTCTATTTGTGAAAAACACATTTCACTAAAAACACATTTCCAAAAAAAAAAAACAGTAGATTACATACTCATTATTTTTATATTATCTACACAATGTCATATACCTTACATAAAAAAAAAATCTCTTCAAGCCATTTCACTAAACAAACAAACCCTAAATCGCCCCCATATATTAAACATAGACAAAACATGGAAATATTACTCAATTAGGTTGTGTAGAACTTTTAAGTTTATATAATCATTATAGGTAAACATAGCCTTAGAAATGTTAAGACTCTATTGTACACATCTTGTAAGTATTAATATATCAGATTTGGACTGACAACGGGGGTAGTGATTAAATAGTTTTATCATTCAATCATCGAATTTATACATAATTTAAGAAAGATATATATATAATGTAATATATAAACTAACTTTCCCTATTCATTAAGCACAAAACACATTCCCAAAAGACACATGTTTGATAAACTAATCATTTAATAGAAAATAATGTAAAATACTTTAAAAACACTGCAAATATATATTGTACCTTAAACATTTTTCCAAGTTGATCAGCGCACTCCATGACCAAATGTTGATAGAGCAAGGTCTTCCTGCTCTTCATGATACGCACAATTGAGGCATCAATCGCATAGCGTCTATCCTTGTCAACATCTTCAATGACCTTCTTCTTCTCATCCACAGGAGGGAGAGGTATCTTTGTTCCAATGAGAGAGCAGGGAAAATAAAGTTAAAAAAAAAAAAAAATTCAGTTATGCAATATAAAGCATCAGACATTATCAGACGGTGTTGGGGTGGGAACCAAGTACCTTGATTCTCCTCATTTTGTCAGTGAATTTTGAATTAAATTCAAAAACATCATTTGGGGAAACTGACTTGGTGCTCGGCTCCTTGTTCAGAATCTTATATTTGGCACATGAAAGGGAATGAAGCAACCTGGAGACATCATCATCGGATAGATTCAATTGCGTCATGATTTCTTGATAACTATATTTGTCGGAGTTATTGAACAGCAATAGGGCAGCAGCCTGAAAAAATAAGCAATAAAATTTCCATCAGATGACAGAAAGAAAGCATAAATGAATAAAGTATTTTATCTAGCAGTAAAACCTGATAGGTAGTCACAATAAGTTCTATGGTCTTTGCTTCGAATTTTCCATTAATGTTGCAAGTACCCAATGAATAAATCCAAGTGAGTTTCCTGTGCTTTGTTTTTGTCTGGTAGAAATCTCTGAAAACTTCGACGCACTTGACCTAGAAAAATAACTCAAAAGTAATGACAATAAGCAATAAGTGACAAAGTGGGTTCTGCTACATAAGGATTCTTGTCTATGGCTAAGGCGGGTTTCAGGTAACCAATACAAACTAAAATGGTCATAAATCAGTCAAATACTAACAAAATAATCAGTTTGGGCATCTGGTAGTGGAAGCATACATAACTACCTGATAGGGAACATGTTTCAGTAATTAAAAAACATACGTAATTATAATTTTTTGCATTTCTAAATGTTCATTTTAAAACTATTATAGATACATTGATTAGTAAGAACCTGAATGTAAATTTAATGTACTATATGTTTATATATTATTAATAGTAACTTATTCGCAATTTTTTCAGGTTTGATAGCAAATTATGTAACCTAAACCCAAAAAGCATAACCCAATCCCCCCGCTTAGTATAACTGTGTAAATTTTACCATCTCGGCTGGAAGGTTAAGGTCAAAGGACTTGTAACTAGGCCAGAAACCAGTAGTGAGTACGGTAACTGTCAAGTCAATCCCAGGGTTTTCCGTCGAAGAGTGGCTGAGATATTCCTCAAAGTTGGCTTGATTTTCCCTGGCTAATGTGAGATCTGTGACCTGAAATGGTTAAAATATATTTAAAAGAAATACATCATATTGTGATGAAGAATTTACAGATTCAGAATCTCAGATTATGTCATATTATAATAACAGACCATGCCCTCCATTTTTGAAGTAAATTGACCGCCGCATTGCTGCTTCAACTTTGTTAGAATGCTTCTCTCGTGCTCATCATTAGCACTTTTGTCAAATAACAATCGCCGAGCAAGTTTTTTTCTGCAACACAGGTAAATCAAACAAAAACGTGATCAATCATTCTATGACTTCAATCATGCAATCCAACAGCGAATTTGGGAAAGTCACCTGTAGAATTCAGCAAATAAATCCTTATCGCCAATATAAGCAAGCAACTTTACCACCTGGAAGATATTTAGGGGAAGGTTGATGAAACCCATCAGGGCACTATGATAATAAACTATTAAACCAAACTTGAAACATGCATTAAGCAGACCTTTTCCAGTGTGTCCTCTATTGCATCATCGCTCAACTTTTCACTTCCACCCTTTTTAAGAAGGTTATCACAGAATGTAGCAAGAAGTTCTGCACTAGAACTTCCAGCGACACCCTTGTTACAGAAGACTTCGAAAGCCTCTTTAAGAGCCTGTAAATTGGAAGTGCATTATAGGAATAATATTGCATTGATATTGGAATAAGGACATGGAAGAAGAAAAGACAAAATTCCTAATTCTAACCTTGTGAAACAGTGTATGATTCTGGAAACAATTGTTTACATATGCCATGAATTTGTCATGGAGTTCAATTACTTTCCTGACAAATATCTGAACACCAAAGCAGAAACTAATTAGCAGCATAATAACAATTAACCACGAAAATCCAAAAAAACAAAAAGAAAGAAAACTTGCCTGTTCCTGTAATCCGACGACATCTCTCTTTTCTGCCTGCAAAAGTGATACAATAGCAAGTAGTTAATTACAACAAGAAGAAACATAAGAAGCTCATCAACGGCCAACTTGCAAATGAGGAATCTAAATAGTTTCTTCATATATAAAGACTAAATGACACTTAGACAAAAACATAATGATTCAAGTAGTCCTGCAAATGAAAAACTGCATCCACATGGATAACTATTCAACAACAAAAAGGATAATCTTCCTAATCAAAGAAACAAACAAAAGACATTTTCTTGAGAAACAAAGCAACCTTCTTGTTACTTGCAGCATCTTCAGCTTGTTTAACCAGCGCAGTACCTTCAGCCGTAACATGCTGCAGTTGGAGAAGAATTATGCATGAGCACACATATAACAGGTTGGTCAGTATAAGTATTATAAACTTCAGAATAGTACACAATTTACAGCACATAGGTAAGACCAAATCACTAACCTGCTTAAATATATTAGCCACAGGCTCCAGGCCTCGAGGAATTTTTGAAAAGAGTCTGAACATCCTAGACAAATCTTCCACCTGCCGCAAAGGTATAGCTTTAGAAATCAAAGACACAGAGTGAAATAAAACACCAAAAAATTTTGGAAGTAAAAATACCTTTTCATCCCTGAGTAAAGCATGGCAACCTGAGTGCTCCTTCTCAAGCAGTTGGCCAGCATATACAGATAATAGCTCGTTTTGCACTCTCTGCAGAAACAGAAAGGAATTATATAATATAAAACAACCAAAAAAAATATAACCCAACTGAGTACAAATATATATATATATATATTATACAATGATAGACCATTAGCTATATAGAAACACATCATAATGCACAGTATGGAATTAGGCAAATGACTAGTTTTGTCCCAAAGAACGAACAGACCTCAAGCAACTTTGTTTCGCTACTTGAATGTAGATAATGAGCAACCCTATCCTTTTCTCGTTTCAAGCACTCCTCAGCCTGGATTCCAAAAAAAAAAAATATTACAATGCAGGCAGAAAAGAACTTCAGGACTTTGATATGGAAACTTTAACTCATTAGCTTGGAAGTTATGTGTTTGCAAGTGTCACTGACCTTGGATCCAAAATTCGGAGTGGGCTTACAAAATGTAATAATAAAGGGAAACTTACTTTCAACATGTAGTCAGGACATGAATCATCTAGGATCCAATTGGAAGCCTTCCGAGAATAGTATGCAGCTGTGTCCTTCAACAAATAGGTTTCAAAGTCGTTCTCGTAATAATCCATCTGACCCATTCCAATTTCAACAAAAATATCCAACACATTCTTTAATAAAGCTCGATCTATCTGCTCCCCTTCACGCTCTTGATCAATCTAATCCATCATTTAATATATATATATATATATGAAAACCTCAACAGAGATGGTTAAGACATTGCTCATGGTATGGATAAACAACACAAACATACCAGAGAAATAACAGCATCCCTTACTCGGCCAGCTAACTCCTTGTACACCTGAAAAAATAATATGGTTATTAAAAAAATAACAGATAATGGAAATATAAACTAAAAAATAGAGCATGGGAGCAAGGAACTGGGATAAATTAGTAAGTCCACTTTACCAGTCACGTTTCCAAGTACTGTAAAAATTACCAGTTCTCGGAAGCATGTCAGCCCAACTTCTCTGAGTGCAGGAAGTGATCTTCTAGCTATGAAGTACCGATCAAGGTAATTAAAGAATCTTGAAAGCCATCGAACCATGATTTTATGATTCATCCACCTTTTCACAAGCTCTCTCAACAGGAACTCATCATGCTTCTCTCTCAGAGAAGGAAGCACCTGAACAACAAACAGGAATGTCAACAACAAATGAAAACCAGAAGCAAGAATGACCAGTATATCATTAGTCAGCACTTCCATATTTCAACCAAAATATTTGATCAGCACTTAAATACCATGCAGTGATAAATGCAAGTGATGCACGTTTCGGACAAGCTATCATAACCAAATGGAATGTTAACATCTACGGTAACAACCAGGAATTATAACTTCTGCAGCCAGAATTTTGATGGCTACTTCCTGATGCGTGCACAGAAAATGACGCAGCAAAATTCCCAAAATGTGTATATAACCTCTGGAGTGATCCTTTGTAACGCACCAACTAGTGTATGTTTCCATAATTAAAGAATTAAGCACCAAAAATAAAGTGTAAAATACATGTAAGCATTCACACAACAAATGCTTCATGTGTTCATACCGTTGTTGTAATGTACTCTTCAAAAGATTCCCGGTACTTGTCATATAATTGCTGGGAATAATCATAAGGAGGCTTTTGGGTACACATGTTATATATGGTCCTGCACATAAGGTAAAAGGAGAGTCAAGACCCGTTGAAGTGTTTGTAATAGCCGAGAGAAAGACAAATGAACACTATAACATATTAAAACAGTACGTATAGAGCATCATGTAGTCCTCTGAATTGAATTGTGGCTCAGGTAATCCTTCTAGAATGTTTTTCAATTTTGTGATTCCTTTTTGCATGAAATCCCATCCTTGATCTAAGTCAATAGCGTTCCGGTGGTTCATATTCATCTTCTCCACCAGCCAAGCCCAAGATCACAGAGCCACAACAGTTTAACTCAGTTCAAAAATAACACTGCCACACAAAAACTAAAAGTCAAAAGGATAGAAAGCGAAAAACATCAAAATCATGTAAGGTAATTACTCAATAGGAATTTCAAGAATTAGTTGCAGTATACAATACAAATTGTATAAAATTATGCCATTATGCCGCAAGGAGCTCAAATCTAACATCAGAATACCCATTAATACAACCAACCACAGAAAATGACAATGTTTGCAAACATGTGGATCACACGACTCTGCAACTATTAGGGCGGCGGCATATTACTTACATCAAAACTTCAATCTTATACTTTTCATGGAAATAAGAGGATTGATTGCGGCAACAAAATTTAAGAGAAGTACACATCCACTGACACCAAACTATCCCAACCAATACCCCCTCCCAGCCCCCCCCCCCCCCTCCAGGTAATCAGTTCATTTTAAATTCTCAACCCCATTGCCATTCCATAACCACAGGAGACAAAACTAAGTAGTAAAGAAGAATTTAATTATAAATCAGCTATTTCTACTTCTATCATCAAACAGCGTAATTAAACCTAAGCCAATTGTTCCGCACCAAGTCAGGTATTCACCACCAAAAAAAAAGGAAAAAATAATTAGAAAATCATAACCTCACAATCACAACAAAAGTGAAACCACATCAAATAACCTAATTAACCTAAGAACACGCGTCCAGGTATGACAATACGAACAAAAAATAAAACCCTAGCAGTCACCTACACCCACAACTACGCGTACAAAATATTCAAATCAGAGTTCATTAAATCGAGCACAGAAACAAATTCAAGGCATCCGAGCTGCAATCGTCGCTAAATCGGGATCCGCACTCAAATAAATTCCAACATTCAAAGCCGATCGTACAAAAACCATACACACCGCGAACATAAACATGTAAAATCACAAACACAAACACAATCAATGAAAAACGCATTCCATGGACGCGTGCTTGGGTTCTGCGACGGAGGAGATTACCGGAGAGGAGAGAGAAGCCTGGTTCAATGTCTTGTGAGAATCCCTCTCTATCGTCTTCTTATTTTTCACTTCCCCTTTTTACTTTTCCCAAAATAAAAATGAAGAAATATCAGCTTATTGCCCTATTTCTCGCTCGAGGTATATTTTATATACGCAATATTTCTGTTATACTGAACTGCTCCCTGTACTTTTGATAATTTCTATTATACCCCAAGTGTTTAAGTTATTACTTTATTGCCCTTCAAGTATGAATAAATCTCAGTTTGGAATGACGGTTTGTCGTTATATAGGGTGTGTTTCCTTAAAGAAGTTTTGATTTTTAGTTTTAATTTTGAATAGTTGATTTTTAGTTTTAATTTTGAATAGTAAAATTTTGAATTAAAATACTCTCTCAATCTCGTAACAAAGTATCCATTTATTTTCTGCATCATTGTATTTAATATTGAAAATATTTTTATATTTGTATAATTTTTTATATAAATGTCATTATATTAGTATTATAAGATACTAATAGAAATATTTTTGTTATTTTTTCTTTATTTGTAATACGATTTGATATAATAATTAATATTCAAATATCAACACACAAAAAGTAAATAGATACTTTATTATGCTACAGAGGGAGTAGTTGTTTGACGTGATACACATATGTATTGATGTGATGTTTTGAATATAAAATTAAATTTTAATATAATAAAATAAATAAAAATTGAATATTAAATTTGATGTTTGGAAGAAAAAATAAATTTAAAATAATAAAATCATCAATAAAATCTTACAAGTAAATAGAGTCATACTAATTTTAAAATAATATATATTCCATATAACTTTTATTATATTATTAAAACTATATGTGAGTATATTATTTATTAGAAGTTGCTGAAATATTTTATATTTAATATATTTTATTATAATATTTCAAGTTATTATTATATTCATTAGAATGTGATTACTATTTCAATTTTATCGTTGCTGTAATTATTTCGGTTATATTTCATTCTATGGTATATTTTAATAAAATTTATTAGTCACAAAAAGTAAAAGTATTATGGTATAATAGTATAATTATTTTAAAAAAAAAAATAGAAAAATGATACTTTAAAATGAAATATAAAATAGTAAAAATATACTCTGAATTATGATGAATAAAATATAATACTCCCACATAATTTGTCCTTTCATTTTTTGGAAAATTGATTATACACTTTAATCATATTTAAAAATTTAAAAATTAATTTTTTTAAATCTTAATTAAACTATTTTGTTATTTTAATCTTAATTTATAATTATTTTTACTAATACACTTCTTAATTATTTACTAATTATATTTTTCATAAATTCTCGTGTATCTACAGTAATGCGTCCATCTTATTTAGGACAGAGGGAATAAATTATATGTGTAGTTTGAATCACTATATACCTTAAAATAATAGTAAAATATTTTAAAATAATAATAATAACTACAAATACAATGTTTTTAAAAATAATAGGAATAATTAAATATTAAATTTTAGAAAATTGGCTAATCAACATAATTAATTTAACACTATTACTTTGATCATTAACTTTGTATCAAAGGCTAAATTTATACTTTTTGTATCATAACCTAAAGCCAACACATATATGAGTTAATATCAATTGTCATATTTATAGCACTAAATATAATTTTTTCTTTTTTCTATTGTTGAAATTCATATGGATAAAATATCATTTTATTTTGCACAACATATATTATATACCATTGAAATATATATAATATAAAACTCCTTCCGTCCCGAAACTATAGTCTTAGTTATGTTGGACATGAGATTTAAAAAATATTGATATTATATTGATAGTGAGTAAAAATTATAAGTAAAGACATTTTTTGCCCTTGTGAGTGTATTAGTGTAAAATGTAGTGACAATTGTGTAATAATAATAAAAGAGTAAGGATAGTTTTATAGTTGTTGATGCCGATTTTCAACAATAAAAAATAAAATCCGAAAATAGAGATTATCTTCGAATTTGATAAAATAAAATGACTGAGATTTAAGAATCCCTAGACACCGTACGATACATAAATAAAATAGAAAAAATAAATAAATACTACATATTGTAAAAGTAAAATGGTGATCCCAAAATAAATTTCACTGAATTTGATGTCGATTAAAGATGGTTTATTTAGGTTATGATCAGACCTATTTAAAACCTATGTCAACCGCCACACCAGGTCGTGTCTTCATATCCGCTCGCCGGTTGTAACTTCTCTCAACCGTCTTAGAACTGTTTTTCGTCCGACCGGCACAACTGCTGCTACGCCTCCTCTTGCCCGCCTTCCACTTGTCCGATCCGCTCGCCGGTTGTAACTTCCCTTAACCGTCTTAGAATTGCTTTTCGTCCGACTGGCACACCTGCTGCTACGTCTCCTCTTGTCCGTCTTCCACTTGTCTGATCTCTTTGTCTGCCATCTCATCTTTCTTCGTCCGACCTCCTTTTGACCGACCTCCGTATTGGTCGTCTCATCTTTCTTCTCCCGACTTCTTTTTGTCAGACCTCCATGTCTGTCATCTTATCTTTCTTCCCCCGACTTCCTTTTGTCCGACCTCCGTATCGGTCGTCTCATCTTTCTTCGTCCGACTTCCTTTTGCCCGACTTCCGTATCGGCCTTCATCTTTCTTCGTCCGTCTTCCTTTTGTCTAACCTCTGTATTCACCGATATCCTAATCACAGATTTCTCCCGAAAAAAATCCATTTTTTAATAACACTTGAGTCGTTTGGCTTATATTCAGACCTATTTAGGATCTCACTGCCATTAACAGACCCATTGAACTATATACCACAGCCCTAAGCCCATTCTCAAAAACCCTGCACATGGGTTTTTTCTTACCCAACAACAGTGATATGGTTATTTATGAAAATAAAACTATTGCTTTGGAACGGACAAAAATAATAAACAAGACTACTAATGTATTAGAACGAAGAGAGTATAATATAGGTAAATATTATGACTCCTTAGTTTTAAAAATAATGTAAAATATATGTGAATAGTAATTTTACTATGACTCACTTCTAGAAGTACTATTATATATATATAAGATATTATTGAATTTTAGAATTTTTATTTTAATAAATATAATTAATTTGACATTATCTTGCTTGTAAACTCAATATCACATTAAATTTACACTATTTTTTTTAAGTACTTAAATTTTAAATTATTGCAAATGAATGATTTTGTAATATTATGGTACCCTATTTTTTTTTCCTTTTAATATTATATAATAAGTATTTTATTTAAATTTATTAGTACAAATACATATATTTATTTATAAGCATTAATTTTATTAATTTTAATTTATATTGCTAATGATATTTTAAATAAGTTAACAATTTCAAAATTATTTGATTAGTGTGTTGGTTTTGTATTTTTTATTTTATGTATTTTTATATTGTAAATGAGAAAGAGCGTCGATACTATAAAAAATAATATTTTATATTGAATTATTGTATTTTTTAATGTACACGCTATATATTATATGGAGTATTTTGTATGAATATATATATGTATTATATTTTTTTAATATTAATAAAAAAAATCGTATCAACTTTTTTTTATTAAAGCACACCCAATTTAATAGAAAAATAAATAAAATTCATAAAAGAAATTGGATGTGTAAGTTTAATTTATCACAAAAATAAAACTTGTGGGATGACAATTATATTATTTAAAATATAAAAGATCTAAATCATTTGATTAATTTACAAAACAAATTGAATTTTGTATAAATAATGGATAATTGTACCAACCAAACATATACCAAATTTTAAATATAATAATTTTTATCATATATAAATCATATTGTAAAATTTTAATCTCACATAAAAAGTCTGTAAACAAAAAAACCCCACCATACATCTTTCAAATGTATCGTTTGTTTTGTTGTTGAAAGTATGATAAGACAAATATAATATGATAATTATGAATTTATTTATTTTTTATTAAAAATAATACAAGACAAAATATCATTTATAAATAAGTTTGGTATGACTTACCATTATATATTAACAGATCAAATAAAAAAGATAAAATTAAAATTTTTATAAAATTAATTTTCTGCAAAAATAATGTAAGACAAAATATAACAAATTTTTATAGAAAAAACCATTATAAAAAGCAAAAAATATAAATTTTAATCAAAATAATTAATTTAATATTATTTGAATCGATCCCGATATTAAATTATAATACTTTTTAACATAGTCTAAAGCTAGACATATACGAGTTAATATATATTGTCATATTTATAACAATATTATAGTTTGTGTTTTTTTAGAGCAAAGTAAAATAAAATACTCCATTAGTCCCACATAATTTGTCCCCATTTTTTATTTTTGTCCGTCCCACATAATTTTTCCTTTTTATTTTTGGAAATATAATTATGCACTTTAATCGCATTTTAAATTTTATAATTTTTTTAATTTTAATTAAACTATTTACTTATCTTAAATCTTAATCTATAATTATTTTTACTAAATAATAATTATTTTTATTAATACACATCTTAATTACTTAGTAATTATACTTTACCCAAATTCTAGTGTCTACAATAATACACTCATATTACATGAGACCGAAGGAGTAAAATATAACTTTAGAAATAATTATTAATATGATTTAGTTTTATTATTTGTACATCATTTTTTCACCCAAAGAAATAGTTAAATTCATTATTATTATTAATATTTATAGGACCAAAAAAATAGTTCAACCAATTGTTATTAATATGTATCCACTCACGTAATATTCTAACCAATAAAAAGTTAGAAAAATAGAAACTCCTTCAAATATATATATATATATATATTAATATGATAATTAATTTTTTATTATTTTTTTAGGCATTATTATTTTATAATTTTTAATAATTTTTTATAATACTTACTTTATTTTTTATATATTTTATTTTTACATTAATATATCATTATTTTTAGTCTTTGTGCATAAGCAAAATGATATTATAATTAACCGGACATAGAGAATAATATATTATACTCCCTCCGTCCCATAACAAAGTATCTATTTTTTCATTTTAGTCCGTCTCATAACAAAGTATTTTCCTTTTTTGGTAACTGTACTAGTATCTACCTAACATTACAAATACTTTTACAATTTATAATATATTACACAAATGTCATTACCTCTGTATCATACATACTAATAAAGTTATTTTAGTTATTTCTACTTTATTCCTACTATATCCCAATATAATACTAATATTTTTAAAACTACGTGCAAAAAATAAATGGATATTTAGTTCCGGGACGGAGAGAGTATTTTCTTACAAAATAACATATAAAATAGTATTTATATAAGGAACTATATTGCTAATATAAAAAATAATATTTTACATTGAATGATTAATTTTTAATAAAAAATATATATTATATTAATATGTGTATATATATTTTTAATAATATTTATAGAGAGTTGTTGATTAAGAACTGAATAATAATAATAATAATAATAATAATAATAATAATAAAATTCCTACAATCCATATACAAAGACACACCAAAGTAGAGCCCAATTATCCTTGTGCCCTAATATGGGCCGAAAGGCTTACTATTTAATCACGCATTTCGTTCGGCCCATATCCGGTTTAAAACGGGCCGGGTTAGCCACGCTTATAATACCACCGGTTCTTCTGATATTGCAAATTGTAATACGTACGATACGAAGCGACATTTCTAACTAACTTTTGAAAATAGGTCCCGTCGACGATCGCCATTCCGGCATAGATTTCCGGCGACAGAATTTCCAGAAGAAATCGCACATCCGAGTTCTCCGGTAGAGTTGATCGTATACATGAGAAGCGCTCGTGGCGGCAGAATCTGGAATTTCCCCAATTATTGTTATTATAGATATATATATACACAATTCCGATCGAGGATTCGGAACCGGAATGTTCGATAAGGTGATTTCCCCCTGCCGGAGCCGCCGCCTCCACCGGTATTTCCGCAACGGAAAGCTTACACTCCTCTGCCTCATCCTGACGGTGATTATGTTCCGAGCGTACCTCGGCGCAGGGAGATTCGGCACGCCGGAGAAGGATCTGAACGAGATCCGCCAGACGTTCGCGTACCTCCGCCGCCGCGCGGAGCCGCGGCGGATTCTCGAATCGGTGTCGACCGCTTCTCAATTTCACAGTAGAGTTTACAGATACGCCGATTTCGACGCGGCGAGAATCTTCAACGACGGCGACGGTGGCGGAGTTGGGGAATTGAAGCGGAATGAATCTGAGCCGTACAGATTAGGAGCGAGAATATCGGATTGGGATAATGAACGGCTGCGATGGCTTAGAAGGAATCCGAAATTCCCCAATTTTGTTGGGAGGCGAAAACCTAGGGTTCTATTGGTGACTGGTTCGTCCCCAAAACCATGTGAGAATCCAGTTGGGGATCATTACTTGTTGAAATCGTTAAAAAACAAGGTTGATTACTGCAGGCTTCATGGTTTGGAGATGTTCTACAATATGGCGTTGCTGGATGCAGAGATGTCTGGTTTTTGGGCGAAGCTGCCGTTGATCCGTAAGCTTCTGGTGTCGCACCCGGAGGTGGAACTGCTATGGTGGATGGATAGCGACGCCATGTTCACTGACATGGCCTTCGAGCTTCCATGGGAGAGGTATGGAGGATACATAACCCATTTTATTCAAAAGTTAACAATTGAATTTTTGCTTTATATTCCTTTAGTAAGCTTTCTATCAAATTTTTGTACTAAGTGTGTGTGTGTTTGTCCGTGGAATTGATTGGATTTACACTATTCATTCAATTTTTTTTCCCCAAAAACATCAAATCAAAACACCTATTTTTCAATTTTTTATATTATACTAAAAATCAATTTTACATTCAAAACATCACATCAACATCTATTTATATCACATCATACAACTATTCAAATTCAAAATTTTTACTATTCAAATCTCAACTCAAAATCCAAGTCCCAAAGGTGTGTTTGGTACAGAGAAGCAGAGAAATGGAAATTTCCATTTCTACTGTTTTTCTACTGTTTATTTGAATCAGAGAAATAGAAGTTGAGAAATAAATCATTTTCATTTTTCTATTTTCATTTCTCTCTTATATTCAGAGAAATAGGGAGAAATGACGTTCCACTACATATATTTTTATTTTTTATTTTTTTTTAATATTTAATTTTTATAATTATTCATATTATATTATTTCAGTTTTACAAAAATTATTTTTAATTTATCATTCAAGTATTTAATTTTTTACAAAAAATTTATATTAAAATATGATCTTACAAAACTTAGTATATAATTATAGTTTTTTATTTTAAAAAAAATCACCATAAATATTTTTTCATGATTCTCACTTGCTAAAACTCTCTTTTTTTATAGATTAATCATTTATTCTTGTCCGGTAAATTCATTTTTTTTTATATTTCTTAACTGAATTCTCAATTGTACCAAACAAGAGAATTAATCATCAATTCCCTTTTCCTCCAATTCTATTCTCTACTCTAATTTCTCTGCAATTTCATTCTCTGTATCAAACGTCCAACGCCCGATTAGTAGATTATAAATAAAGTAATGTATAACATTAAAATATAGAAATATTTTAGTATTTAATTGAAAAATATAAAAAAATTATTATTATTATTATTATTATTATTTTTCACTTTAACATATAAAATAGTTAAATAAGAAGTTTAGGTAGTATTTGTTATAGAAGTTCTTTTTGTACTTAAGGGGTATTTAGTACGGAGCAATACTTTGGTTGAGGCGATAATTCATAATTAAAAAATTAATAATTTTTTATTCTTTAATTTTATTTCTCTTCTATATATCAGATAAAAAAATAAAATTGAGATAGTGTAATTTGTTTATATGTTTCATTTTTACATTTAAATTTAATTTTTGTTTATTTGCTGTATTTTTATTTTTTATGATTTTTTTATTATTTAAATCTTATAAAATATCATATTTAAACTATTATCAAAATAAATTCTCAAAATAAAAATATAATTAAAAAATACAATAATTTTATTTTGGGTCTAATTTATCATTTTTTTTAGTGATCCATTTATTTTTTTCAACTAGAACTACAATGCATCATTATATACATATATATTTTTTTAATATTTCTTAATTTAATTTTCTATTTTATCAAACAAAAATTCTTATTTTCTATTGAATTCCATCAAACAAAGGGTTTTGATGGGTATAATTTGAAATTGATTTAAAATAAAATATTAATTTTTAATTTTTATTTAAATAATATTTTAGAAGAAATAGTTTTTGTTGAAAAAATATTTATTTGAAATTTTCACTACACACCTCCGAATTGTTGTTTAAAAAAATAATTTACTCTCCATATAGAATGAATTTTTTATTTTTATTACTTTTTAATTTTAAATAATTTTAAAAATAATAAGAATTGAATATTTAAATGTTTTCAGTGATATGTATTTTTTTTACTATTTTTGTTTGTTCGGTATTATTCTCATAACTATTTATGACTATATCACGATAAAATTATTCATATTTTATTATTATTATTATTATTATTATTAAAATATATATTACATTTTACATTTAATTTAAACAAAATTTTAAAGAATAAAATAATATATACCAACTATTAATATAATATTAATATATTTAAAAAATCTTGTTGACTGACAATGTGGTCATAAGTTCAAGCCCCAACATCTACAGGTCATCTGTTAAGTATAATTCATCTGGTATTACTTGTCTTGTTGGACCTACTTTACACTATTGTTATGTACTATCATGTGATATGTATTGAAATTAATAATGATTGATATGTGTTCATATAAGATCTTGCTATCGCGTGTTATCAGTTTATATATTTATTTATACTCTCTTTGTCCCATATCTATATATCAATTTGCTTTTTGCATGAAGTTTTAGAAATATTAGTACTCCCTCCGTTCCATGTATTATGGGCCTATTACTGTAAATACGAGAATTTAGGTAAAGTGTGATTAGTAAGTAATTAAGAAGTGTATTAGTAAAAATAATTGTCGTATAATAAAAATAATTGTGGATTAAGATTAAGATAACTAAATAGTTTAATTAAGATTTAAAAATTATAAAATTTAAAATTTAAAATGAGATTAAAGTGTATAATTATATTTCCAAAAAAAGAATGGACAAATTATGTGGGACGGACGAAAATAGAAAATATGGACAAATTATGTAGGACGGAGGGAGTATTATATTTGAATAAAGTAGAAATAAAGGTAAAAAGAGTAAATTAACCATATTTGTATGGTATGATATAAAGGTAATCACATTTGTGTAATATATTATAAATTGAAATAGTATTTGTAATATTAAGTAGATAGTACAATTACTAAAAAAAGAAATTGATACTTTGTTATGGGACAGACCAAAATAAAAAAATAGATAAATTATTAAGGGACGGATGGAGTATTATGTTAATATAAATATATGCTAGTATTTGTTTTATTACATAATTTGTGTCTATATTTCATGTACCATTCAATTTTTATCATCCTATCTTCTTGTTGGATTACTTGCAATACATACTTAAATACATATGAATAACCTATATGAAGTTAAGACAACATTTTCATTTCCCAAATTAACAATAGGTACAAGAACCATAACCTCATACTCCATGGATGGGATCACAAGGTGTACGGCGAAAAGCACTGGGTCGGTTTAAACACCGGCAGTTTCTTACTACGTAACTGCCAATGGTCGTTAGATCTTCTCGACGTCTGGGCTCCAATGGGCCCAGTAGGAAAAGCCCGGGAGGAAGCCGGGGAGGTCCTAACAAGGGAGCTAAAAGACCGGCCAGTTTTCGAAGCGGACGACCAATCAGCAATGGTGTACATATTAGCTACGCAACGAGAAAAATGGAAGGACAAGGTTTATCTAGAGAACGCGTTTTATCTACACGGATATTGGGGCATTCTCGTCGACCGGTACGAGGAAATGATCGATAGCTACCACCCGGGGCTCGGGGACCAAAGGTGGCCATTGGTGACGCACTTTGTCGGGTGCAAGCCTTGCGGCGAGTTCGGGGACTACTCGGTGGAACGGTGCTTGAAGCAAATGAACCGCGCGTACAACTTCGGCGACAATCAAATCTTGCAAATGTACGGGTTCGGACACAAGACATTGGCGAGTCGAAGAGTGGTGCGGATTCGGAATGATTCCGGTAAGCCTTTAGAGGTTGAAGATGAGTTTGGGCTGCTTCATCCTCCATTTAAGTCTGTTAAGCTTAACTCTTACTAACTGTGTGTATATATATGTGTGTATATATATATATATATATATATATGAGATTGTTATCTGTAGATGTGAAGGAAGGATATGTAGGTGTGTTCTAAGTTTTGAATTCATTTTTGTATAGAAATGAAAATAATGTATACCAATAATTTATTTTGTTGTTGTTTTTTGGTGTTAGAAATTTTTATTTTTTACTATCTTCGTCCGGCTATAAGGTTCTTATTTATTTTTTGTGTACTGATCTTTGAATATTAATTATTATATCAAATCGTAGTACAAATAAAAAAAAATTGCAATAATATTTTCATTAGTGTCTTTTAATACTAATAAAAAACATTTGTAAAAAAAAATTATGCAAATATAAGAATATTTTTAATGTTAAATAGAATGACGCAAAAGATAAATGTACATATAATTTTGGTAGTTCCATAGAAATTTGAAAACAACTTTCACAAAGAATAAAACTAAATTAAACAAGCCGGGTTTGTTTGTCCAATAATTTTTTCAAATATATTTTTCAAATGTATATTTTATTATCTCACAATAGTCAATATTCAATATAAAAATATTTTTTTTATATTATTAACACAATTTTTTATATATCGGGTAAAAATATTCTTTAAATAAAATCACTAAACAAACAACCCCTTTGGTTTGCGCTTATTTTCCCATTGTGTTTTGTATTTAAATCTTTAATTTAAATAATTATTTGATATATGTTTTATAAGATAAAATAATATATACTTTCTTCGTTCCAAATCAAAAGGATTTTATAAAATTTTATAGTAAATTAAAAAATAATACTCTTATATTTTATTAATTAGTGGAAGTGTATAAATTTTTTTGATATTTTTGTCATTTGGCTTTATATATAAAATAATTGTATGTTTAATAATACATTTGAAATTTAAATAAAAATTAAGATATTTTTATTTAAGTATATGATTATTTTTTCTAAAATAGGAAGTGAATACTTGTGGAACAAATGCAAATAATAAAAATTGTATTTTGAAGTGAACATACGAAGTATTTGAATTAAATTTTAAACTCAAATCACTATTCAACATAACATTTTTCTCACAAAATATTATATTAAATACACTATGTAAATAAAAAATTTAAATTCAAATCAAAACCTAACAAATTCTACGTATATGAACATGGATCATTCCGGTCAAATCAAGTCAAATCAGCATGGTGAATAGATCAACATATGTTATGTGTATAAATATATATTGTCACATTTATAGCATAAGCTGATCCGATCAAATCAACACTATATTGACTTGGTCACCTATATATATATATATTATTTTTGTCCCATTTGGGAGTATACATTTACTTTTGATACAGAATTTAAGAAATAATATTGTACTATTTTAAATGTAGTGAGTAGTTCTAAACAATATAAAGATAATTTTATTATTATTATTTTTTTAAGTGTAAAAATAATGATATGATATTAAAATAGGAGCATTTGTTAAAAAAGTGAATTATTTTTTAAATAATTACCTTGTAATTGGACAATCCACAATAAAAATATGTATACTCTAAAAATGGGCCGAAAAATTATATTTTTAAAAATATTTTATTGGGCATATATTTATTTAAATTGTTACATAAACATTAATTTGAACTGGTAATTGAAGTAAAATCCCCAATTGCAAATTGAGGTAACATTTCTTAATATCCTTTTTTTACCCTCAATCCCACCGTTCCCATCCAATCTACGCTCCACACAATTGGCCGATTTTTGTTTGGTCCGAGAAGTTCAAATTCATCAAAACTTAATATCTATGAATAGTAAAAAAGTTAGAATTTGAATAGTTGTTTGATATGATATAAATAGATAATGATGTCACGTTTTGAATGTAAAATAAATTTGTAGTATAATATAAAAAAAATAATTATTTAATTTGGAGGGTGTTTGACAAAGAGATTTAACTTTTATCTTATTGAACAACTTTTAGCAGTTTTATTAGTTAAACAGTTAATTTAGGTGTTTGGTAAATTAGCTTTTTGAAATAGTTTTTTGGACCCGAAAATCTAATTTCTGAAAAGCTAACTTATCCAACATTTTGAAATAGCTTTTTCAGTTTAATTTTTTTTTTTATTTCTTATTTGCCCTTCAAAATTGATTATGTATTTTATATAAATAATATATTTTGATTATTCATTAATTATATTGGAATATTTTATTATATTATAATTTTACTTTTATAAATTTAAAATAAATAATTAATATATAAAAATTATTTTAATTGTAAAATATATAAATTTATTAAAATTAACACAAAATATAAAATATTTATATTAATAATTTATTTTTATATTAAAATTACATTGTATAAATTTTACATTAAAAATAAATTAAATTTATTGTAAAATATAAATATACTGAACTAATCGATAATTAACATAATAAATATATATACGAAAAAATTATTATTTTATATTTTACATTATTTTTAATAAAAAAACTATTTATATATATTTTTCAATAAAAATATATATTTTTTAAAATTTAACTATAATAAAAATAAATATTATTTTATAACACTTTTACAATTTTCAATAACTAATAATTCTTTTTTAAAAATATTATAAACTCAAAAGAACACAATTGTTTTACCAAACCTTTTAATACAAACATCTAATCGAATCAACTAACAACTATCATCTAATTGAATCAAATATCAGCTAATTTCTAAACACGCCATTGATATTTTTGGAGGAAAAAAAAAATCTGAATACTAAAAATCTGTTTTGAAAACCCACATAAAACATAACCATTGGGGTCATGGATGAAATTCTAAGGGTGTGAAGTGTGATTGGTACAAAGAATTGACAGTAGAGAAATATAAATGTTTTTATTTATCTTATTTGTTTGAGTTAGAGAAATGAAATACGAAAAATTGAAAGAAATGATGTTGCAGTATTTTTATTTTTATTTTTATTTTATTATTTTTGTAATTTTTAAAATTATATTAATTCAGTTTTACAAAAATCACATTTAATTTATTATTCAAATATTTAATTTTTAAAACTTTTTAAAAAATTATGATCTTATATAACATGGTACTCCCTCTGTCCCATATAATTTGTCTCTATTTTCTATTTTCATCCGTCCCATGTAACTTGTCATTTCTATTTTTGGAAATATAATTATGCACTTTAATCGCATTTTAAATTATAAATTTTATAATTTTTTTAATTTTAATTAAACCATTTACTTATTTTAATCTTAATCTATAATTATTTTTAATAAATAATAATTATTTTTACTAATATACTTCTTAATTAATTATATTTTACCTAAATTCTAGTATCTACACTAATACACCCATATTACATGGGACAGAGGAAATATATAATTTATAATTTTTTAAAAAATAAATCACAATAAATATTTTTTTATAAATTTTCTAAAACTTTATTTCGTCCCATTAACCATTTATTCTTATTCAATCTATTCCTATAATTGCATTTTATTACATTTCTCAATGTAATTTTATTTTCTATACCAAATTCCCGCTCAATTTTTTGGTACCGTTTGTTTTGTTATTGTACTCTAAATATTGAAAAGTCAACGCCTATTCCTCTTTAGGTGCTCCATAATTATTTGATAATTCTTTATTTTATTTTTTTTTTTCTGTTCCACATTAAATTTATTAATTTATTATGCGCAAAATTCATTTATTATTATTGTTTTTTTAATTAATAAATATTATAATTTATTTTTAAAATTCTTTATTAAAAATAATTCATAATAATGATAAATTGAACCATTTGATTAGAGACACGGTATTTAAGATAAAAATATTTAATTAGTTAATAATAATGAGTTATAAAATTATTATATTATATTTTTTATGTAATTGATAATATTTATAATTTTAAAGTTAAATATATATATATTTAAAAAATAAAAATATATATTTAAATATTTAAAAATTATATAACAATTAAAAAAATATATGCATCGTCAATAAAATTTTCTATAATACAAGTAAATAAGAAAATATTTTTGTTTGTTTATAATTAACATAAATCAATTTTATAAAAGATGTGTAGTTTTAAATATAGCTATTTTTTTTTAGGAGCTATAGAAATAAATGAGTTTTGAGTGGATATTATTTTATTAATTTATTATTTGTTAAATATGTTTTGATTTAATAATTTTTACTAAAAATATAGAAATATGTCAATTGTTACAGCACAAACATAAATGAAAATAGTGTCAATTGTGGTGAGTCGGATGAGTATTATATAAAATTTTAGGGAAAAAATCAATTTTAGTCCAAATATAACAAAAATTTATCAATTTTGGTCACAGTATAAAAAACTCATCAATTTTAGTCATATTATAAACAATTTCAATCAGTTTTGGTCCCATTATAAATAATTTCAATCAATTTTGGTCACACCGTTAAAAAATTAACGAAAATTGCTGACGTGGACATGACGGAAGTGATGTGGCGGCTGACTTGGAAACTATACGACCATGTACAATTATATACGACACATATTGTTACATGACCATGTATATTTCGGTGTATAATTATACATGGCCGTATATCTTTCTGTTTTGTCTAAAATTTTATTTTTTTGAATTTAGAAGAGTTGATATAGTTACAATGAAAAAAAAAAAAATCAATAATAATCATAATATAATTAAAATGTATCAATTTTAGTTCAAATATAAATATTTATCGAGTATGTTCTTTTGGAATATTTTGTTTAAAATTCTACTATTTACAAAAAAATAAAAATAAAATTCTCTTACAAACATCCAATTATTGTATTGAAATAATAAATTAATTTTTAATACTACTATAATATACAAAATTAAAAAAATAGTTGTATAATTGGATGTTTGTAAGAAGAAAATTGTTTATGAGTAATAGAATTTTAGACAAAAATATTTCAAAAGAATATATCTTATAAATTTTTATATTCGAATTAAAATTGATAAATTTTAATTATATTATGATTCCTATTTATTTTGTCCATTTTAACTGTATCAACTATTTTAAATTCAAAATATTTTTTTTTTTAAAAAATATAACAAAACAAATAAAAATGTAGACTAAAACAAAAATGTACACGGCCGTGTAAAATTATATATGGCTGTGTAACAATATGATAACGTATAATTATACACTGAAATATACATGATCATATTGTTAGATGACCGTGTAACAATATGATCATATATAATTATTCACTAAAATATAAATGGTCGTATAACAACATTCGTGTAGTTTCCCAGTCAGCTGCTATGTCACATCCGTTATTTACATGGAGGCAATTTTCGTTAAATTTTTAACTGTGGAACCAAAATTGTTTAAAATTATTTATAATAAAATCAAAATTAATAAATTTTTATTATATTAAAATAAAATTGATTTTTTCCCAAAATATTGTACGGTACCCATATTGTTTCCTTTTACATCACACGCGCACACAAAATAAAAAGCCTTTTACCTACCTCACAGTGCTGAGTGTGCTTTCAAAAGATTCTGCGAGTGGCCGACCGCTGTTTCCGGCGGTGGCATCGAATTAATCGAGGATCCGCGTCTGACGCCGCCCGATAACATGGGGAACTGTTTGGGGAGTTTGTTTCAATTTCTGAATGTGCGGAGACTTGGCGCATCCAGACGACTGAAGTTGTCGCCTAAACCCGCCGATTCGTCTTCCGAATGTCCGACGGCGGTTGTGACCGACGATTCCGATCGATGTGACGTCGCGGATGCTCTGAGAGTTGGAGAATCAGGTGATGTGTGGGAGGTGAGGATCGATTTGGGGGTGGTGGAGGAGTCCGATGATTTCACTAAGAGGAGGAGCAGTTTGGAGGCTGAGTATAATGATGATGAGTGTCGGCTTCTGTTGCATAAGGCTCAGAAAATTAAGCAGGTGAGCAACTGTTTGTTTGATTTCATATATTTTGGATTTTATTTTATTTTATTGTGAAATAGGTGAAAATCTGCAAAATCCCCCAGTCACTCTTCTGTTTTTCATTACAAAATGTTGGAAAGTTATTTCCAAAAAATACTCCCTCAGTGAAACATTTTTGTTTAGACAGGTGTTTTTGGAAGTTTGGAAAAAATAAAAAGTTAGAATTTGGAATCATGTTTTGCTAGAGAAAAAGTGTATTTGATATAATAGTTTTTAAAAAGTGAATAGCGTCAAATGGGTGTGAAAGTGTATTTTGTAAATATTTCAGCATGGAAAATGGAAAATTTAGGTGGGTAGTTTTATAGTAGAATAAATTGACATGTAAACGATGTAACTAGAGAGAAATGTATATTTATTTTTTTATTTGAGAAATGTAAAGTGATAAAATATAGTTAATTATTTGTATTTTGAAAATATTGGTGGGAATGTGGGACTGTGAGGATATATAATATAAATATATACACACGTACAAGTTAACAAAAATACACTAAAGTCAAGGAATCACAAATAAAAACATTGTTTGGTTGTGGTTTGAAATTGAAATCAGGTGTTAATTTGAATTTTTGTTTTACCGGTATTATTATTTTGATGTAATATATTGTAATAAAATTCCGAAGACGAACTAAATCTAAGAATGACTAATAACAATACAAGTGTGCAAACAACATAAGAAATAAATGAGGAAAGCCCATGAATGACTTAAGGGAATTTTATGTGGTAGATGGATTTATTACGAGTGTGTTTGTTTAGTGTTTTAATTTGAGGTTTTTATTTTTAATTTTTTATGTAAGGTATGGGGAATCGTTCTGGTAAAATAAAAAATAGTATTTTGGATTGAATATTAACTTTTTGTGAGAGAATATAACATATATTAGGAGTTGGAGTCACAATTGCTACTACATCAATATAATTATGCAAGACTTATTTTCATATAACTAACACTCATGTTTACTACCAATGGAAGACACTATGCCAATCAACTAACGTTATAGAGGCATAATTATAAACAAATTAAAAATATTGGATTACAACAAAAAATCTTAGCAATTATCTTAATTTGTGACAATATAATTGTTTTGCTACAAATATGTTTTGGTTAATTTGTAGGATGCGGTGGAGGAATGCTTTGCGCCACTTACTGCACAGGAAGAAGCTTTGGTTGCTCAGGCCTTATCCATTTCCAATAGGTATGATGTTTAACATTAGGGACAAAAATTGCAGTATGTTTGACTAGGAGTGTTCATTTCTATTGTAGTTTGTAATATGTACACTTTTAATTTAGTCCCACAATGTAATATTAGATGCAACAATCGGTGAAGCTTTAGAAATTTTAGAGTTTATTCACTTCTGTGTTTGTTTGTTTGTTTATTTATTTTTAAAGTTTTTGAGGTGAAATAGTTGTTGATTGTAATATTTTGAATGAAAAATGAGTATTTGATATGATATGTTATGACCAAAATTGACTACTAAAAAATAAGTAGAGAAAATATAAGTAAACTTAATCTTATCATCTTTTTGAGACAATTAATATTAATGGAAGAAACCTCTTAAGATATGTACATTACTTTTTTCGGTAAATTTCTCCATCGATTTTACCTGTCCCTGAAATTTACAGTACCAAAATTACTAATAGTTGGTGTTTACAGAACTTATTTTGGCAATATTGAGATGTTTAGCACTCAAGGTGTGATTGGGTATAGTAACCTAATTGTAGCCATAGGACTAAATCACTAAAATTAATTTTGTTATATTATGCAATGAAAATAGAATAGAGACTCCTTGTGGACCCTTAATAGGTGCAGAAATGCTTACTAAGTAATAATGCATTTTGTTTGTTCTCAATAGGGGAAAAGTGTTGGTGAGTCATAAGAATTCTGGCATTGATATTACTGGAAAAATATTTGAGTGTTTGAGAATAGGAGCTTGGCTTAATGATGAGGTGAATCTGTTTCTTTGTTAATATATATATATATATATTTTATTTCTTTTTTCTATTTTTATTTTAATTCTTGAATGATACCAGGACTTTTCTGGGTGTGAAGAAGCTGATTTGGGAAGCTTATGGTTTGAATTTTATATGATCATCCACACTTTCTTGCAGGTCATTAATTTATATTTCGAATTATTGAAGGAGAGAGAACAAAGAGAGCCTAGAAAGTTCTTGAAATGTCATTTCTTCAACACTTTCTTTTATAAGAAGGTTTGTTATCTTACACACTTCATTTGATATATTGAATATTCTCGTTCCCTGCATTTTATCAGCCAAAAAAGATAGAAGCTCAAGATATATATCTTTGGATGCATCAAATTCTCGTCATTTAGAGACAAAAATGGCTTGGTGCTTGATAGTAGATTGATTGCATACAAGGGATTTTGTGAACTATAACTATTTTGTTTATCAAATAACTTACATTAGTCATTTTACAGGCATGAAAACTTGCATAGCACCTGTTTTAATTTTCTTTTTTTAGCTTGTTGATTCGTTCATGTTCTGAAAATTATGGGTTTGTTTACTTGTGTTCTGGGATGCTTTTGGTATTTTGGGTTGCTTTGGACTTTAATTTCTGGAGTGTAAACTAGTGGTTGGACTAATTGTCAAAAATGATTGTTTAGGCAGCAAAACCTTTTTACTGTAAATTACATGGTTCGAAAAAGGATGTTGAAAACACAAGTGAAAGTGAACAGAGCAAATTTATGTCGATTCTAAGTTCTCTTGTATGTAATTTAAGCCTTCATAGCCTCAACATTACCGTTTTTTTTCTTTTTATTTTAATAATAATATTTTTGAAAGGCTTTGTTTGTCCATTTAGCCATTTTTTTTTTTACTTTTGTTCTTTCAAGTTGATCAGTGGTGGAGATGGCTACAACTTCCAAGCGGTTCGAAGATGGACGACACAAAGAAAGCTTGGATATCACCTTATGGATTGTGAGAAAGTAATTTTTCAGCCATATGACTTTCACTGAATATTCAATCACATTATGTCACTATCATATTCAACCACTTCCACAATTTATTTAACCTGTATTTCTTAATTTTTGTTGTCTTTTTAAAGATTTTTGTGCCCATCCACAAGGAACTGCATTGGTGCTTGGCCATCATCAACAAAAAGGATGAAAAGTTTCAGTATCTCGATTCACTCTACAAAGGAGTCGATAGTCAAGTGTTGCATGTACTGGTATGTTTGCTACTGGCTAAAGTGTTTTCTTTTATTAGAAAAAAGTGTAGAAAATTCAAAAATCCCTTTTTTCAGACTTTTATGTCTTATAAACTTACTGGTCAGAAGGGTGTGGAAAATGCTAATGTGTATTAAAAAGATTATAGATATATCACAACAGCCAATTATCGATGAAAAAATAGTAAAGGCATGTTTCCTTGTGTTTTGATGTTCTGGATTTTGAAATTTTTATTGTGGAATGGGTGCTCGATGTAATGTTTTGAATGGTAAATAAATGTTGAATGTGATAATTTTTGGAGAAAAACTGGAAAGCCCTATGAATAAAATAATTCGGAAAGGGTAATAAAGACAAATAAACACAGCCTAAGGAAAACTGTAAACATCACTTAAGTTTCCACAATATTAGGATATCAATGAGTGAAATAGAAGGGGTTGCTTTTGGCAGTTGCAAAAATATGGATAAAGACCACAGCGAAGCTGCTTAAATATACGTCCGTTTGTTTATAAGGAAAAATCACAGAAAAGGGGAATCATAGAGGGTTTGATTGCTTTTGGTTTGAATTTAAATTTTGATTTAAATAATATTTTGATATGATGTTTTGTAAGAAAAAATAGCTTATTTTTATTAGGAATTGTGCAGCTGAATAATAGTGATTTTGGTTTGAAACCAAAACCAAACAAACCCTATACATTACTGATTGGAACGAGTGGAAGGGTCGAGAACAATGTTAAAGGACACCTCTATTTTCTTGAGATTTCTTTTAGTATCATCAATCATCATGACAGAAACTAGATCACATCACTAATCTTATCTTAAAAGACATTAGAATTATTTCCATTAATAGTTAGTTTTATTTACTGTTAATATTTCTTTGCAAATGCAGGCAAGGTATTATGTTGATGAGGCAAAAGACAAAAGTGGAGTAGACATTGATGTTAGTTCATGGAAGAAAGAATGTGTTGTGAATCTTCCCCGGCAGGAAAACGGGTAGGTTTTTGAAAATTTTAATGTGGTTTTTCACCTATAGTGGTGACTGTTTCTGTGTAGCACGATAAGTGTTGATTTTCAAATTGATTATTGTTATACCATCCTATGCTTACCAAGAGAAGAATATCACGGGACAAGTAGAAAAAAAAAAAAAACTAGAGGTTGTGTTCCTTTGTGTTTTGGAGTGTTTTGATTTATTTGGGGAATAGTAAAAATTTCAGTTGACGTGAGATACATTTGAATTGAGTTGTGACGGGGAAATTTGATTTTTTATCTAGTGAGTACAGTATTTTCATCTTTATGTTTTTAATCTTTTGATATAGTTAATGAGCACCGGAAGTTTCCAAATTTTGTGAAATTGAGGATATGGACCCTAATTTGTGTGAAATATGAAACATATCAGATTTTACGTAGTAATTCGATACATCTCTTGTGGCTAAAAGTTCCACGCTGATGATTAAAATTTAATGTGTATTGTGACCTTTATTAAGCTCCCTGTCTGCCTTTTGGAATATCGAAAATTCAAAATGACAAATTGAAATGAATTTCCTGTATAGTTTACAATTCCTAAGTAGATTTTCTTTATAATGGTGAATTGTTTGATCAAACAGGTCTGACTGTGGCATGTTCATGATCAAGTACGTCGACTTCCATAGCAGAAACATCGGACTTTGTTTTGACCAGGTAACAAAAACATATGTGCCTCTGTCTCGTCTGTTGTACTACTTTTGTCATTGTTATATTAGTGATTCCATAGCTTGTCGAATTACAAGTTTTGGCTCTTAACACCATTCATATGTGTTCAAAAAAAAAACATGCTGAATATATCACTTCTATTATTGGTTAAAATGTGTATTATGGGACTATGTTTTAGAATAGATGCATGAAATATCTTGTGTAAAGTTTATTTTATAATTTACTATTTGTTAACAAAAAATAGGCAAGACTTATTTTTTTCTTTAAAATAATAATAAAATTTGTGTGCAAATATATGTGTTATATCAGCTTGACTAGGGTGCTGATTTAAATTAGTCAGTCTTATGCTGATAACATATAAAATATAGACCGTCAGTACATGCTTGAAATTATTATTATCTGTTGTCGGTTTATATTTTAAAGATGTGTTGTTTTTATATACTTAATGGGCCGAGTTCAATCATTATGTGCTATATGAATTATTGTCATGTAATATTGATTTATATTTTGAAGGTATGCTTTTTTATGTACTTACGTGCTAAGTTCAATTATAGGACAGGCTATAAGAACTTAAGAACTATTGTCATGTGATTTACTATCAGTTCGTATGTTACATTTGTATTATGGTAACAAATATTCTATGATGTTTATTTATACTTTTGTGCTGCCGGGTTATATTTCATGTGCTAACTAATATCCTATCAGCACCCTTTATGTAATAAACTTAATACAAAAAAGATGCAATTCACTCTTTTTTTTTTTTTTTTCTACTTTCCAATTCACAAAAATTTCCATAGTGACTCATGCAACATGCTTTTCATGCTGTTTATCTTGTCTGAAGGTTGGTTTTTCTCCTGACGCAGGGCGATATGCCGTATTTTAGGCAGAGGACGGCGAAGGAAATTTTGAATCTGAAAGCCGAGTGATAACCAAAGAGGTTTCTTCGATGGGTGTTTTCGGCATGGACGAGGATGGAGGGATGTTAATTTGTGTTTCAATTTTTACCTCATAAATATCATTCTTACAATATTGTAAACAGGACAAGCAGAATCGACCAGCAAAGAAACCTTCCTTAAAGATCCAGTATGTAAATTTAACTTTGTGGTAATTGATTACAAGTCCTGTTTTTTTAAGCCCATGATTTTTTTTAATTTTGATTTTTGATTTTTGATTTATTTATTTATTTTTATGGCATGGGAACCCGCAGTCAGTGCACCCGGCCGAATCTAATATTCTGCAAACTAGACTTGACGAACAAGTTACACTAAACGAACCATGTGTGCCAAGTAATCTGAGACGGAAGTTTCATATTTGGAAAAAGATCAAATGGAGAAAGACAAATCTAAAATTTTGTTGGGTGTATTAAGATGAAAGAGGAAGAAGAAAATGGAGGCACTTTTCTCCACATAGGAAACACAAATTAATTCACGGTTTTCAACTCTATAAGTTATAAATTATGTTAAAATTTAATTTTATATTTTATCTGATTTTTTATATGACTTATATTATAAATTAAATAATTTGATGATGAGAGTATTGATTTGATTGCAACGCTCAGAAAGAAAATGGGGATAAATATATTATGTTTTTTTAACCGATTAAGAATCGAATTATCTTCCTCATGCGAATAAAATATACTCTCACCCTCCGTCCCAAACACAAACACTCTGCAACATTCTTTTTTTGGTATATTCCAACACCTTCATCTAATTTTTAGATTATCCTACTTAATACTACCCATCTACAACAAAATTTTATTAAAAATATTGTGATATATATCAAGTCCGAGTGAAAATTACAAATATATGAGCACAACTCTTGTCAAATCCAAGTACAACCAAGTCCGATTCAAGTCTCACATTTAACAATATACATTTGGGTTGGATTCTCGAACAAACCTAACCACCCCACCCACCCTTCCTTGCCCCTTTACACTCAATAATTATACATACATTTTTGTATGTATGGTCTATATATACAAAAACGTACGTGCATAAAAAATATCGTATGGGGTAACATATCACTTTCTTATTTTTAAAATAATAATCATACACCAATATTAAAATATTCTTAATTTTTATTTAAATTACAAACATACCGTACATATACAATTACTTTATAAACAAAAAAATCAAATGACAAAAATGTTCAAATATCTTGCACGGCCCCTTTCAAGTCTAACAAGAAAGTATACGTATTTTTATTTTAAAACATCTCATTAAGTAACTATTTTATTAAATACCTTATTTTTTTTCCCACAAATATTCTTACTTTGCATCACATACTTTTATACCAAAAAGTAAAGCAAAAATATTATTACATTACTTTTACCTCCCCACTGTAATTAAAATACTATTATTTCGACGGAAGGAGTAATACACTTGTATTTTATTTATTAGATAACTTCTTTTGTGATAACATAAAGTTTGCATGTAATATTTTTCTTTCAACATGTTGCGAAGGCTAAAAATCAACCAATAATCTTGTATTGAATAGATATAAATATTTTGATAATTTTAATATAACCTATTCACAAAATAAAATACAATAAATGAACATGGTTTACTTATAATTCAATTTTGTGTTTTGGTTTCAAATAGTAATTCATAAATAATATCAGAAATATTATCTTTTTTTTCTAAAAAATAGTAAGAATTGAATAGTAAAAAAACAAACCAAACTCCAAGTACACCCAATAAGTATACTTGATAGCTACACACATAATACCGAACACAAAATAAGAATCGAACAAAGTCTAAAGGATGACCGATCTCGCTACACTTTCACACCACAAGGAGGATTCGAAAAGAAGAGGGCAATCGGAAACCAATATTCAATACTATGACCAAATTTCGATATTTTTTTTTATAATGTAGGAATCTTCAGCTGCTACCCTTTAGAGTAAACCCTAGTCGAATCTAATAATATGCAAACTAGGTTACACTAAGCAAATTATGTATGACAGACAAGACCTGGAGACGTCTGAATTTGAACCCATGATCTCACGGTCACAAGTCCATCCCCACACCACCGAACCTTCCGGGACAAATTCCGACAATTCTTTGCATGAACATACTATTGCTCGAGACTAGGGGCTTAGTTACTCCTCTATCCTAGAAGGTGACTGGAGAACTTCTATTTTATCCCTACAACATAATAATCAAATTGAAACTAATGTTTTATTTAGGGATCATGTCATTATATCTTTCACCCACCCAATTTATACAAGCCCGAGCATCTTTCTAATGCCTAAACAAAAGACAATGTGTCACTGGCTCGTTGCCCCTAAAGGCCGTACTTTAAAGCTACTCTTGTCCTCTTCACTGGCAGTAGTTGCAGTGCTAAATTTTATCCAACACCACATATAATAAACATTCAGCATATTCTATGCGTCCTAATTTAAAGTATCATTTTTACCATTTTCGTCCGTCCCACTTCAAAGTATCTATTTTTTATTTTTTTAAAAAAATAATCGTACGCCAATACTAAAATACTTTTAACTTTCATTTAAATTACAAACATACCATTATACATACAATTACTTTATATATAACTTCAAAGAGCAAAAATGTCAAAAAAATCTTACACACCTTCACTAACTAATAAAATACTATTATTATCTATTATAAAATCCCAAAAAGCCTCTATGGTTCGGGACAAAGAGAGGATTACATAATGACAAACAATTCACAGTTTATGTTAACATAATACAAATGCATTAGATAAACTGACAACATATGATATAGTCAACACAGTACATGCTATCATTGATTTTCATTACAATAAATATATTCATACAACATTTCTACAAGTATGAACTACCAACATATTTGTCAGCTTATATATATATATATTTATATATTGATCGGGGCAATTCAACACGGCGTAACCAACCCCCCTCTCTCCATCACTCGGATACACTTTGTAAACAAGGACAAAAATTACACGAAGCAATGACGATAAGTGAAAGCAAAGTAATAATGGTAGAATTAGTAATGACGAAAGGCGAGAATGATAGCAAAACAATTATTATATAACAACAAAAGGTGAGAATGATAACGGTACAGTTACGGCAGGTGGTCAGTTATCAGCAATCCGCATCCCTCCCCCCTCCCCACCCCACCCATTCTCTAGTTTTCGAATCAAGAAAGCCATTATTGGTTTCACACCTCCTACATGCATAGCAATAAATACAATAGTGTATCGATTATTTGTTGCATGATTACCAAAAAAAAAAAGATCATATCGATTAAAATGCATACCTGAATGAACAAGAATTCTTCTCATCTCAAAACAACCTTTAATTTGCCCTCCACCTCCTCTCGCACTTTCCACTGCATCGTCACAAATTCAACAAACTATTCAAAATATGCCACTAAGTGATTTTCGACAATGATAATAACCAATACTCTTTTCCGATAGTCCAATATTCATCTTCAGTTTCTATGCTTGTGAACGTTCTAGATGTATATGGCTATATGCCGGCAGTGCCAACAATGATTTAGTGATAAGTTTCATTGTGTTGGTGCCAATGTCTTCTCCCAAATCTATTGGATAAATTGATTGATATTACATACCCCTTCTATCAACCAAGTATATATATATATATATAGATTTTGGGGGTTGTCATAAAAAAATTCTCATATTTCTTTTTAGTAAATACTCCCTCCATCCTAATTCAAAGTATCATTTTTACCATTTTCTTTTGTCCTATTTCAAAGTATTATTTTCCTATTTTAGAAAAAGAAATCATACACTAATACCAAAATACACTTAACTTTTACTTAAATTACAAATATACCATTACACATATAATTATATTATACATAAAGTGGACAAAAATGTTAAGAACTCTTACACACTTCCATTAACTAATTAAATATTAAAAGGCCCCTTGGCCTCTTTGATTTGCGACAGAGGGAGTATCATATTACTTTTACTTTTTTTGTAAAAAAAGTACACACACTAAAATCTATGCCCAAAAGGTATTTGCACAAATTTAAATAATGGATGGAATAATTAAAAAAAAAAACCAAAAACTTATTGAGACAAATTGTGATCAGTACCTGTAAATCGTTTATCTCTTCGTCTGTGAGGGACCGCTCCATTGATCTATATGCAATCCTATAACAGTGACTCGTCATTCCTTTCTTGTTGGTAAAGTTGTCAATCAATTTCACCTACACATGCAAGCAAACAGAAAATAAAATAAATTCTCGTAGAAATTACTCGATTGTTGGACAAAATATTTATGATGTAGCTTCCTTACAAATAAAAACCAGGTAGGCACAAGTATACAATATATGAAATAAAATAGTCAGTGAAGATAGCACTGCACTATAATCAGGTAAATGTTATTGTACTAAATCTTACAACTTTGATTCCAACTACATTGTAATGAAAACAGCACATAGCATTCATTACCTCCTCCACAAGATCTCCAGCAATACCTCTGACAACTTCACATAGGTTGTTTTCAGTAAACGAATCGCTTATCCAAAAACTCATGTCCTTGTAACACGGAGGAAACTGCAAGAGTTTCACCCAATAAAATGTTAAAACATATGCTGGATTGAATCTTTGAGACTTAACTAAGTATAAATCAACATCATTAGTTTGTACCTTCGAAAATGGTTTAAACTTAACCCCCAGCTGACCTTCGGAAAACTGCACAAAAATAAGGAACATTTACAGTTAGTGAAGATTTTATAGAATATAATATATATATATATATAGACCACATAACAAGTTTTTTGGAAGAATAATATACTTGCGAAGTAAAACGCTCGTCCGTGGTCCAGAAAAGACGGATATCTGGAATATCAAATAAAACCATTGCTAGTCGCTCCAGCCCAAGCCCAAACGCCCACGCAACATTGTCTATCCTACCACTTCTTTTCAATATCTCTTGCTCCATCACTCCACACCCCAACACCTCCAACCATTCATCCTGAAAACATTTATTTCATCAAAATCTACCTAGGGTGTGACATATGGTCTTAGAGAAAGAAAAAATGGATATTAGTGGTGCTTAATATTTTTAATACATAAGAACAGCACCTTAAAAAAAATCTCCAATTCAAAAGAGGGATTGGTGAAAGGAAAATATGTGTCCACCCACCGCATTTCCACATCACCTGCGAATTTTCAAATATGAGGCTGCTCATATATCAACCTATACAGATCCTTGAACATAGAACCACACCAACTCTAGAATTTCAAGTACATTGCTTAGATCACATGAAAATAGCCATTTATTTGAATTTTTATAGTTAACAACAGGTGATTAAGTTTCCACGATTCAGATCCACAATGGATATGAGCATACATTTCTTAAAGTTGATCTTAACAAGTAGTATTATATCTTACAGTGACTGCTATACTATAGAAAGCATAAGTGTGGCATGTTATATTATGTGGAGCAAGTAATGGAGAAAGGAGGCAATGATTACTAACTTCGTTTTATTTGTGTTTTCAACACTGTTTTTGCAATATGCAATGGTGTTAAGAGTTTCTTCGCAACCAAAAACACCTAAATTATCTACAATACATTAAATCCAAATTTATACTACAAATTATTTTTACATTCTTCTATTATACTACAAATTTATTTTACATTCAACATCACATCAACCTTTATTTATATCACATCAAACAACTATTCAAATTTAACTTTTTACTATTCAAAAATCCAAACCCAAAAACTAAAACCAACAAACAAACAAACACACTTTCAGTGGTTGACAACTAGGGTTGGAACAGGGAATTTTCTATTTATCATATTCTTTTTTCTAGCATTTTCAATATTATTCATCCATGATATTATTTCACATATTGACTCAAGTCTAAGAATATCAAAGACTAAAAGAGCATAAGAATTAGGGTTTAGTTCAGAATGTATAGCATCAACAAGATGAAGTATGGATTTCAGTCTCCAAATATCTTCAGAGAATGTTAGGTTGTGTTTGGTTGAGGATTTTAGAAAATTTCACTACTTCACCAAAATTATTCCCCTAAAATTTCAAACCAAAAACATATTTTTGTATTTTTTAAAATTATAATAAAAATCAATTTTATATTTAAAACATCGTATCAGCACGTATTTATATCACATCATATAAACATTACAATTCAAAACTCAAACTCAAACTCAAACCCAAGATCCAAAACCTCCAACTGAACACACCCTTAAATTTAATCAAGTGTACCAAACAAATGGCATGCCAGTCCCTGGAGACAGTGCTTTAGATCTTTAGCAGCATATGCTGTTCCATCTATGCCGACTTCTTTCCAATCAGCTGGGTTAAAAACACGGACACCTTCCATCTATGTCATGTGGAAAACAATATTTAACAAAGCAACCATAATTAAATTTGCATGGATTAAAAGATTTCGATGACAGCAAACCTGATGGAATACAGGGTAGTGAGTTGAGTCGATAGAATCTCGGCGGTACACATCTCCAGCAACTAAGAAATGAGTATGTCCTTCCCTAAGCAGCTCAGCTTGATGAGCACTCGTATGACACCTCAGCACAGTTTGAGAATCCACATAATATGTGTCGTTGTAACTCCTGCTTACATGATCAGCAGGCACCAATACATCATCAAAATTCTGGAAAAATCACAATACAATACACCATTATCAGAGCTACTTCGAACAGCACTTTCAAATACATCATCAAAATTCTGGAAAAATCGCAATACACCGTTATCAGAGCTACATCGAACAGCGCTTTCAAATATGGAAAAATCACAATACACCATTATCAGAGCTACATTGAACAGCACTTTCAAATACATCATCAAAATTCTAGAATAATCATTATACACCATTATCAGCCACATCTAATAGAATTTTCAAAATCAGAGACTTCTAGTTAGAAAGAATGAGTTGAAATTGCCAAAACCAAACAAATCAGATGCAAAGTGTACATGTTTACCAAACGATACAAAATGTACTGCAACATTTACATAGAGAAGAAGAAAACCAGAATCTCATAAATGATACAAAATGTACTGCAACATTTACATAGAGAAGAAGAAAACCAGAATCTCATAAATGTGGAAAAGAAACATTAGAAACTCCAAATGCCAAAAGAATTGATGAACATACTGCTTTTACAGAAACTATCGGGCACAAGTTGTCGAACTTGACAAATCTGTTGGGGTAGTTAGTGTCGAAATATTCATAGATCGCATTCCTCAGTATACCAAGGGGATGCTCATCTCTCCTATGAAGTTGCATCCCAAGCTTTGAGAATATCGAATCTGGAACATTGTTCGTCGGGTCATCCTTCACTATTTCTGCAAATTCATCGTTCAATAAGGTCGTTTTGGTCGATATTTCACAATCAAAAGCAGTTATAGTGAAATACGACGTATTGTAATGAGGAACTCACCCTCTCTCGCAATCCGAACGCCTCCAAGCTCGACAACAGAGGCGGTCACCGGTCGTCCCCGCTTCTTAGGGGATTGGAGCTTATCGGCGGAGAAGTGCAGACAGGCTAGGCCTCTTCGACGAAGTAGTGAAAGAGCAGGCTTACAGAATATGGTGGAATTTGCAAGCGTAGTCGCCATGGATGGTCTGGTCTGCTCTGGTGGCTGTGGAGAGTGGAGACGATGCTCTGCAGATAACGAACGGTTTGTTTGTGGGCCGGGCTTTGGCCCAAAAATAACTTCAAGCCCAAATGGGGTTTTGTCACTAAACTCCGTGCATTGCAATTTAATTAACATAACATATTCTCTTACAATTTTTTATATATTTTTCAATCTCTTTTATCAAACAAAAAATCAATTTTATGCATTTTCATTAGCCATACCAAATTATTATTATATATTATTTTTTTTTATAAAATTAAAATAATATTAATAAAAATAGTATTTATTAATAATTTATATTTTAAATTTTATAAATTTTTATTATATAATTATATTTAATTTATATTATATTATACTTTTTTCGATATATTATGTCATTTTTTTCAATATTTTATTTTTTTAATATTTTATAAATAAAATAGATATTAAATTATTTTGACATAAATAATTTTTATATTTAGATAAATAATTTATGTAATTATTTTTAAAAATACTATTTTTTAATATTATAAATTACTTTAAATATAAATTAAAAAATATGTATTTGGTTGATTTATTCAAAAAAATTTACTATTCACAATTTTCTTTTTAAAAAAATATCAAATAAAACTCTCATTTTTTATTCCTATTTTTTAGAGTATTACATTAAAAAATAATTTTACATTAAAATTATCACATAAAATTTTAATATTCAAACTTTAACTGTGTATTTGTTTTGTAAAATTATTTTAAGAGATATTTTTATATGAGATATACAGTTTGTTTCGCATTTGTCAATGGAACAATTTCTCATAAATATTATTTTAAAATATAAATATACACACTGTAGACAAAAAAATTGTGTTATATTTTTATAAACACAAAATTCGGGTCCTTTTTTCTCCGGGTCGATTCATTTTTCCAATTTGGATTTGGGTGGCTTCTTTGATCCGAAGGAATTTTGGTCTTCGGATTGACTTCGCCGGCTTTTAGGAAACTTTGGTATCCGTGTTGGCGATTTTGATCGTCGACTTTGGATTGATGCCTCCTTTGGATGATCCGACGGAATTTGATCTTTGAGGGAGGGATTTGATGCTCCATAACACTTTTGGCGGCGTGTCCCTTTGACTTTTGGATCGAAGATGGCCTGGTTTGCGCCTTTTACGAAGAACGCGACGAACATCTTGAAGCTTTGGGAGCGACTTTGGAGGCTCTTTCTTTCCTCCGGTTCGGACATACGACGAAGAATGTTAACTCCATCGATTCGTCAACCAATATTGGATCATTTGTCCAAATCGGTGACTTTTTGACGAAGAACGCTTCAAAGAACACGAAGAACAATGAAAAACATTGCAGAGAGTCTAGAGAGACTACCCTTGCGCAAGTCTTCAAATGAACTTCGGTGTGTAAATGAATTGGCCAAGACTCCTATTTATAGGGGAGGGTGGCCTTGGCTTCCTTTTCGGATGGTGCCACGAGGATGAAAAGATTTTATAATCTTTTCTTTTTCATCGGATGCCGTTTTCCATTTTTTACGGATTTGATTATGCACCTTCTTTCTCGCCAAAATCTTTATATCATTAATATTAATTTATATATTTCCTTTATTGACAAGATCTTTATATCATTGCCTTGTTTGGAAGATATTAATTTATATACTTCATTTATTGACAAGATTAATTTATTTTGCTGCCAAATTTATTACGGCTCTATTTATGCACGTAATATTTGTACGATATGTTCCATTTTAAGCAGATTTTTGCATTAATGGTTATTATTTATTGTACAAAAATTAACATATTTGCATAATTAAATACCATATATTTATATTATTGGAATTTTATTTTCTTCCAAAATATATGATATCTAATTGATTTTAGACATATATTTTTAGTGTCTACACACATTAATATAATTTAATATATTATCAACTCATAAAATGTCAACTATTTAACACAACTTCTCACACATATAAAACAATCAATTCATCTAAAAATTGCAGTGAACAGACAGATATAAAATTGCGTAGATATTAGGAAAATAATGAGTGTGTAATCTATTAATGTTTTTGAAAATGTGTTATTCACTTTGCCTCTTAAATTCATATTTACTTTTTTTAATTTTATGTCATTGTACTTAACATTAAAAATATTTTTATATTTGTATAATTTTTTTTTATTTTACAAATATCCTTCTATTAGTATTATAAGACACTAATGAAAGTATTTTTGCATTTTTTTTAATTTGTACTATATTTTGATATAATAATCAATATTCAAATATCAACACGACAAAAAATATATAGGACCTTAAAGCCGGACGAAGATAATATTTATTTTTACAAAACGAACACACCCTAAACTCCCAACCAAATACACCGTTAGAGTTTATTTACATAATTTTTTCTCCTAAAAATTTCAAATCAAATTTTTATTTTTTATATTATATATTATAAATTAATTTCATAGCAACTTATCACATTAATAATTATTCATATAACATCTAATAATGATTCAAATTAAAATTTTTTACTATTAAATTTTTGGTATATGTTAATCTTTATGATTTTTAATTCAATGTAATTAAAAATAAGTTTGAAATAATTGTGAGTAAAAAACTAAATAAATTAATTTAAATTAGTTAAAATTTAAATAAAATTAAAATTTGTTGGTGTTTACTTTCTCCTTTTTGGAAACTAACTAATTGAATATGACAACTAAGAAATGAGATGTGACATAATTGGGCAGGACGGATGTAACATTATTATCTAATATATTAATATTTTTTTTATAATTAATACTCTTTTCCTATAATATCCAATTGTACACACAAAAATATAAAAAAGATATAATTAAAAATATGAAGTATTAATTAAAATAATTATTGTATAAAAAAATAATAAATTAAAATTAAAATAATTAATTAATTTAATTAAAATAAAAAAATCAAAGCGAAATTAAAGTGTAAAAATTTTCAAAATATATAAGTGACAAAATAAGTAAAACAAAGATAATTGATTATATAATTTAGGGTGAGTTTGTTTTGTGTTTTGATTTATTAATTTCATTACATTATTTATCTTCATGCTCTTTAAATATTAAGGGTTTGTTTCTTTAGACAAGTTTGAAAAAAATTTGGTTTGAATTTGGTATTAAAATAATGTACGATGAGACGTTCTGTGAGAGAAAAATATATATTTTTTTCGAAAAATGCAGAATCCAAATAGTAAAAATCAAAATTTTTGGGCAAAAAAACATACCCTAAAATTTCAAAACTATGCCCAATTTTTCAATAAAATAATTTTCTTTTATCTCAGTCGGATCTAAATATGGCGGCCTGAGTATTTATTTATTTTATTTCTATATTATATTGTCAACATCTATTTAATACAAATTCAAAACCCAAATCTCAAATAAAATAAAATAAAATATTCTCTGCGGTGATATTTATTTTTTCACGTAAATTTTTTAATATTAATATTATATTGGATTGTAGTAAAAAAGACGAAAATACCCTTATTAGTATGATATAATATAAAATTAATGACATTTGTGTAATATAATGTAAGTTGAAAGAATATTTATTATGTTAGGTAGATAGTACAATTATTAAATTAGAAAATGATAACCTTGTTTTGGAACGGACTAAAATAGAAAATAGTAACCTTTCAGCGGACAGAGGAAGTAAATAAATAAACACACCACAATTAATGTTTCAAAAACACTTAACTAAAAGGGAAAAAATCATTTTTAATCCAAATATAACAAAAATTCATTAATTTTGGTTCCAATATAACCAAAACTCATCATTTTTTGTCCCAATATAACCAAAACTCATCATTTTTTGTCTCAATATATATACATATATTTTTATCAATTTTAGTCCCAATATAACAAAAACTCATCATTTTTTGTCATAATATAATCAAATCTTATTATTTTTTGTTTTACCGTCAACAAACCGACGGAAAATGCTGAAGGGAAAAGAAATCAAATCTTATATTTATATTTGAAGAAATTGCACAATCTTGCAAGTCCACTTCAACATTTTCCGTCGATTTGTTGACGGTGGGACAAAAAAAAGATAAGTTTGATTATATTGGAACAAAAAATGATGAGTTTTAGTTATATGAGACCAAAAATAATGAATTTTTGTTATATTTAGACCAAAATTGATAAATTTTTTATATTGGGACCAAAATTGATGAATTTTGGTTATATTACGACAAAAAATAATTTTTTCCATAACTAAAATTATAAAACAAACACACATATTAATATATAGGCCCAAGGACAAGGAGCAGCCACCAGGCCCACCACCGACAGTGGGGCTTCCTTGTAAGCCGAATTGACTAAACTGCCCCCATGCTCTTAAGTTAACTCATGTGTTATGGTTAATTTTTTTTAAATAAAAAATAATAATATATTAAATTTTATAATCCTAGTATATAAATAAATATCTATATAATTTCAATAAAATTATATCTGGTGTATATATATTTTAAAAAATTACTATGAAACTTGCCAGTGTACTAAAATGTTATGACTCGTAAAAAAAAAAATAGTAGATGTCGTGTTTATTTGGAGGATTGGATTGAATTTACACTATTTATTTCTTTTTTTTCCACAAAAATATCAAATCAAACACCTATTGTTTATTTTTTATATTATACTAAAAATCAATTTTACATTCAAAACATTACATCAACACCTATTTATATCACATCATACAACTATTCAAATTTAAAATTTTTACTATTCAAATCCCAACTCAAATCCAAACCCCCGAACAAATACTCAAATCTCAACTCAAAATTCAATCCCCAGAACAAATACTCATGATCACATGTGTTATTATTGATGTGTATATTCCATATAATCACAACCATTGTATTTGAAGCATGTAAATGGTCTTGGCTGTGTATTAATAAAATACAACAAAAACTTCAGCTTCTATCAATATCTTTTATTATTATTATTATTATTATTATTATTATTATAAATTTATCTTTTATTATTATTATTATTATTATTATTATTATTATAAATTATTAAAAGTATTATATTTATACACATAGTTTTATACGGATATACTTATATATATATATTTAAATTTACATATGATGTATAGCTATTATTAAGTTCTCTATATATTATTATACCATAGTAATATATGATGTGATTATATATATACCACGTTATTAGCACGAGCTGTAAAAATTTTATCCGGGAGATTTTTTATTGAAGTGCTGCCCCGGATACAAAACGAAAACGTCGAAGTGCTGTAGAAATTCTGCCCAAATTCCGTATTGGATACGAAAAGAATATATTGAAGTGCTGCAGAACTTTTGCTAAATTTTTAGGTAATTACTCAACTATTTTCAATATATTTATTACCGACATAGCAAAATTTAAATTCCCCCACTGGCTATTACCGGACGTGTAATTATATGTCGTGAGTAATGAATGTTGAAGTGCACCTCAAATCTATGGAGCTTTGCAAAAACAATAATTAGAAGAATGAATACACAAGCCGAGAGCGTGGAAAGACAATGATTTTTTTTTTGTCATCATATTGACGAAGCTCTGAAAATGGAATACCTCATGGTAAAAAATTCATTTGAATTGTGGACAAATTTAAATGATCGATTCGACAACATTAAGTCGGTCATATTGGCAAAAGAAAAACACATATGACAACACTTGTGTTTGCAAGATTTTAAAACAATTGCCGATTATAATTCTATGATGTTTTAAAATGATGTCCAATTAAGATTTTATGGTGAAAAGATCACTTATAGGGATATGCTGGAAAAAATATTCACTACATTCCATGCTTCTAATATAATTTTGCAGTAACAATATCGAGAAAGAGATTTTACTAAAATATTGTAATCTTAGTACTTGCCCCTTGTTGCTGAATGGAATAACGAATTATTATTGAAAAATCACAAATTGAGACCAACTGGTTCAAGTCTATTCCTAGAAGTGAATGCAACTCAGTATTTGAACAATATGCCTAGATACAACCGCGGATGAGGACGCGGACAAGGCTGTAGACGTGGATTTAACCGTAGACATAGAATGAATTGTGGACATGGAACCAACCGTGGTCGTTGCAAGTTTGTTTCGCATGATTACCGTGAGGGACATTTTGATGAACACGAACCAAATAGGCTCTTGAAGTGGCCTCAAGATGATGTTGGTCAAAATTCGAAGAAAACCGAGGACAAGTGTTATCGATGTGAAATGACAAGACATTATTAGTCCAGAACTTGTCGCTCAAACTCTTATGTTATAAAGTTGTACAAGAACTTCATGAAACATAAAGAATAAAACACCTGAAAATGCTAAAACCCCAAAAATTGCCAATGCCTCGGAAATGAATTTTTCTAAAGCACCTAAAGCAAAATAATAAAACACCCGAAGCACAGAATTTCATTTATGGGGTATTGGCAATTTCTGGGGTTTTAGCATCTTCAGGTGCTTTATTTTTCTGCTTCAAGGAGTTCTAGTACAACTCTATGAAATAAAAGTTTGAGCGACAAGTTCTGAACCAATGTTTTGTCATCCAACATCGATAACACTTATCCTTGATTTTCTTAGAACTTTGACCAATATCATCTTGAGGCTGCTTCAGGGGCTTGTTTGGTTCTTGTTCATCAAAACATCCCTCACGGTAATTATGCGAAACAAACTTGCCACGACCACGACCACGGATGGTTCCATGTCTATTGTTCATTCTACATTCACGGTTAAATCCACGTCCACGGCCTTGTCTGCGCTCTCGTTCGCAGTTGTATCTAGGCATATTGCTCAAATACTGAGTCACATTCACCTCAGGGAATGAACTTGCACCAATTGGCTTTGATTTGTAATTTTTCAATAATAATTCGTTATTCTACTCAGCAACAAGGAAACAAGTAATAAAATCACAATATTAGTAAAACCTCTTTCTCGATATTATTGGTGCAAAACTATATTAAATGCATGAAACATGGTGAACGTTTTTTCCGACATATCTCTATCAATGATATTTTCACCAAAAAATTTTATTTGGGACGTAATTTCAAACATCATAGAATTATAATCGACAATTGTTTTAAAATCTTGCAATCGCAAGTGTTGCCATGCGTATTTTGCTTTTGCCAATATAGCCGACTTCATGTTGCCAAATCGATTTTTTAAATTTGTCGATAATTCAAATGGATCTTTTACTATAAGGTATTTGATTTTCAGAGTTTCATCAATATGATAACGAAGAAAAATCATTATTTTGCACGCTTTCGGCTTGTGCATTCATTCTCCTTAATTATTGTTTTTGCAAGCCCCATAAACTTAAGGTGTATTTCAACATCCATCACGACATACAATTACTTCCGATAATAGCCAGCAGTGGGAGAATTTCAAATTTTGTTATATTAGTCATAATTATATTGAAAATAGTTAAGTAATTACCAAAAAGCTCGGCAAAATCTCCCCAGCACCTTGATATATTCTTTTTGTTTCGAGACGGGATTTGGGCAAAATTTTTGCAGCACTTCGACGCCTTCTTTTGTATACGGAGCAGCATTTCAATAAAAAATTTCGTTAGACAAAATTTTTACAACTCGTACTAATAATATATATATATATATAAGCATATATGTATAAAAATATGTGTGTATAGACATAATATTTCTAATAATTTAGAAAGAAATAGATATTGATAGAAGTGAAAGTTTTTGTTGTGTTTTATTTCAATACCAAGCAAAGCCTATTTATAGGCTTTAGTGATGATGATTAGTCATCGTAATAAAATCGTGTGTTAATATATGGAATCTACACATCAATAACACATGTCATCATGCATGTAACACATATTATTTTTAGGTATTAATATCGATTTTTTTTCCCTCTCATTTTATTAGTAATATTTTAACCTCGGAATTAAAAATCACGCGGAATATATTGGGAAAAGGCAAAATTTTGAAATAAAATATCAGCCAAACAGTCCACATCACATCAGGGGCATTTATGTCATTCCCCCAGCATACATCAAAGGCATCCGTACAACCATGGCTGCTAGAGCTACCAAATACTATTCAGTTATTCACGAATCTGTAAAATTTCCCCAAAAACCAAAATTGAAATCGAAATCGGAACGGAAATGTAGAAAATAGCAGAAGAATTAACTAACCGCGGCTGAGGAAGCGGACGGCGGCGGAGGCGGAGGCGGAGGCGGAGAACCGTCAGTCGCCAGAGTCGTCGTCGCCGCCGAAGATGGAGAATCGGTTGTAGAGAAGCAGCAGAACGAGGATTAGGAAGAGCGCGACGCCGATTGGAGATCCGGAGGCGCGATGTATGGTGTTCGGCTCTCCGCCGGAGAACACGGCGGCGATGAAGGATCCGGTGTCGGAGGAGAGGAACTGGATGGTGAGGAGGAGGATTATAGGGAGGAGGAGGAGGCCGATGGGGGTGAGGAGGTCGGCGACGAAGCCTGTAATGGCCTCGCCTTGGTCGCCGAAGAACATCGGAAGTAGCACCACCAGCACTACCACGACGGCGAGGATGGCGGCGTAGGGAGGTCCGGCGCGGCGGTCGTCAATCATAGTTGGATCTCCGGTCGGTCGGTCAGGGCCAGGGCAGAGGCTTGGCTTTTATTATTATTATTATTATTATATATAAATGATTTTGGTAAAGGCGTTCGTCTCTTGTCCTCTACTTTTTAGTTATTGTGTCACTTTTATTTATTTATTTTAATAATTCTTTCGTAACAAGGACTGAACAATGATTTGAAGTGTTTGTATTTGAATTGTATGTTATTTTATTTTTTAATTTATTTGGTATTCGTTCCATGTAATTTATCCGTATTTTTATTTCGGGTCATATCATATAATTTATTTTTTTTATTTTCTAACATATAATTATACTAATGACATTTTAAAATTATACGTCATTTTAATTATATTATAATTATTTTTAATAATTCACATTTTAATTATTTAGTAATTATATAATACCTAAAATTTTATGTCACAAATTAGAGGGGAAATTAGCTGAGATTGAGGGAATAATATAATAGTACTACCTTTCATCAGATTTTTGCAAGTTATATTTAAATATTAATTATTATATCAAAATATAATACAAATTAATAAAAAATTATAAAAATATTTTCATTATTGAATTATAATACTAATAAAGGGATATTTGTAAAAAACACAATTATACAAATATAAATATATTTTTAATATTAAATACAATAATAATAAATAAAAAAAATAAATATGATCCTCACATACTGACGAAATACTATTATTATAATAGTAGTAATATTTATGGATTATTAAATAAAATTAATAGTAAAAACTTACTTTAATATATTCGATTAACATAAAAGTATGACTTTGTTAAGCCAACATTTTTATAGATGGATTTGATTTTTTATGTTTAATATAAAAGAAATGTATTTTTAATGAGTAATAGAAAGAGTTGCGTCAAAAATATTAAATATATTATTTTAAATTAAATATTTTAAATTTTTGTAATGAATGAGTATTTGAATTTTTTTTTACTTTTTGAATTTTATAATATGTAATTTGTATTATTTATTATTATTTTTAGGAATCGCAATTGAAAAAATATAACGAAGTGAACAAAGAAGAATCGATCGTGTAAGAATTATTCTGAATCTACATTATGCTATCAATTTATACATTATATGCTAAAGATTGTATATCACATGATCTATACTTACTAAAAGAAAAAATAAATATTTTATACTTAAACGATAAAAGAAATCGATCGATAAAATGCCCTGAGTTTTCGATCAAGTTTTATCTTAAACGAGAATCGAATACCTCAACCTAATTGCTTCTTCGCCGGAAACTATTTGCAAACCTCAAACAATAAAAAATATCGGGCAAATAGAGCACAAGAGTCGGATATAAATTTTTGTCATCGCTAGAATTAAGAAACTTTTACTGTCATAAAAATAGAACTTACATTCGACCTACGGAGGAGGCGGGAGCATGGCTCCGATACAAAAGTATCGAGATTCTATTTTACCTCAAAAACACCGAGAAAAATGCTGTTCATAAGAAACAATATGATGTATGGGTCATTCTGAAAATTACTAATGATATAGTAATATGTAATTTCAATGTATATATGAATTTCAACCTTTATTATCGATTTTGTCGAAGATGACTTAGTCCCTGTGTCGGTTTTCGTTCATCTCCAGAAACTTCGCCACGCGCTCTGCTTTTGCTCCGGATTTGTGGTCGTAATACTCGACAATGGCAGCGCCAGCCAATGCGGCGAGAGTAAGTGCTTGAGCGTTCAACCTGGTTTTTCGAGAATCATTTAGAACGACGAAGCAACTAGATTAACTGATAATTTTGAGACAGTTTTGAATCGATACCAAATTGCAGCCAAGGAAATCCAATGGAATCTCGTTACATTTTCGATGAAATATTGTGATGGATCGAGTAAAAAGGCTCAACCGGGATTTAGATGTAAAGGGTATTAATTGGCTACTGAGATCTATGCTAATCTAATACTAAATGCCAGCGACAAATATAAGAATCGGTTAATAAACTTTGAAGAAATGCTTCTAACAAACAAAATAGCTTTGAAAAACAAACAAGAACGAGAAAATTCTTGCATGTATATTCTTATGCAGTTCGATCACCAAATTTTGGTTGATTTCTATTATTCACCAAAATTTTCCATAAAAAACATAAATCAAAGGCATATATTTCATTTATTATATCATAGTACAAATCAATTTTACATTCAAACCATCTCATCAATAACTATTTATATGACACTATAAACTATTCCAATTCAATTTTTTATTATTCAAAATCCAAACCCCCAGCCAAACACACCCTAAAAGAATGCATTTCATCTAATTTACACGAGCTTTCTCCCCCAAAGAACACATGATATCCAACAAATACGTTACCATGTATATTTAATCTCTCTTACACTACACAACACATACTACTATTGATCTCAATGCAAAATACATATTATTATAATATAAATGCATTGCATGAGCTGACAGCATACGGTAATAGTCCACAGATTACATTCCATAATTGATCTCGGCACAAGTTGCAATATTAACATAGCACAAATACATAACATTTAACTGACAGTACATGATAATAATTCAGCTAGCATGTGTTGATTTGATTCAATCATCGTTAAAAATAGTTGCTAATCTGCGACTAGGTAGCACCCTAACCGCTCCCATCCCTTACATATAGAAAACAAACATACACACACATTTAATACATTGATATTTATGGTTTTTATTCCCAACAAGCCCCTACCGAATGCAATCAACAAAGTTAATTGATTGAAGTTTTAATTTATCGGTGATTAGATAGAATTGCAATTGTATAATTTGATAACTTCAGAAATGTGCTATTGAAACATGAGAATTGAACTCCATAAGGTATATGTTAAACAACGATAGTGTCGTATCTATAAAAGGGTACAAGAAAGTCATTGAATTATATTATAAAGCTGTCGTAAAGCAGATAATGTTCAACATATATATGAACTATGTTCTTCAACAACATATAACATCAATTTTTGGAAACTTAATCAATAATCCTAATCAATAAGAATTTTCAATTCATAAGGTCAAAAAATCAACATCAATACACCTCAATTGATGAACAAGAGCTAATACATATCTCCAAATCCCTCTGGAAAAAGGATTGCTAATACACAAAATTACCCTAGAAACAAAATTGAAATGCTCATCGCATAAGAACACAATCACCATCAAAACAAAAGCCTCAATTCATACAAACAGTCGAACTATAAAGAACCAAAAGGAAAAACCCCAATTTCTCGGAAGTAAAACACAAATACGATTTATAATACAGACGAAATTGAAATTAAACAAATAAAATTAGCATAAATACGTACCTAGCATGAATGATTTTGATGCTGGTTTTCATATTGGGGCGAGACCAATTATACGCCATAGATCCAACAATTCCACTCGCCCACAACGCCCCTTTCTCGAAAAATAAAATAAAATCGAATTTCAACCAAACAAATCATTCAATCGACACAAAACACGAAGAGCGAAACGAATCGACGTTACCGACGGTACGAAGCTTGTGCTCGACGACCCATTCTCTGATTGATTCCAGCTTGCTCTTTTCTTCGCCCATTGTTTCTCTTTGCGCCTTTTCCTGGTTTCGAAGTTCGGTTTCTCTCTCTGCCTGTATATATATATTGATTTGTACGGTACATAGATTTGTTGTCAAGGCACGGTGCGCACGCTGGACCGGCAGTCGGTAGCCCACGTGGTTGTCACGTGTTTACTAGTTGCTGGTTTTTACATTGAAACACCATCTAATCGTCGTATCTTTTCTACTTTTCAATCTTTAACTATTTTTTATTTTAATAAAATTAATTATACATTAATATAAAAATATTTTTAATTTTTACCTTAATTACAAATATATTTATTATACATGCAATTATTTCACATAAAGTCATATGACAAAAATATCAAAACCATTACATATACAATTATTTTACACATAAAAATTATACGACAAAAACACAAAAAGCCAATTTCACACTTTCACTCACCAATAAAATATTATTATTTTTTAATTTATTGAAAAAAATATACCGATAGATTTTATTATATTGAAACTAAGATTGATATATTTTAATTATATTTATATTACTGCTGATTTTTTTTATTATTATTATTATAACAATATCAATTATTCTCAATTCAAAATATTCATTTTTAAAAGAAAAATATAACAAAACAAATGAAATTTTAGACCAAAACACACAAATACACGGTAGTGTAGAATTATAGTTGGTAGTGTGACAACATGATCATGATCATGTTAATTGTATAGGATAGTGTTGTTTCAAGTCATCTACCGTCTACATCAATAATTTTCATTAGTTCTGGAATAGTTGAACCAAAATATATTGAATTGTTTATAATAAAACTAAGATAATTTTTTTTTCGGCTGCGGATTCCCATGTCATAAAAAAAAATTTATATATATATATTTTTTTTATATTTTTGGACCAATATTGATATATTTTAGTTTTATTTTGACCAAAATTGTTTGTTTCCTATTACTTATTATAAAAATATTTAAAATAAACTAAATGATTTAATAGTATTTTAATAATCCTCAATAATAAATTCAATTTTTTTAAATATTACAAGACTACAAACATTTTTGTCATTAAATATATACTTTTTTTTCTAATTTTTTATCTTTACCAAAATTGAAAATTTTGAGTTCTTTTAATATTTTGTTATTAATTATTCAAAATTGTAAAAATATTAATAAATGTAATATTTGTTATTTTTTATATAATTTATAAAAACTTATATTTTTATCAAAAATTATGGATATTATGTTTGATTACAAGTTAAATTTAAACTCACCATACTTCTAACTTTATTTTTAGTATTAAGTCAAAATTGTCTAATTATATCTCTATAGTCGATGAACAAAATTTGTTTATAATTGATATAAAAGTATTTTTTTATTATTTATTTTATTATTAAATTTTATTTGGTTTTATTCAATAAAAATGTACCTTTTTTCTATAAATATTATTAAAATAAATTTAAATCAAAACTTAAATAAGAAATTAAATTTTAATAAAATAAAATTTAATATATGTTTCTTAAAATTATATTCCTTCATTAAAAAACATGCATGATTTTAGATGAACGAAGTACATATATTAATAAATTTTGCTTTATATATAGGGTTTTATTTGTTTAGTGTTTTGATTTAATTTTTTTAATATATAAATATAGAAAATTGTATGAATAATATAAAAATTAATTTTTATAAAATAAATAAAATACATATTTTCAGATCGTACTGAGAAAAAATAATTGGGCAAGCCATGACATTTTTTCAAAAAAACCCCTAAAAGAGCTCAAAATTTTAAGACACTGAATGTGAGCTCAAATAGCCCACAAATTCACCTTGCGTCGTCAAATTATTATTATTATTTTTATTTATGTTTTTTTAAGTGAAAAAATTATTATGCTTTTGTTATTTTTTTATTAAAAAAATTAATTATTATCCATTTTTATTAAAATTCATACCCGACCAAATAAATATACATTTTTTTATTGTCATCCAAATTTATTTCTGTTTCAATTTTTAGTAAAAAAATATCATTTTTTTTTTACCAAAAAAAGTAAAAATTCATATTCTTACATATTTTTTTTATAACTCGTGTCCGGTCAAATGAGCACACAATCGGATAACAAAGGAAAGTATAAGATAAAAACATATATGTACTGTTATATTGTACAGTAAATAATACTCAACTACTGTCTAAATGCAAAATACAAATATAGATGAACAATACTAAGCATGTTATTTACACGGAGGCGGAGGAGAGTCGGCGTGCTATCCCTTGGTACAACCATTTATTCGGGTGGTACAATTGTTTGTTTGTTCGTCCATAGAAATCTGCTTGTACCTGCACTCCACGCTGCAAAATGCCTTGTCCCCTCTGCATCAAAGGTGGTACCTTTTATGTGAGTATAATGGCGGGCTTCTTTGTTTGGTTTTGATTATTTTTTTTGAGTTTTTATTTTATTTACTATATGCTATCTCAGTCCGGTTCTCATAATTTTATTTATTTTTGTATATTGATCTTTAAATATTAATTATTATATCAAATATAGTATAAATTAAAAAAAAATTGCAAAAATACTTCGATTGGTATCTTGTAATACTAATAGAATGACATTTGTACAAAAAAAAAATTATACAAATATATAGATATTTTTAATGTTAAATACAATGACGCAAAAGATAAAAATGACCGAGGCAGACGAAGAGAGAGTACCTTTTTTTTTTTCTTTTAAAAAATATCAACTCAAATATTTTATTTTTAATTTTGATTATATTATAGTAGTAATAATAACTTCACATTAAAACCCCATTAACAACTATTATAAAATAAAATAAAATAAAATAAAATACTACATAAAATATATTCTCTAAGACACTTACATATTCACTTTATTTTAATTCAAAGTATTATTTTTATCATTTTTGTCCATCATACTTCAAAGTATCAATTTTTATTTTAATAAAAGTAATCATACACTAATATCAAAATACCCTTAACTTTTACCTAAATATTACACATACAACTATTTTGTACATAAAGTTAAAGGACAAAAATATCAAAATCTCTGACACATTTCTACTAACTAATAAAATACTATTATTTTTTAATCTACTACAAAACCTCAATGCTATTTGGAGTATATATATTTTAGGGTTTGTCTTTTATAATTTCAAATACAAATTAGTATTATTTAATTTGTATAATTTTTAATAAAAATATATGATTTTTTTTTATAAAATATCACAATAAAATATTATTTAAATAAAAATTTAAATCAATACTTTATTTTAAATTAATTTTCAACCACAGCTAAACAAATCATAATTTTGGTGCAGGGATTAAAAATATTATATGTAAATAATAATTAATACTCCTTTCGTCCCACATAATTTGTCCCTATTTTCTATTTTCGTCCGTCCTACGTAACTTGTCCTTTCTATTTTTGGAAATATAATTATGCACTTTAATCGCATTTTAAATTTTAAATTTTATAAATTTCTTAATTTTAATTAAACTATTTACTTATCTTAATCTTAATCTATAGTTATTTTTACTAATACACTTCTTAATTACTTACTAATTATACTTTACCTAAATTTCCGTGTTTCCAGTAATACACCCATATTATATGGGACGGAGGGAATACTTCCTTACTTATGTAAGTTGATTTAAACACATAGGGTGCACTTTTTTTCAAAAATAGTACGAAGAATTTTTTTTTTATTTTTTTATATAAAGTATAGATAATTTGCAATAATAAATATATATAATCTTATTACTCCATCCATCCCATATAATTTATCCATATTTTTTATTTTCGTCCGTCCCACGTAACTTGTCATTTCTATTTTTGAAAATATAATTATGTACTTTAATCGCATTTTAAATTTTATAATTTTTTTAATTTTAATTAAACTATTTACTTGTCTTAATCTTAATCTATAATTATTTTTACTAAATAATAATTATTTTTATTAATACACTCCTTAATTACTTACTAATTATACTTTACCTAAATTCTCGTGTCTACAGTAATACATCCATATTACATGGGACGGAGGAAGTAATATTTTTGGAGAAACGTGTGTAATAAAAACACTAACAAAACACATCAATTGACAAAACAACAGGGACATTTGGGATGAGCAAGAGAATTAAATAACAATAATATTATATTGATAATGAGTGTAAAAGTATTTTAAAAAATTAAAATACTCTTACTTTATGTAATTATTGTAAAAAAAAAATGATAAGAATTTTGTAAAAAAATCAAGAGTTAAATTACCAAAAATGAAAGTGAGATTATTGTTTGTTTGGGGGTTTGGATTTTGAGTTGAGATTTGAATAGTAAAAATTTTAAATTTGAATAGTTGTATGATGTGATATAAATAGGTGTTTATGTGATATTTTGAATGTAAAATTAATTTTTAATATAATATAAAAAATAAAGAATAGGTGTTTGATTTGATATTTTTTAGAGGAAAAAATGAAATAAACAGTGTATTTAAAATCCAATCCCCAAACAAAAACACCAATATACATTAATATATATGTATATTTGTATTGTTTTAATAATATTTATAAAAAATTGTTTCATTTGACAAATGTTGAGTGAAGTGATTGAATATTTCTTAAAACCTAATTGAAAATTATTTAAAATTGTGAAAACCAAATTGTGTTTCTTTGAAGTCTATCTCAAGTTCTCAATCCAATTTTCTACTATTCATATTTCCTTTTTTTTTTTAAATAAAATTATTATACCAATATTTCATTCAAACATCAAATTGGATATTATTATTATTATTATTATTATTATTATTATTATTATGTTTAAGACACTAAAAACAGCCTTAAGTTTTTGTATTGTATAAATTTTTTTTTTCTGTATTATATATATACACTAATGGATCTCTCTTAATGATCAAATTATTAAAATTAAATATAGACAGATAATCATTTCAACTGAATATTTTGTGCAGAAAATTATATAAATAAAATAATATTATTAAAATTTAATACATTAACGCAATAGGTAAATGAGAACTTTAAGGGTATGTTTGTTTGGGAGATTGTATTAGATTTTCCATATTCATCCCATTTTTCCCCCTAAAAATATTAAATCAAACACTTATTTTTTATTTTTATATTATACTAAAAATCAATTTTACATTCAAAACATTACATCAACACCTATTTATATCACATCATACAACTATTCAAATTCAAAATTTTTACTATTCAAATCCCAACTCAAAATCCAAACCCTCAACCAATCAAACCCTAGAGCAAAAATGAGGGAATATAATTATATAATAACCATAAAATCATATATATATATATATACATACGGAATAGTTAAAGCACTTATTATAACTAATCATATCATAACTTATTGTAATCTATTTGTTCTTATTTTACACACACACACATATATATATACATATATATATTACCCCAATCTTTTGAGGTAATTACCTTTTAGTTATAAATGGACAAATCTATTACTTTCTCCGTCCAAAATTATAGATTGAGTTATGTTTGACACGAGATTTAAAAAATTTTGATATTATATTGATAGTGGATAAAAAGTACAGGTAAAAAACTTTTTTGTCATTGTGAGTGCATTAGTGTAAAAAGTAATAACAATTGTGTAATAATAATGAAAAAGTAAAGGTAATTTTATAGTGATATAGTTATTTATGAAAATGAGACTATTGTTTTGGGATAGACAAAAATGGTAAATAAGACTATTGTATTGAGACGGAAAGAGTATTTGTTAATACAATAATAATTATTGGACATTTCAAATAGAAAAATAGGACATTAGTTTGAAAATGAAATGACTATGTTAATATAACATATATTTTGAAATCAATAAGAATTCGTTTTTAAACTATTCTTATATATTTCCTCCGTCTTATTGAAAGAGTCTCATTTACTTTTTGCACGTAGATTTTTAAATATTAGTATTATATTGAATTGTAGTGAAGAAGACAAAAATACCCCTATTAGTATAGTGTAATATAAAAGTTATATTGTAAGTTGAAAGTATATTTATTATGTTAGATATGTAGTACAGTTACTAAATTAGGAAATGATAACCTTATTTTGAGATGGACGAAAATAACAAATGATAACCTATCAGTGAGACGGAGGGAGTATTATCAATTAAATATATATCATTTATCTTAATATATTATTGATTCAAAGCGTTTTTTCAATGTTAATTTATACATCAAATATTGTCTACACTTTCCGTGCCTCATTGAATTAAGGTTGTGTTCTTCTATGAGTTTTACCCCATGTTTTTATTATTTAAATTCTTTTTTTTCTAAAAAAAAATCACATTAAATAATTACTTTTAGTTATTTATATTATACTAAAAATTTATTTTACATTCAAAATATCACATCAATCTCTATTTATGTTACACCAAACAATTATTCAAATTCAACTTTTTACTATTCAAAAATTCAAATTCAAAACCTAAAATCCACAAACAAACACACCCTAACAATTTTATTGAGTTCAGTCGAGAGTTTATTCAAAACGTACTTGAAGTAAAGTAACAATAAATTTTATGTCATATTAAAAAGAAAAAATCACCAATTTATATATCCTAATTCTACAACTTAAAATAATAATAATAATAATAATAATAATAATAATAATAATAATAATAACTTTGCTTCCTTGATTAGAATTTTTGGTAATTACAAGTGTTGGTTCCATTGTGCCTTGAAATTTTAAAATTAATTTGAAATGAGACGTTAGATTTGAATTTTTTTTTAATAGTAATACTTTCTCTATCTCTTAATAATCTATCAATTTTTTTTTTTATTTCGGTCTGTTCCATAATAAAATATATATATTTTTAAATAATTGTACTATCTACTTACAAATATCCTTTCAATTTATAATATATTACACAAATATCATTATTTGTATATCATACAATACTAATAGGGTTAATTTAGTATTTTTACTTTTATTTCTACTTTATATCAATATAATACTAATATTTTTAAAACTTATGTAAAAAACAAATGGATATATATATGAGATGGCGGGAGTATATTTTAATAAATAAATAAATAATAAATAATAAATAATACTCCCTCCGTTCCACATACCATGCTCACGTTGTCGTTTCTACCCGTCCCACATACCATGTCACTTTCATTTTTTGAAAAATAATTACATATTTTAATCTCATTTTAAACTTTTTATTTTTTTAAAAAAATTAATTAAACAAATTAGTTATCTTAATTTTAATTTATAATTATTTATATTATAGAATAATTAATTTTACTAATATACACATCTCCTAAAATACCGGTCTACAGTGTAGCAAACACGGTATATGAGACGAAAATAGTATTAATTTTAATTCAAAATAATAAAATAACAAACTAAAAATAGGGTATAGTTTCAGTCTTTAAGAACACGCTGGAGCCAACTCTAGTGGAAAAAACCGTTACAAGATAACAAAATTTTTTTATCTCTAAATTTATTTTTTTCGTTACTAATGATATTAGAGACGGAATTAGGAATGAAATTACGTTAACTACGTAAACTTTAGGGACGAAATTCCGTTACAAATATATTATTTTTTTAAGTGAACCGTACCAACCGTGAATACTGACTGCCCAAAAATTAATCCATCCTCGATAACTAAACCCCAGTTTTGTTTTCTGTTTTTATTTTTATTAGTAATTTTTTAAAATAATAATAGAATATATGTAATTCTGTTTCGTTCTTAATCTCCAGTGATTTGTTTCCATTAATTAACGAATAATTTAATCTACAAACAAATATAATAAATAAATAAATAAATAAATAAATTATTATTATTATTATTATTATTATTATTATTATTATGTCTTACTTGTACATGTAGATGTCTTCTCCGGACAAGAGTTTTCGGTTGCAGAGGAAACAGCGGTCGAGAAACCCTAAGAACGACGGCTGTGAGTCACCGCCGGGTGACTTTATCACTTGCAGGCACGTGCTGGCTTTGCTGATCACACGTGGTGACGGATGATGATGATGATCGGAATTTGCCCTTTGCCTTTCCAATATAACGCTAAGCCCTACCATCATCTTTCCCGCGGCGGCGGCGGCGGTGCAGACAAGGACGATAAGTATACGCGCGGGCGCGTGTTTATATATATAAGTACGTAAAAGAGACGGCGGAGTTGGCGTGGGGAAGTGGACAAGGATCTATATGCACTATACGGTTCTCTTCACGCGACACGTGTAACTCCTCCACCTATCATCACGCGACACGTGTAAATCCTCCACCTATCACCATCATACTTGTACCATAGACATCCTTTGTTTTTTCATTTAAATTTTTAAATATTAATACTATATTAATTTATAGTAAAAAAATAAAAATACTTATATTAATATAATATATTATAAAAATAATAATATTTATTTAATATATGGTAAGTTGTAAAGATAATTATTATGTTAAGTAGGTAATCCAGTTACTAAATTAGAAAATGATATCCTTGTTTTAGAACGGACAAAAATAAAAAGTCGTAAACTTCTTATAGAACGGAGAGAGTATATAGTTTGTATATTCCTCCTAGGTTTATTAGATGAGTTTGGTACGAAAATAATATTTAATGCAATATTTTGTAAAAAAAAATATAAATTTGTTTTTTAAAAAATGCAGAGTTTAAATTATAAAATTTGGAGAAATTTTGCTAAAAAATAAACCCATTATTATTATTCGTTCCCGTCCCATAAATTGAGTAATGTTTACTTTTGTATAATTTTTTTAATATTAGTATTATATTTGATTATAATAAAAAAGATAAAAACATCTCTATATATATTATGTAATATAAAAATAATGGCTATGGAATAGAGAGAGTATTATTATTATTATTCCTTTTGTCCGCCAAATTTATTATTATTTTTATTTTTAATTCGTCTGCTAAATTTATTCAATTATTAATTTTGATAAAGTCAACAAATCAACATTTAATTATTATTCTTTATTTAGCACTTATTTACAACAAATACTACTAACTTTATTACATTTTCTCTTTATTTATTTTAATTTCTAAATAAATTTTCAAAAATACCTCTAATTGCCTATCACTTTTTCAATAAAATATTAATTTTTTTTAATCTTCGTACCGAATCAAATTGTATTAATTTTAATGAACTGAGGGAGTATTATATTTAAAGTGTGTTCGTTTAGTATTTTGGTTTGAATTTTTTTTTTTATACTATTAAGTATAAGAAATTATCTCGATAATATAAAAAAGTTATTTTATATTGAAAATTGATTTTTATGTGAAGATAAAATATATTCTCCCTCCGTCCCGCAACAAGGATGGTGTTTGCTTTTTGCACGTAAATTTTTGAATATTAGTATTATATTTGATTGTAGTAAAAAAGACAAAAATACCCCTATTAGTATGGTGTAATATAAAAGTAATGACATTTCTGTAATATATTGTAAGTTGAAAGAGTATTTATTATGTGAAGTAGGTAGTACAATTACTAAATTAGGAAATAGTAACCTTATTTTGGGACGGACGAAAATAAAAAATGATAACTTTTCAATGAGACGGAGAGAGTATTAGAATTGTATTGAAAACAATATCGGGCAAACTAACTCTTGATTTTGAAATATACAGGATTGTATAAATCAAATTTAATAGCTAGATTGAATTGAATATTTATATTCAAATTCACAATTATAAATTTTGAATCGAATAAAATTATTTGATTAATTTGCAGTTATATTTTGAGATTTTAGAATGGTTTAAATATACTACTATATGATTGAATATAAAAATAATGGTTAACTTGATGTAAATATGTATTGTAAAAAATATTAAGATGTATAATATAATGTAAATAAGTACTAAACGAAATATTTCAAATAAAATAAATATTTTTATGTCATATTTTAAATAAAAAAATATGTATTTGCTTTTTAAATAAATAATGTATAGCGCAAAAATAATTTTAAATATATAAAGACTATAAAGAATAATTAAATTTTCATATAAAGATGCATTAAATAATTATTGGAAATTAAAAATATCAAACTAAAATATATACTCAATCCTTTCGGAAAGAAGATTGTCGTTTGTTTTTTTGCATAGAGATTTTTTTTAATATTAGTATTATATTAGTATATAGTACAAATAAATTAAAAAGGCAAAAATATTTCTATTAGTATTGTGTAATATAAAAATAATATTTCCTCCGTCAATTTGTAAAGTTTACATTTACTTTTTGCGTGTTTATTTTTTAATATTAATTATTATATCAAAACGTTACACAAATTAAGAAAAAATGACAAAAATACTTCTACGAGTGTCTTATAATACTAATAAAATGACATTTATACAAAAAATTATACAAATATAAAGATATTTTTAATGTTAAGTACAATGACGCAAATGTAAATGTAAACTTATTAAGTGGAGAAAGGGAGTAATATTTATGTAATAAATTGTAAATTAAAAATATATTTATTATGTTAGGTAAGTAGTACAATTACTATTATTAAGAAACAAGACTCTTATTTTAAAACATACAAAAATGAAAAATAATACTCCATCCGTCTCACATAATTTGTCCCTATTTTCTATTTTCGTCCATATCACATAACTTGTCCTTTCTATTTTTGAAAATATAATTATGCACTTTAATCGCATTTTAAATTTTATAATTTTTTTAATTTTAATTAAACTATTTACTTATTTTAATCTTAATCAATAATTATTTTACTAAATAATAATTATTTTTACTAATATACTTCTTAATTACTTATTAATTATACTTTACCTAAATTCTCATATCTACAGTAATAGTCCCATATTTTCTGGGACGGAAGGAGTATAATTCTTTTAGGACGGAAAAAGTATATATATATGACTGGTAAACTCTATATTGTTTTAGTTGGTTTTTTTTTTCTATTAAAATATATCATTTTATTTTACATAATGGTATATTCTAATTATTGTTTAAACTAAAATTTAAAATCACGAAAAACAAACCAAACATATCCGAAAGCAATTGTCCACTTCATATATATATATATATATATTTCTCATTTTTTACTATACAATTCGTGCAAATTTTTAATAAAAAGAAAAAAAAAAACATAAACTAATTTTTATTAAATATCATTATTATTTAATTTTTTATTTTTTTAAAACGAAAAAATAGAGAAAATGAGATAATAAAATGAACATACTCAATATTATCCAAGATTCACGATCCCTATAAAAATAATCTATTTTATAGTGTTATTCAATATTTACGATTCCAAAAAATAAATTAAAAATAATCAACTAAGCACTCTCAATAGCTTTCGAATATTGGAACAATAAGGTCAAGTATAATGAAAACGATATAGTAATAAAGAAAATGTAAAAAATAAAAATAAAAGCGAGGATGAAATTAGTGTTTTAAAGTAAAACAAAATTTACCTATATAATTAAAAATTTAAATAATACTATATTTTAATAAAATATATTATACATATGAATATATTTTTATAGAGAATAAAATTTTATAAAATATAATTAATAAATATTTTTTATTTATAATTAACTTGATTTATATTTATTAACTATATTCAAATTTAAAAAATTTACTAAGGAAAATGAAAATTGTTATACGAGAAATTGTTGTGAATTTATATTGTGAATCAATCACTACAAGAAAATTAGTATATTTGTAACAAAATTCCGTTATTAAAGTTCACGTAGTTAACGCAATTTCATCCATAATTCCATCCTTATATGTCATTTGCAACGAAAAAAAGTAGATTTATGGACGAAAATACTTCTGTTGAGCACAAAAAAATAATAATAATAATTAATAATGGCAGTAGGATTCTGGATGGGTCTGAATATAAGCCAAACGGCCCAGAGGTCGGTTGAAAGAGGAAGTCGGGCGAAGAAGGAGATCAGATGGTACGCAGTCGGATAAGCAGGTCAGTTGGTTTGCAGTCTGACCAAAGGAAGTTGGTCGGTTGGTCTGCAATCCGACCAAAGTAAGTTGGTTGGTTGGCCCACGGACGGGCCAAGGTAAGACGGTATGGTAGCAGAGTCAAAAGGAAGTCGGTTGGACCAGCCGTCCATTTAAGGAGATAAAGCGACCAGAGGATGCTGTTTCGCCGTCGGTTGATCCATGGTTGGTTGGTTCTCAGTCGGTTGATCCGCGGTCGGTTGGTTCTCAGTCGGTTAAATAGGTCGGATAGTCCAAAGTCGGTTGAGCAAGTCGGGTGGTCCGCAGTCGGTTGAGTCGGACGATACGGAGGTCGGCTGATATAGAGGTCGGTTTATGCGGAGTTCGGACCAAGTGAGGTCGGGCGAAGAAGAATGAGACGGACGATACGTGGTCAGACAAGAGACCAGATGGTGGTCGGTTGATGGGGCGGCCAAGGAATCGTTTGGTCTAGCGACCAGTTAGTCTTTGGATTGGTCGGGTGGCATATAGGTCGGACAAAAGGAAGACGGACGAAGAAAGGTCTGTTAATTAGTCGCCTGTTAGTCACCTGATCAATTGGTTGGTCACTTGGTCAAACAGTAGTTCAGTCGCTTGAAAGGGCGGTCTGTTGGTCGCTTGATGGGGCGACCAATCAAGCGTCTGGACGAATGGTTATTCGGCCGTTTGAAGGGACTAGATGGTGGTCCCTTGTTTAGGCGACCAATGAATCGTCTGGACGAATGGTTGTTCGGCCGTCTGAAGGGACCAGGTGGTGATCTCTTGATGTGGCGACCAATGAATCGTCCGGACGGATGGTTGTTCAGCCGATTAAAGAGATTGGATGGTGGTCGCTTGATTGAGCGACCAATGAATCGTTCGGTCTAGCGACCAATTAGTATATGGACTGGTCGGTTGGCCTGTGGTCCGTCTAAGGAATCAGGGGTTATTTTGGGCGGCTGAGTAACCGGTCGGGCCAGCCACCCATTTGAGGCAGAAAAGTGTTCAGAGGCGGTCGGCTGAGCAGTTGAGTGCTGTAACTGGCGCGAGCGGTTGGTGAGTCGGTTAACACACGTGTTGACAGAGGAGGATTTTCTGGGCGGTTGAACAGCGGTTGCTGCAACCGACCAGACGACGGTTCAAACCGTTTCTTCAAGGGATTATTTAAGGATTCAGGTCTGTTCTGAAAAAGGATCTTCAATCGACAAAACTTCAAAAGAATTGCCTTTGGGGATCACCACTTTACTTTTCCAGTATGTAGTTTTTAATTTCCTAGTTTACTTATGTACTCTATAGTGTTTAGAGATTCCTAATCTCAGGCACTCATCTATCAAATTCGAAGATATTTCCTATTTTCGAATTTTACTTTTTATTGTTGAAAAAACACATCAACAACTTCGTTACAAAAATAATATTTTCTTGTAGTGAATGGACTTTATTCAATTAATACCTTGTAAATAAAATAAAATTTAATTAGTAACATTAACAAATAATTGAATAAAATTTAATCAATTCAATACCGGAATCGAAATTAAAATTTAAGCACGTTAAAATATGGCTACAATGGTAACTTCATGAAATTGAATTATCAAATAACCAAACAAGAATGCCCAATTCACGCCGACGAAGACTTCAACTCGGTTTCCATAATCGATGAATCCATCCACGACAGCGACAAACCAACATTTACTCCAATGGATAGCGACGACGGACATCTTCTCCGTGTTGAAAAATTTTTATATTGTGAGAATATCAAATAATTATCGAAAAATAAAACTCGATGATTGAATAATTTATCGATATAAATTCAATAATTATATCATGTCGAGATAGAATCTCTCTTTGTAAAAACAAATACTCCCCGGTAGTATCTCCGATTTGTGACACAATGTTCCCAAAGATAAACGACTTTCGTCGCCGAATTATGAGGTACCTCAATATTTCGGAGTTTTGACGAACTATAATGAGAGGACTAGTGCGTGTTGGAAGGCACCTCCACCATGCAGAGCAATTAATGTCAGAGTCGAAATCGTCTAACTAACGATAATTAATTTCGGTAACGTCCGACCATAAATGCCAAACTTAATTTCGATCATAAATATATTATTTGAATTTTGAATTTCAAATAATCATTTATTATACATACATGTAATTATAATTTTATACTATATTACAATTTTCTTGGGCTTCAACAAAATATTTTGATATTTCAATTTTGGCTCAAGATCATAATAGACTTGGTCAAAATTAGCATTTACCGAACTCTTGCTCAACCGACGACCACGGCCAAGACCTTTGAGCCGGAGACAAAACTCACACTCGTGTGCTTATATCATTATTTGATTCGGGTAGGTGGCATACGCGTCTGTGGTTTACCGCCACACTATTAATAACCACTATACAATTCACATGCATTTTAACTCACTGACTAATTGGTTCCGAAAACTATGATTTTAATTTTAAAATTAAATTTCATCGATTCAATAATAACCGATTTTCCAACACTCCGACGAACAAAAAACAACGTCTTCTTCCTCCATTGGCATCGAACAACACCGATCCACTTCAATTCGCACCAATCTTCTTTGAACTAGATCAATTTACTCCTTCTTTCTTATTTAACACCAACTAGAAAGTCTTCGAACTAAGGCTCGGATCCAATGCTAAATGACCCGAGATAACCATATTACAAAGTGAAGGTCGGCATTTCACTTTAAATCCAGATATCCACCAAAATCGGCATAAAGAAATTGAAAATCCATCGAAAAACTTTCCCAAAAAAGTAATACTACCTCCATCCCATATTGGGTATCTTGGTCACTGTAGACACAGAAATTTATGATAAATATAATTAAGAATGTATTAGTGAAAATAATTAACTTATAATATAAATCATTATAGATTAAGATTAAGATAACTAATTAATTTAATTAAAATTAAAAAAATTTAAATTATAAAATTTAAAATAAATTTAAGATGGATAATCATTTTCCAAAAAAAAAAAAATAACATGAGATGTGGAACGGACGAAAACGGCAATGTGAACATGGTAAGTGAAACGGAAGGAGTAAAAAATAGACTAACTAGTGGTTTGAATTTATGGTTTTGGTTTGGATTTAGACTAGAGTTGAAGGGAATAAGAGTTTCGCTTAAAGGGTTTGTATCGAGTCCGATCGGTCGGACTAAACAATAGACCAATTATTATACTTTTAAAGGATCGATTGAATTCGATCTCAACCGGTCAAATTTTTAATCAAAATTAAAATAAAAAATATGTTCAATGTTATTAGACATTTTATCTAATTATCATCAAATTAAAAAAAAAAAATAATTAATTAGCATGAGCTTCACCCTCTCACTATGAAAGCTTAGAAAAGATTTAGGGGTGTTTCGCAAATAGTTTTTTGAAGAGCTTTTAGCTTATTGAACAGCTTTTAGCTGTTTAACCAGTCAAAAAGCTAATTTAGGTATTTGGTAAATTAGATTTTTGGAATAGCTTTTTGGACCCAAAAAACTAATTTCTGAAAAGCTAACTTACCCAACGTTTTGAAATAGTTTTTTCTGTAATTTTTTTTATTCCTTATATGCCCTTAAAAATTTATTATACATTTTACACAAATAAATATATTTTCATTATTTATTAATTATATTAAAATATTTTATTATATTATAGTTTTACTTTTGTAAAATATATAAATTTGTTAAAATCAACATAAATAAAAAATATAAATATTAATAATTTATTTTTTATTAAAATTACATTATATAAATTTTATACTAAAAATAAATTAAATAAATTAAGTTTATTGAAAATTATAAATTTAATGAACTAATCGATAACTAACATAATAAATATATACACGAAAAATTTATTATTTTATATTTTACATCATTTTCAATAAAAAAAAATTATTTATATATTTTAATAAAAATATACTATTTTTTTAAAAAAAATCTAACTGTAATAAAAATAAATACTTTTATAACACTTTTACAATTTTCAATAACTAATAACAAAAATTTTTAAATATTCTAAACTCAAAAAAACATAATTGAATATATTAGAAACAAGAATAAAATAGAAATGTCCTCAATTGTCATTTTACGTATAAACAACTAATATCAAACAGTTGTTTTACCAAACATTTTAATACAAACAGCTAATCGAATCAGCTAGTCAAACCAGCTAATTGAATCAGCTAACAGCTATTAGCTAATTGATTCAGCTAACAGCTAACAACTATCAGCTAATTGCCAAACACGCCTTAGTATTTACAACTAAGTTGGATGTTTGAGTTTTTATCTAAAATTTTATTATTCATTATTTTTTGTAAAATATATTAAATTAACTACTTATTTTTTATATTATATTAAAATTAATTTTATATTTAAAATATTATATTAATATTTATTTATATCACATCATATAGCTATTCTAATTTAAATTTTTTTATTAATCAAAATTTAAAAATAAAATCTAAATCCGCCAAACAACACACTATTGTTTGTTTCTTTGCATTATTTATTATTTATTTCTTAAAAATATATAGTTCAATACGTCTATTTTTTATTTAAAATGTTATAGCGTTATTTTTTATTCAAAATATATATTACTCTATTCGTTCCACATACCATATCTACGTTGTTGTTTCTGTCCATCCCACATACCACGTCACTTTCCTTTTCTGGAAAATAATTACACACTTTAATCTCATTTTAAATTTTTTAATTTTATTTTTTTAAAATTTTAATTAAACTAATTAGTTATCTTAATTTTAATTTATAATTATTTATATTATTGAATAATTATTTTCACTAATATATTTTTAATTATCTAATAATTATACCCCTCTTAAAATATCGTATCTATAATGTAGCAGACACGGTAAGTGAAACGGTTGGAGTAATTACTTATTTAATTGATATTCAAAGGAAGTAAAAACACAAAAATATACTCCTATAAAGCTTTTCGGACGTGTTTACTTGCCATGTTAATGCCAACAAAATATATAGCAAAATTATCAATATATATATATATATGTATATATAATAAATTAGCTATAGTTTATTTTTCTTCTGTTCACTAGTAAATTTTTTATTTGACAGGTAAATTAAAATAAATTAATATTTTATAGCTTTGTTCTTTCAATAATTTTTTTTCATATTTTTTTAAAAAAATAATACACTAAAATATTTATTATTTGTATATTTTCTCTACAATTCTCTATAATTTAAATAAAAAAAAAATATTTCCAACAATCTCACAAAACAAAAATAATCATAATATAATAAAATAGTGTAATATTCATTTAATTTTTTATATTAAATAAAAAATATAAGTATTTTAATATTTATTTAAAATTTATTTTTTTTGAAAAAATAAATAAATTATGATATAGACAAACTAAAATAGTAAAATAAAAAAATTATTCTTATATATAATTAAATTTATATTAACAAGTAATTTTATATTTAAAATATTATATCAATTTCTATTTAGGTCACAATAGAAAAACATTAAAATTTAAAATTTTATTATCCAAATAAAAAATTAGATATGATCACTTGGTTCGTTAGATTTGTAGCTTTTTTTTTTTTTTTTTTTTTTTTTTTTCTTTTTATAACTATTCAATTTGAAAAATTACTAATATAATATAATATTTTTTATTAAATCAAAATAAATTTTTTAAAATAAACTAATCCAAACAAAAATAAAATTATTATCATTATTATTATTATGAGCTAAACCAAACCATTGACTTCACCATTTCCACTATTCACTTACTCCACAAAAAGAGTTTCACTCACTACAATAAGTAATTAAAATATACCCACATACACATACATATATACATATATATATATAGAGAGAGAGAGAGAGTCGTCCCCTCGCAGTGGCAAAATGGATCAGGAATTGCCGAGAGAGAGAGAGCCTGAAGAAGAATCTTACAATTTGAGTGAGGGCACGCTGCTCATCGCCGCCGTTATAGTCCTCGCCGTCGTCCTCGTCGTCGCCTGCATCCACCTCTACGCCCGATGGCACCTCCTTCGCCGCCGCCGCCGCCGCCGGAGCCAAAGCCACATCGTCTTCTACGCCGCCGGAAACCGCCTCCGACCGGCCGTGGACCGCGGCCTCGATCCATCCGTCTTAAACTCACTTCCACTATTCCTTTACTCCTCCTCCTCGGCGGCGGAGGAGGAGGAGCGGCGCCGCCCGTCGCTAGACTGCGCTGTCTGCCTTTCGGAATTCGAAGAAAACGACGTCGTTCGCCTCCTCCCTAAATGCGGCCACTCCTTCCACGTGGACTGTATCGGAATGTGGCTTCACTCCCACTCCACTTGCCCGCTTTGCCGGTCCTCCATCGAACCGGTGGTGAACCCGGTCGGGCTGGCGCAGAAATTCCCCGACCGAGCGAGTGCTTCCGACGCCGGATCGAGTTCCGCGGCGGGAACCGGGTTGAGCGGTCAAAACGACGAGGGGAATAGCGATACGGCGTCGTTTTGGGGCAGGAGGAAAGGTTATTGTGGGCGAGGATTGTTAGGGATTCGGATTGAGACGCCGGCGGCGCCGCCGCCGTTAGATAACGAGATGAGTCAGAGCTCGTCGTTGTTATCATTGAAGAGATTGCTCAGTGTTAGCCGGAAACCACCGGCGGTTTCCGGCGGCGGCCGGCAAATTGCGACGGCGGAGACCGGCGAGTTGGGTTTGGAGAGTGGACTCAGTGAGTTAAGTGAAGCAACACGAGGAGAGGCAAACTCGGTCTAGAACGCAATATTTTTATTTATATATATTATTTGGACACATTGCCTATTTATATATTTTGTTTTCTTGAATTTTATTGAGCTAATTAAGAAATTATAAATATATGTAAATTTCTATTAGCAAACAAATCATTTTGATATTGCAAAAAAAATCATAAAATACAAATTTACAAATTATTGGTGAAATAAAATAAAGTATTAAATACTTTTTCCGTCCCAATTAATTTGTCAAATTATTGGAAATAAGAAAATTTAATTAGAATATAATTAATAAAAAATTAAAAAATATATTAGTAAAAATAATTATTATATAATAAAAATAATTATAAATCAAACTTAAAATAACTAAATAATTTAATTAAAATTTAAAATTATAGAAAATTATAAAATTTTAAACGTAATTAAAATATATGATGATATTTTCAAAAAAATATGACCAATTATGTATAATAAAATAGAAAAAATTGACAGATTACGTGAGAAAAAGAAATAAAAAATTAACATTTTTTTAGAAATAATTGAATTGCACATAAATGATATTAGAAAATAAATATTCATATATTGAATTAACTAAAAGTGCTAACTGATTTTTTGTTCTGGTAAATTTAAGAATTCAATTGAAAAATATAATAATAATAATAATAAAATACTATAATATTTCAAATAAATCAATTTAGAAGAGGCAATGTAAAATGAGAAGATTGATTAATTAGAAAAAAATAATAAATCAAATAAGATTGATGTGATATTTTATAATAAAATCAATTAAATTTTTATATATAATTGACTAAATTAAATAGTAAAAATAATGTCAAATAAACATACTTTGCAATTTATCAATATTTTTATGGAAATATTCTTTCCCTTTATAAAAATTACTCACTGCCTCAATACAACAGTCCTGTTTATCATTTTTGTCCGTCTTAAATAATAGTCTTATTTTCATAAATAATTATATCACTGTAAAATTACTCTTATTCTTTTATTATTATTACACAATTATCACTACTTTTTACACTAATAAAAAAAATATTTTACCAATACGTTTTATCCATTATCAATATAATATTAATATTTTTTAAATTCTGTGCCAAATACAATCCAAAATATAGTTTTGAGACAGAACGTGGAAATGTATATAAGTTTGGTTAGATAGTGAATTTAATTTAGGGAGAGAGTTCTTCTTTAGTTGGGTAATTTTAATTTTATAACTATTGTGAAGTCAAAAATATTTTAAAATTTTATATTTTGTAAGTGCAGTGAAATTAAATAAAAACTATATATATATATATCGAAACATGAATAAATTGGATATATTATTAACGAATGAATGAATAAATCAATTATCACATTGGGTTTAAATAAATAAATTAGGCTTTCATCATCCCCGGCTCGTACGGAACTCCGGCGGCGGTGATCCAGGTGTCGCCGACCAATGCTTTCCCCGGCGTCCAGCTCTCCGCCGTCGCCTCGTCGATATGCTTAATCCCCTTCCACTGGACCCGTTTACCCGTCTCGGATCCGGGGCCCCGATTCTCATACTCCGCATAGTAACACGTGTCCAACCCGTAGTTCCCGTCCCACTCCGACCACCCCGCCGGCGAAATGAAACCGCCGATCTCCGCCTGCATTATAATCGTCCTCGACAGCTCCTTCCATGGCCGCCCCAGGTACGCCTTCACCGGCGGATCCGCCGCCAGGAACTGCGGCGTGGCGGTGATCCGGCCGCCGTCGATAACAATCGCCCCCAGACTGCGTGGATCCTTGCGCCCCTGAGCCGTCACCATACACGCCTGATTCTCCATCGGCCGGCGGACGACGAACGTCGTGTTCTGGAAGATCGCCAGAGCGTCGCCGAAGACGAAGTCGATCGTGCCGGAGATGGTGCAGTCGCGGTAGAATTGCCGGTAGGTGTGCGTGTAGAGACTGTCCTGGTAACCGTCGATGTGTACGTTGAAGAAGACGGCGCGGTCGCCGGAGACCCGCAGCGCCACCGCCTGGTGGTTCGCCGCGCCGGCGGCGTTCTCGAACGCGATGTCCTTTGCGACGAAGTCGTCGGAATTCACACCTGCAAAAATAGTTAAAAGTCTTTAATTTTTCAATTTTTTTCCGTCTCTGAATTGAACTTCGACGACGCTTACCGACGGTGGCGGTGTAGTACGTCTTCACGCCGCCGGCGAAGCTCTTCCGGCCGGTGACTCTCGTCTTCGTCGGACCTTCTCCTAAAAGCACAATTTTGTTCGTATGTTTAGGGATTATAACTTCCTCGTTATAAACGCCGGCCTTCACGAAAATGACGAAGGTGTTATTGTTCTGCGGCGGCACCATTTTCAGAGCTTCGTTTATCGTCTTGAACTGACCGGAGCCGTCCTGAGCGACAACGGCGTTAATGGCGGCGTCGCCGGCCGGAGCTGAATTGTAATCGTACAATACTCGATTGGCGTGGTCGAATCCGGCGAGAAGTCGCCGCCCGGAGCTGATTCCTTTAAATCCGAGAGACTGAACAATCGACGAAATTCCGTCGAGCATTGCCAGGCCGTTGCTGGCCAATTCCTCGCCGGTTTTCAGAAGCTCCTTCATCTTCTCGGCGGCGTCGCCGGCGGTATTGTCGAAGGCGTCGACGCAGGTCTGGTGGTAAGTTCCGACGGCGCTCAGCCACGATTTAAGCTCCTCGAGGAATTCGCCGGAGCTGCCGGAATCGTAATCGCCGATTTGATTTACCGACCGTTTCAGGTCGTCGACGGCGGCGTTAAGAACTTCTTCGCAGACGGTTAACGCGTCTTTGACGCTTTTATCCTCCGCCGCCTCCTTGTACGCCGCCGATTGCTTGACGGCGGCGGCGATGGTGTTGACGGAATATTCCAGCGCCGCCTGGACGAGCTTTTTGGGGTCGGAGGAGTTGGAATTTGCGAGCGACTGCCGGCAGGTTTCTTTGTAATCCGTCTGGGCGCAGAGAGCTTCCGCCGCCTTATTAGAGCTGGTGATCTGAGCGCCGCCGAGGGCGGTGGTTTTCGAGACGACGACGATGGTGGCGACGACAATCGCCACCACCAGCGCCGCGACGGCGAATTTTCCGGTGCCGGACATAACGGTGATTAATTAAATATTAATTTTTTTTATCCTATGTGATAATTAATTAATTATTGATCCAATTAATTAATTTATTGGACAGAGTTCGGAGAGAGGTGTGAAAGCACCTCCCGGAGGAACTCTGTGATTATTGCGGCGGTGGAAATGGCGGACACGGCGGAGTATTTGTACTGCGGGGACTTTCTTAAAATAGAAAGTTGTACGGACAAAGAGGAGGGAGGGAGGGACGGGTTGCCGCATTTCTATGTTTGGGGTTCATTACATGATGACCAAATATGCGGCGATCCGAAAACAATGGGTATGTTTCTCCGGGGAAATTTTGAATTGAATTTAATATTAAAATAATATAGGATAGGATGTTTTATTTAACAAAAAAATGTATTTTTTTAAAAAAATGCAGAGTTCAAATAATAAAAATTTAAAATTTAATGTAAAAAAAACATACCCGAGGATTATTATACTTTTGTAAAGGAAATAGAAGGTTTGTTTGGTTTGAACTTCAAATTAATCTTTTTATTATTTAATCTATATGATTATTAATAAAAATATTATACCATTCTGGCTCGTATGTTATGCAAGTTGAGTGCATCACAACTATAAATTCCTCTCACATGTCAATACAAGTTATTACAATACATTTTGTCTTTATTCATGCGCTGAAAGTAGACAAATCTCACGAGAAAAGTAGTATTATCGACTAAAATTGTGTAAAAAATTAAATATGCAATATATTATCACAACCAACAATCAACAATAGTCAAGCAAACAATTCAACCTAGCTAAATCTACGATCCACACAATCAATCATTCGACTTGTCAATTAACTAACAAATTTCAAGTAGAATCCACAGCTTATTCAATATATCATCTAATTTGCTAATCAATGGTCAAGTCCAGATAAATTCACGGGTCATAACCAATCATCCGACTTGTCAATCAATGACAAAGTTTAATCAAGTCTACTGCTGACACAACAAATTATCCGATTTGTCAATCCACGACATACTCTAGCCAAATCCACAGCTCACATGCTCAACCAACTCCGGTTCATCATGTACACAACATTTCCATGCATCAACTACTAATAATAAGCCCGTCAAACCCTTGTAGATCAAGCGGTGAAACATCCTTCGCTTGACACACAAGACGTAATTACAATTTCACACGATACATAATGCAATGTTCCAGAGTCAAGTCGAGTTGAGTTAAGTTAAAAAAAAAGATTAATTAGTCTACCCATATAAATAATATGCATATTTTTTAATCAAACTATGTAAGAAAATTATTGAATAGTTAATCAAACTATGTGAGAAAGCATGAGAAAAGCAAAACATTTTGTAAGGATTTATTTTGATTTATGGATCAATCTATGATGTCAATATGCTTGGCTTGTATGACTTGTAGACCGATGTGTACAAATATTTTATTATTTTAGAAATTATTATAGTATTAATTTTTTATAAATTAAAACTAAAAAAAAATTAATTCAAATGCAAACCAATCAAAGAATATGTTCATTTAGGGTTTGTGGTGGTGTGATTTAAAATTGATTTAAAATGTGGTGTTGATTTTAGATTTTATTTAAATGATATTTGATGTAATTTTGTCAAAGATCATAGTCCAATTACAGATTAAATATTTCATTAAATATCTCATTTTTTTAACAAATACCTATACTTTAGGTTACATCGTTACTTTTACACAAAAAAGGAAAAACAAAAATATCATTACACTACTTTTAACTATCCACTATAATTAAAATATTATCATTTCTTAAACACCGGGCTAAAAGTAATTGTATACTTTATGTATAGACGAACGGAGTAATAAATTATATCCAATATGTACATGTGACATTAAAAAAAAAATGATAACAATAAATAGAATATTATGTCATATAGTAGCATTTTCACGATTTTATACTAACAACAAAATTATTCAATGCTATAAAAACTAAATAAATAAATTCAAACTATTGCCTTTGTTCAAGGAAACGACTAGCTTATACTCCCTCTATCCCAAACAAGGTGCAACATTTACTTTTGACACGGATTTTTAGGTGGATAGCATTAAGTAGGATAATTTAGAAATTAGGTGATGTGACGGAGAGAAATAAATATTTTATTTTTTTATTTGGATGATGTGAGAGGATAAAATATGGGGTAAAGATTAAGTATAATTAATTATTTCCTATTTTAGAATGTTGCAAGATGTTTAAGACGTACCAAAAAAAATGTTGCGGAATGTTTGAGACAGAGGGAGTACTATTTAATTTTTAAAAATTAATTATATAATTTAATTACTAAAAACAGAAAGTGAAATTTCCTAAACATGCGCCAAGCCACGTATAATCCGACAAATGACATCCGTACATATTTCTATTATTAGAAAGTCAGAGACCCATAAATAGATGGTTGGCTTCTTCAATTCTCATCCCTTCCCCCAAAAAAAAATAAAATAAATTAAAATAAAACAGAGTTCAGGAGGTGCCTCATTAATGGGCTCAAATGAACCCTGTCGAGTAATCGATCATTTTATAAAATAATAATAATAATATTTTTTTTTATTTATTTAATTAGTTATAAAATCGCAATAATGGCCGGAACCGGAAAATTCGCCATCGCGGGGCTCGCGTCGGTCCTAGTGGTGGCGATGGTGGTCGCCGCCGTGATAGTAGTTTCGAAAAACAACGCCGCCGGGGAGGGCGGCGCCGCCGTCACCGCCAACAACAAGGCGGCCGAAGCTCTCTGCTCCCAGACCGATTACAAAGAAACCTGTCAACAGTCTCTCTCCCAAACCAACAGCTCCGACCCCAAAAAGCTCATCCAGGCGGCGCTGGAATATTCCGTCGACACCATCAGCGCCGTCGTCAAGAAGTCGGAGCTCTTCAAAAAGGCGGCGGAGGACCCCGACGTCAAAAACTCCCTCTCCGTCTGCCAGGAGGTGCTCAACGCCGCCGTCGACGACCTGAAACGCACCGTCGATCAGGTCGGAGATTACGATCCCGACAAGCCGGAGGAATTCGTCGAGGATCTCCGGTCATGGCTGAGCGCCGTCGGAACTTACCACCAGACCTGCGCCGACGCCTTCGAGAACACCTCCGGCGACACCGGCGAGAAGATCAAGCAGCTTCTGAAAACCGGCAAGGAATTGGCCAGCAATGGCCTGGCCATGCTCGACGGCGTGACGTCGATTATTCAATCCCTCGGATTCGAAGGTTTTAAATCCGGCCGTCGACTCTTCGCCGACGACGCTTCCGGCGCCGGCGCCGGATTCGACCACGCTGATCGTGTGCTGTACGATTTCAACTCGCCGCCGGCGGGATCCGCCGCGATTAATTCCGTCGTGGCGCAGGACGGCAGCGGACAGTTTAAGACGATAAACGAAGCTATAAAAATGGTGTCGCCGCAGAACAATAACACTTTCGTCATTTTCGTGAAGGCCGGCGTTTATAATGAAGAAGTTATAATTCCTCGGTATATGAACAAGATTGTGCTGTTGGGGGAAGGTCCGGGGAAGACGAAGATCACCGGAAGTAAGAACTCTGTCGACGGCGTGAAGACGTACAACACGCCGACCGTCGGTGAGCCTCGCCGAGATCGGAAAAAAAATTAGGGTTAGGGTTTGAGTTTAAATTTGAAATTTAATTTGGGGATTTTGTTGCAGCGATCAACTCCGACGACTTCGTGGCGAAGGACATGACGATCGAGAACGCCGCCGGGCCGGCGAAGGGCCAGGCAGTGGCGCTGCGGGTCTCCGGCGACCGGGCCGTCTTCTTCAACGTGAACATCGAAGGCTACGAGGACACGCTCTTCACGCACACCTACCGGCAATTCTACCGCGACTGCACCATCGCCGGCACCATCGACTTCATCTTCGGTGACGCTCTGGCGATCTTCCAGAACACGACGATCGTCGTCCGGCGGCCGGCCGACGCCCGCGCGTGCACGATAACCGCGCAGGGGCGCGTGGATCCGCGAAGTCTGGGGGCGATTGTGGTGGAGGGCGGCCACATCACCGCCGCGCCGGAGCTTCTGGCGGCTGCGCCGCCGGTGCCGGCGTTCCTGGGGCGGCCATGGAAGGAGCTGTCGAGGACAGTGATAATGCAGGCGGAGATCGACGGCTTCATCTCGCCGGAGGGGTGGACGCCGATGAACGGGAACTTTGCGCTGGACACGTGTTATTATGCGGAGTTTCAGAATCGGGGCCCCGGATCCGACACGAGTAAACGGGTCCAGTGGAAGGGTATTCAGCGCATTGACCCGGCGACGGCGGAGGGGTGGACGCCGGCGAAGGCGTTCCTCGGCGACTCTTGGATAGTCAACGCCGGAATTACGTACGAGCCAGGGATGATGAAGGTCTAAAATTAGGGTTTTTTTTAAAAAAAAAAATTAATTAATTTATTGATTTGTGGATTTTTAAGATAAATTAAGGATCGAGTGTATTGTATTTGTTGTTTTGTTAATTGTTTTTTTTTAGGTCTCTCCGATTTGAAATGTAATAATGGAGGAAATCAAATTTGGGACACATGCTTTTATATTTTTTTTATATACAAAAGAAATAGTGTAATGAGGTTTTAATTATACTTGAATTTGTTATATATATATATATATACACGATACCATTTATAAAATAAACATACTAATTTTTTATATAAAATTTTATTGTATCAAAAAATTACTTTACTTAAAAATTAATTATAATAATTATAAAGTCTAAAATACGTAGCATACTTCTATGCTAGCTAACACAGGAAGAGCGGCCACCGCTACTCGAAAATGCGCACTGGATAAATTCCCGCTCGAACTTAATATCCTGCAAACTAGGTCCAACGAGAAAGTCACACTAGGCTAACCATGTGGGACAAGTAGCAGCTGATTTGATCCAAGTCATTATTGTTGTATCGAGTTATACAACTTATACTTCTTTCGTCCCAATACAATATACTTGTTTACTATTTTCGTCCGTCTCAAAACAATAGTCTCATTTCTATAAATAACCATATCACTATAAAACTATTCTTACTTTTTCATTATTATTACACAATTGTCACTACTTTTTACACTAATACGCTCACAAGGGCAAAAATTTCCATAAATAATCATATAACTATAAAACTATTCTTACTTTTTTATTATTATTACACAATTGCCACTACTTTTTACAATCATACGCTTACAAGGGCAAAAAAGTCTTTTATCCATACTTTTTACCCACTACTAATATAATATCAATATTCCTTAAATACCGTGTCAAACACAACTCAGACTATAGTTATGGGATAGAGGGAGTATATTATTATGTAATAGGCAAAATTGCTCAAACATATATATTATGCTACGTACAATTATATAATATAATATATTATATATTATATTAATATTTTTTTATGAATTATATATTGTATTGTATAATTTATTTGTAAATTATATAATTTTTTATTAAAATATTACTCCTCTATCCCTTTTGAATGTATCCATTTAAATTTTGTAGTAAAGTGAGAAATATTTCATTAGTTATTGAAAATGTGTTTGTTTGGAGAATTGGATTAGATTTTCACTATTCATTCCATTTTTTTCCTAAAAGACATCAAATTAAACACCTATTTTTCATTTTTTATATTATACTAAAAATAAATTTTACATTCAAAACATCACATCAACACCTATTTATTCACATCATACAACTATTCAAATTCAAAATTTTTACTATTTAAATCCCAACTTAAAATCCAAACCCCCAAACAAACACACCACATATTTGTCTTTGATTTTATTTTATGTAAAAATTAATTGTATTTGTAATACTTCTATTTTTAATTTATAAAAAAATTTAAGATATTTTAATATTAGTGTCTAATTACTTTTTGAATGGAATAAACAAAAATAATATTTTAAATTAGAACACAAGTAGTATATATATTAATACTCCCTCAGTATGACCTATTTTCTTTAAATATTCTTGACATAAAAAATGACATGTTTATATTTTTAATAAATTAATTCATTTTAAATACATTTAAGAAATATAAATCAATTTAATTATATTTTTAACTTCTTACAGGCAAAGTCTACTCAAAATTTTTATTTCTATCTCTCTTATACATAAATAAGTTTTTTATCTATATTTAAAATTTCTCATTTTTTATAAAATAAATTCTAAGTTAATTATAAATAAGTAATTATATTTTTTTTATTTATTTGTATTATATATTACCCTTCTAATTTACAATATATTACACAATTGCTATTACTTTTATATCATACAATACTAATAGGGTTAATTTAGTCTTTTTACCTTTATTTTTACTTTATCCAAATATAATACTAATATTCCAATCTCGTGCATAAACAAAATGGATAGATAGATTGAGGACGGAGGGAGTATAATTTTTTTATTAAAAAATAATATTCATATTATATTATATAAAATTTTATTATCTACAAAATAATTATATCCATATTGCATATTTTTTAGTGAGATATAATTTTAAAAATATCTAAAATACCTACTAACACTACTCATAAAAATAACAAAAATAGTATCATAGTTATTATTAATATCTTACGAATCTATATCATATGGCTAACAGAAGAGTTCATTTCTGCCAATTCTTTTTCATATAATAAAACTTTTAAATATCTGCACAATGTGCCTCCAGTGTCATTACACATTATTTAAGCCTTTTTCTAATGGCATTCATTCTACAACACACCACCCTTATTCTTCAGACACATATACATTTATATATAATATATATATATATATCAATCTTAGTAATAATAATTAGTATTAGTATTAGTATATTATGAAACCTGAAAGTGGTGTTTCTGGCAATAAACAGCATCTTCAGAGCTTAGAAGATGGTGTTGTATTAAGCAGCAGGTTGAGCTCGAGCTTGGCAATGGCTCCCAAGTGGACTTCATCAGGACCATCAGCTATCCTCAGTGTTCTTGCAGTAGCCCAGAGATGAGCAAGCACGGTGTCTCCTGACAACCCCGCCGCCCCGTGCACTTGCATCGCCTTGTCCAGCACCTTCAGGGCCATGTTCGGAGCCGCCACCTGAAAACAAAATCCGACCACCCAAGTTTTATCAACAACCACCATATACTTCTCCGGTCGCCATTCTCACCACTCATTCAACATGTAAAAATATTTTACTCTCCATCCGCCTATAAGGGTTACATTTACAGCGTTATATAAATATCATTACATCAGTATTATAAGAAAAATTTTGTCATTTTCCCTTACATTGAACTACGTTTTTTATATTATAATTAATACTCCCTCCGTCCCATAACAAAGTATCAATTTTTCCATTTTAGTCCATCCCATAACAAAGTATCCATTTCTTTTTTTAGTAATTGTACTATCTACTTAACATTATAAATACCCTTACAACTTATATTACACAAATGTCATTATATTTATCACACATAGTAATAAGGTTATTTTAGTCATTTTTACTTTATTCCTACTACATTCAAATATAATATTAATATTTCTAAAACTACGTACAAAAAGCAAATGGATATTTAATTATGGAACGGAGAGAGTATCATTTTTTTCTCATAAAACATTACGTCCAAACCACGATTCAAACAAACAAATAAACAAAAAAAATCACTTAACTAAACACATCTTAAGAAAATTAAAAAAATACTCCCTCCATGTTTACATATCTCTATTTTCATCGGTCCAATTTAAAGGTTTACATTTTTTTCTTTAGTAAATTTGAACCCTACCACTAACTACTAATACATTTTTATTTTATACTTATTTATTATCTTATCTTCACTTTATCATACACTCGTATCAAAAAGTAAAGACAATTTGGTCTTTACACTATTATATCTACATGTCTCTTAAAATACTAATATTTTTTAATCCGTCTGCAAAAAATAAATATAAATGTTACAGCTGGATTAGAATATTAATATTTCTTAATCCGCATGCAAAAAATAAATGTAAATGCTAAAGCTAAATGGAAGGAGTGTATTAATCTCTCTTATAGAATATCATATCAAACTAGTGTACAAATACAAACAATGCTTTCAATCTTCAGTAAAAATATTTACTTTTCCTTTATAAAGACGATTATACCCAAAACTTAAGACATTGCTCTCGAGTTCTTTCTGATTTTATTTATTTTAAAAAAAAAAAAAAAATTTCTATTCAATTTCACAATTTCCTATAAAAATATTAACAGTTTTTCGTATAAAACATTATATGAAACAACAATTCACTCAAAAAAAAAAAAAAAAAAGAGTGAAAAAATCTTTATTTTCTATTTAAAACATCGTATCTAAAAGAAACCAAAATGAAGTAATTGATCCCTCCATTATTAAGCCCATTTAGATTTCCAATTGGCGCCAAAATATCAAACAAAAACGCACATTAAGTTTTTAAAGTTTTAGTGAAAAGCCATAAATACCTTGGCCATGGCGATTATCCCACGGGCCCCTTTGTTTCCAAGACGATCGAGTTGATCCGCAGCTTCAAGAACGAGCAATCTTGTGCTCTCTAGCTCGATCCGGCACTTTATCAATGAAATAAAGAAATAAAACATATCAAAATACAGCTAGAGCAAAAAATTAGACTCGATTTTAGCCCATGGCTAACACAAGGGACTCCTTTAGCAAAAATAGACATTAATTTCATCATTTCATCAAGAACACCTATGGCTAAACCCAAAAATCAGTAATCCTAGATAGCAAGGGAAAAAATAACCGATGTTGAAATGAATTCAGAGATTGGGAACTCAGGTCGAAATTTCATTACTTGGATTAGTCTAAATAGCTTCGAGTTAAGTCTTTGGTTCTCTAACTTTGAATCCCATATTATTTTGACAACGGTTTTTATATCTCACACTTTGTTGCACTAATAATCCTAATTCTATACGAGTTTCCCATATTATTTTAAATGCCGCGCGCAAAATTAAGACTATCAGAACTATGACGAGAGAAATAAAACACTATTTCCAAGCATGGTCATTTAAAGAGTCATCGCTTATAGAACTGAACCCAAATCGACACCAATTTCACGTGCAAGGACATCCCAAAATGGAATATAAGTTCCCGGTTTTGTGATCTTAAAACTACCGAATTCTATAATCATAATTGAGTTCCAAGGGAACTTCAAATCCACTTATTCAAAATTCTCCAATTTCAATTTTCAAATGTACATAATAAGACGATCACCGGGTTGAAATAGATTCACATTTTCGTGGTGATAACTGTAACTTAATAAAAGAGTTTGGTTCAAACCTTAGCAAGATCCGAAAGGAACGAGCCATGCTGCGCAATTAGCTTGTCGAAAGCCCTTCTGCTTAGTGCCCTTTGAACCATCAACTGCATACCACGTTCGGCGGCACCAATCAACCTCATGCAATGGTGCATTCTTCCCGGCCCAAGCCGACCCTAAAAAAAAGAAAATGAAAATACGAAACCAAACTTTCAAGGAACCCGTGTTACAACTAGAATTGAAGTAATCACTTTAAAAACCAGATACATGTTTAGCTGAATAAAAATAGAATGTGTTTACTTGTAAGATTTTGGTTTTGAATAGTATAATTTTGAATTGAAAAAGTTATTTGATGTGATAGAAACGTGTATTGATGTGATATTTTGAATGTAAAATTAAATTTTAGTTGATATAATAATTAAAAAATGGATATTTGATTTGATATTTTTGGAGGCAAAAAAAATTAGAATAGTAAAATCAGGTGAAAAATTGTATATAAGTAAACACACTCTTAGAATAATTGTTCACCTGTGCAATTTCGAATCCGCGTCCTTCTCCGAGGAGGATATTATCAGCTGGCACACGAACATTCTTGAAAGTGATTTCGGCATGTCCATGAGGTGCGTCGTCGAATCCGAACACCGTCAACGGTCTCTTTATGGTAACGCCGGGAGTTTCAATGTCTACCAAGATCATCGATTGCTGCTTGTGTTTCGCAGCTTCAAAGTCGGTTTTTCCCTGCATAATAATAACAATAATAAAATTATAATCTTGTAAATTGATTCGTAAATAACACATTTAATTTAATCATTTGTTTGTATCAATCTAATTCTATTAAAAGAATACATCCTTCGTATATATCATACTGGAAAATATCTATCAAATATGACCAACCATGACGATAAGAACTTTGCACCGAGGATCCATAGCTCCGCTTGTCCACCATTTTCGCCCGTTGATTACATACGAATCTCCATGTCTATCAACATTGACATAGTTCGACTAAATAAATCAACCCGAATTGTTCTCACATAAAAATTGAAGTTCAAAATGGATTGTCAAAATCTTGCACTAATCATACCCCTTTATAGAGCACTCTATATTGGTAGCATCCGAGGATGCTACTTGTGGCTCGGTCATCGCAAATCCCGAGCGGATAGTTCCGTCGAGCAAAGGAATAAGCCACCGACGCATTTGTTCAGGACTTCCATACCGCATTAGTACCTATTTCAAAACCATTTTCTTTTCATGAGGATATTCAGATTCAATTTCTAATAAGCTTCTAGCATTCGGCAAGCTCGTCACCTCCATATTTCCGGTGTCCGGTGCTCCGCAGTTAAACACTTGCGGCGCGCAAATAGATCGGCCCATGATCTCGCAGAGGTGTCCATACTCAAGATTTGTAAGTCCCGGGCCCAACAGATCATCAAATTTTGTGTCGAGAGGATCACTTCTTCCACGGCCAATGATTTCTTTAACCCGAGCAGCACTATCAAACTGCAAAAAACTTTCAGATTTTTGTCGATTTTTCAAAGCATTATAAACAGGAGAGAAATTTATCGGGAGACTATATGATACCGGTATGAATAAGTTCCACAGGCCTTCTTTTTTCGCAAGCTGCTTTAATCTTTCTTCCTCGGGGTGAATCGTCCAGCGCTTATCAGATTGAGCAAGTTTGTAGAACTCTTTTTCCATTGGATATATGTAATCCTCCATGAATCTGATCAATTTGTTTCTCAATTCTTGAACTTTCGGGCTTGGAACAAATCTTCCTCCGATTGGCTGCAGGGTATCCCGGGTTTCATTTCCAGCTTGTTGCCTTTGTTGTTGAGGAACTAATTCTGATATATCGAAACCAAGTAAAATGCAAGGATAGTGTAAGTAGAGGAGAAGTACTGAAATCAAAATTGGAGTTCAGTGACAATTCAAATCCAATTTTTCCCAAAAATCATAAATACCAAGTTCCCAAATTCGATTTCAATTAAGATCGACGACACTACTTGAGACTAATACAAGAAGAAAAAGAATGAAGCATTCGATGCGAAGGCAAATTAAAGTTCAAATTGTAATTATATTAGATCGAAAACATGGTGAAAAACATGTCCGAGCTTTCCAAAGTTACATGCTTCATTCGTCCTTTTAGTAGAAATTATATCCAAAAAGTGAGGTTTACCACGAGGGGGATTTGGCGGAAGCGGTGATTCTCTATTAATAAATCTCCACGCAATATCGATCATATCATCGGCCTTCTTTCCAGCATTGTGAGCACGTTTTCCACCCGAAGCATTGCCCTATAGAGACATTGTACAGAAAAGATTAATCAAAGCCCAGCTACAAACTAAAATCCTTCCAAACACAGAATTAAACCATCTAACAAAAATAGATTCAAATAAGTTCAATAGATCATACCAAGATCCATCGACAATGCACGCCGGCGAGGATGGATGCTCCGCGGAACAAAGAAAAAGCAACATAGAACTTCCAATTGGCAGCAGGCCACAGCCTCCCCTGAATTGCAATAATCGAGCAACGAGAATGTCCTCACTTTAATTTTGATCGAAGATAGATTTAAAAATTTTTAAAAACAAGTGTGGTTCGGAAAATGTAAAGTCCCTCAAGAAATGTCGAGCTAATTATACAATTGGTGTACCAATTTTACTATTCGAAACGCGGAAATGCGGACTTTGATACAATGTCAATTAGTTCTCACCGCAGCAATGCAGTAATCTGCAATATATTCAGCAAGGGAAGGAATTCCTTCAGGAATTTCAGTCAAATCGTGGATTCCAGTTGACTCCTCTTTGTGCATAGAAATATCAGCAACGTAATGCTGTAATGACAAAGAATAAAGAATAAGCATCGATTCCACGTACAGATTTCAGTACACGAAATTTAGTTTCAGACAAAAGTGGATTAATCATTCGATTACCAAGCAACTGCACGCAGTGATGTAATATGGCATAAATAAAAAGCATCATTTCAAGAAATGTAGTTTCAGACAACATATGCACAAATAATTCGATTACCAAGCAGCTGTACGCAACATCGCACATTTGATTTCCCAGAGTGGAGAGCTCCCAATCTATAATCCCGATGACTCGATCCTGGAATTTTAAAACAATAAATAGTTTAGAAAATTTCAGTATAGGGATAACACACCACATGTTAAAAGACAGTGTAAGAAATGTCAGTCGAAGCAACCTCAATGGGATGGAATATAAGATTGTCGATGCGATAGTCGCCATGTACTAAACCCGCGGCTGCACCCGACGAATCTTCAAGAGGAATGTTTCGCTGTAGCCAATTGCCAAGCTCCAACATTCTTGGATTTCTATTAGACTTGCCCTCACCAGTAGAAACAAGATACTGTTTGCCCCATCTCTCCACCTAAGGACGTACAAAAATTTCATTACCTCGTCACAATACAATGTAAAGACAGTTCAAATTGTCACAAAATATAAAGTTAAATTTCCTAGTTCGTACTACAAAAACATACTTAATTATGAATCTAATGAATATCCACTCTATAATTACCAAACGCCCGAAAAAAAAAAAAAAAAAAAAAAAAAGAAACGCCTCGAAGGGTGTGTTTGTTCGAGGGTTTGAATTTTGGGTTTGTGATTTGAACAGTAAAAACTTTGAATTGAAATAATTGCATAATGATATAAATAGGTCTTAATGTGATGTTTTAAATATAAAATTAATATTTAATATAATATAAAAAATGAAAAATAATTGATTGATCCGATATTAATAGTAAAATTTTGTGAAAATCCTGTAAAAGAACACACCCTTCACGTAGAAGAAAGAAACTTGCGAAAAAATGCATTACCGACCTGCCGTTTGCAGTAATTATTTGGTTTGCCGTAATTGCTCAAACCGACGGCATTCACATCGGCAGAATGGAGGGATGCCAAAGCTTTGGCTGTTGCAAGATAAAGAGCTCTCCTTTGCCTCGGGGGAACACCCTGAATCGACGACGTAATAAATAATCAAATCCACGTACTAAATCGAAAAGCTTGAACAAAGAAAACAAGACAAGTGAAAAAAAAAAACTCATACCGGAAGCATCGGATCGATAAAAATGCGTCCTTCTAGGTGCTCCATAATGTAGAATGGAGTCCCTATCACTTCCGGATCGGTGCACAAGCAATAGACTTTGGGCACGGGAACCAGTGCATGAGTTCCCAAGGCATGTAAAACCTGCAATGTTCGAATAATTCACAGAAAAAATGAGAATATTTACCAGAAAACAACGAAAAACAAACTTGGCGGATTAGAATAGAACCCGATACTCTCTCTCAACAGCATGTGCAGAGTCAAGTAGTTTTCCGGGAGGCTTCTTCCTCAGGACATACTGCTTCTTCACAGGCCCTTCGCGCACATCCAGGAGAAATGTCGGATTTGATTGACCGTGTCCGAACTGAACAGGAAGTACAGAAATGCTTACATAGTGTAATCACATTGTCCTGTCGAAACAAAGCTCTTTCCTATTTTCATCTAGTCATTAGATGTTCTCATTTCTTTGCAACATTGAATTTTGCAAATGATGGAAACAAAGCATAATCGAATCTCCGAAAATAGGATGAATTCTGATAGCATCCAAACAAAACTAAAGAACTAAAAGCGCCTGAGAAGCTTTCAATCATTACAAACTAGCTGGGGGATCGAAAACACGAACAGTTTCTTCTTCCTTCCTCCCGTTTTTTCAGACAAATCAACAACATTACATCACCTAGATTTTGTCTTCTTCTTCTTGTTCTTCCCTCCCACATTTTCAGACAACTCAACAATCGCCTAGATTTCGTCGAAACAAAATACCCCCTTTCCATCTCCCTACTTCATACTTCTCAAAGTGTAAAAACACATTTACATAAAACTTTTAGTACTAAACTTTTTCAATAAAGAACATTTCATCAAATCCATTCTTTCTACACAACTTTTTACTTCTCCTAAAATTTTCCTAAACTCCAAAACTACTGAAAATTCCATCTACAAGGAGCCTTAGCTTTTAACTTATAATTTATCCAACTGAAGGCTCCTTATGCAATTCTTCAACAATTTTCTATACAAAACATTTTATACACTGACAACTGTTTCATCAAAAACACAAATTCAATTCAACAAATCAACAGGCATATAGTTAAGCATCACGAATCATATCAAACTTCCCCAAATTTCAATTCTAGAAACAAATAAACAAGTAATAAACCTGAGAAATGGTGAGTTGCGAAGGGTTTGGAGGAAAGCCATCAACGTTGGCGATCGCGTAGCGCAGCAAAGCACCGCGATCGAAGCTCTGTGCCGGGTCGACCCGAACCACAAGCTCCGATGTCCGGACCGCCATTCTTCGCCGGAAATTTCAACCCGATCTATAAAACCCTCGGAAAAGAAAAAATCGATTGAGTAAGAAAGCAAGACAGGGACAGAGACAGTGGTCGGGAGATATCAAAATCTCGAAATAAAGAATGAATTGGGTGAGATAAAGTCATCCGAATGAGTATGGGTTTGGGTTTGGCTCCCTCGATTTCTGCTCTGCCCTTTTGTCGGAGGCTGCCGTCTGGCTTCCAAAATCCAACCACGTACGGCTATGGCTATGGCTAACTAAACTGACAATAATAATAATTTAATAATAGCAACGTGCAATACAATAATGTTGTATTTTGAGATATAAAATTTGTGTAGGATTGACTTTTACTATTTTAATTTTTTTTAATATTAAATTAAATACATACTAGGTTGTGTTTTTCTTATTAGATTTTATCAACATTTTATTATTTATCATTTTTTTTCAAAACTTTTAAATTATTTTTTTATTATAATAAAAATTAATAAAGTAAGTGACAATAAACGAACCATGTGTGACGGGTAAAATTCGAATGGTCTAGGTTTAAACTCATGACTCATGATCACGAGTTTATCCCACACCACTAGGTCTCCAATTATGGGTGTATTTTTTTAGTAAAATTGTTTAAATAAATATATGTGAAGTATAAAAAATATTTGGTATGTATAATAAAAATTACTTTTGACGCGGTGTTTAGGAAATAATAGTATTTTAATTATAGTGAGTAGATAAGAGCAGTGTAATGACATTTTGCCCTTATTTTTTGGTATAAAAGTAATGATGTGATGTAAAATAAGGGTATCTATGGAAAAAAAAATGAGATATTTAATGAAATATTTATTTTGTAATTGGACGTCCTAAAAGAGAAATGTATAAACTTTTTAGCCGAATTGAGAGAGAAGAACGCATTAATATCTAAAAATTATACAAATAAGTGACATAATTATGAGTATGTACTTAATTTTTAAAAAGAAAATAACAAATTATATCTCATAAGAAGGGCACCATTTGTTTTTTTTTTTTCATTGTATTTAGTATTAAAAATATTTTTATATTTGTAGGATTTACTCAATATATTATTGTATTTATATTATAACAGACTAATAAAAATATTTTTGTAATTTTTTCTTACTTTGTACTACATATTGATATAATAATTAAATTTAAAAATCAATACGTCAAAAAAAACTCATTGTATCCTTCTTATGGAATGGATGGAGTATTTAAAATAAAACTACACATTTTTAATTCAAAAATTTTTGAGTATATATTTGTTTAATGTTTATAGTTTTATGTGTTTTATTGTAAATTATATTTTATGTGTTTATAGAAAAATAATATATTTCTCCTTCCTATGTGAAAGTAGCAATTTTTCACTATTTTTTTCAGTCCATCCAAAACTATTTATTTTTCTATTATAAAAAAATAATTATACGCAAATATCAAAATATCTTTTACCTTTATTTAAATTACAAATATATCATTATATAAACATCAATAATGTATACGTAATGTACAAATAAAAAAGATGTTAAACCATCTTATATATATTCACTACTTCATATAATATTATTACTCTCTCCGTCCCAAAAGTAAGTATCTATTTGCTTTTTGCACGTAGTTTTAGAAATAATAGTATTATATTGTGATATAGTAGGAATAAAGTATAAATGACTAAAATAACCTTATTAGTATATGTGATATAAAGGTAATGACATTTGTGTAATATATTGTAAATTGTAAGGGTATTTGTAATGTTAGATAGATAATACAGTTACTAAAAAAGGAAATGGATACTTTGTTATGGACAGACTAAAATGGAAAAATGATTATTATATATGGTAAATAATTTAAATATATATTAATAAAAATGATTATTATATAATACAAATAATTATAAATTAAAATTAAAATAATTAAATAATGTAATTAAAATAAAAAAATTATAAATTATAAAATTTAAAATATAAAAAAAAGCTTATAATCATCTTTTATCGTTCAGAAAAGAAAATAAACCAATTGTATACAACAATACTATGTTTTTTAAAAACATGTGATTGTAAAAAATAAAAATAAAATAAAAATTCATCAACAATAACAATAACTACATATATATTTTATATATATTTTAAAATTAACATTATTAAGGTATATTAAATATGTCACTTTAGAGTTGATTTTTTTTCAAAAAAAAGAAAAACATAAATAAATAAATAATACTAATAAAAATGAATATTAATAATATAAATGTATTTTAGTGTGTAAATTGTAATAAGTAATAATAGGGGGAGTGAGATAAAATTATAAGTTCGATTATATATATATATATGATTATTCTTGCAAAACAGTCCAATGATTATATATATTATTGTTTTGGGCCCACAAATGTTGGGCTATTGTGTTGATATTGGGCTTGGGCCACGTGCCGATCCGGCCCGTCAAAGCTTGTATAAATATCATATGCACTAAGTGGCCGAAGAATGGATAATTTTCAAAAATTTGAAAAATAATATAGTATATTTAATTTATACGTATAAAACATATTCTCTCCGTCCCAATACAATAATCTTATTTACCATTTTTGTTCGTCCCAAGCCAATAGTCTGATTTCCATAAATAATCATATCACTATAAAATTATCTTTACTTTTTCATTATTATTACATAATTGCCATTACTTTTTACACTAATACACTCATAAGGACAAAAAAGTTTTTTGCCAGTACTTTTTACATTCTAGCAATATAATATCAATATTCCTTAGATCTCGTATCAAATACAACCAAAACTATAATTTTGGGACGAAGGGAGTATATATCTATTTATTTTCGAGTAATTATATTTTTGAATTATTATATTTTAAAATTTATGCTAGCTATGGTGTTGATTAGATTAATCTATCACTTGGTAAATTGTAATAGATGCACAGTAAAATGGGCGACAAACCCCCGTTCTTTTTTAAATTAAAATTTAATTTAATATTTATTATAATTAAATGAAAAAAATATATACAATATATGTCATTTTGTAGAGAATAAAATTTTTTATAATACAAATAAATAAAAATTTAAATATATATATATGTTTGGTATAATATAAATTCATAATCAAATCATACAATATAAATTTTATCAATTAAATTTAATACACATTTATATTATTTTATTCATTATCCATCAAATCAATAAATATCAAAACTCCCCAAACCCCAACCAAAGCCAAACCCAAACACAAAAGAAACAACAAAATCCAAACTCATCCTAAAATTCAAATAAAAACCAAACCCTAACCCAACTTTTACCAAACTCCTCTAAAGAAATATACCCTAAAAGTCTCTAAAAATATTGACAAATAACGAATACATATTATAGATATTTTTTTTGTATTATTTGAAATTGACAAATAATGCATATATCTTCAAAAGAAATTTTAACACTTAATAACAAAAATCATTAAATTATTTCATTCTCACAACTACAGATTTGTTTGGTTTTTATGTGAATTTAAATATTTTATTTAATTTTTTTCAAAATAATATTTTAAAAATGTATATTTTTATTATACAAACTAAATAATGTTCTCTCCATCCCAACTGAAAGTATCGTTTTTTACCATTTTCTTCTCAAAGTATCTTTTTTTCTTTGTATTTTAATAAAAATAATTATATACTAATACAAAAATAACCTTAATTTTTACCTAAATTACAAGCATATTATTATAAGTATAATTACTTTATAAATAAAATTAAATGGCAAAAATATCATAACTTCAAACACACTTCCACTAAGCAATAAAATACTACTCCCTCCGTCCCACATACGGTGTCTGCTACACTGTAGACACGGTATTTTAGGAGGGGGTGTAATGAGTAGATAATTAAAAATGTATTAGTGAAAATAATTATCCTATAATATAAATTATTATAAATTAAGATTAAGATAACTAATTAGTTTAATTAAAATTAAAAGAAAAATAAAAGTAAAAAGTTTAAAATGAGATTAAAGTGTATAATCATTTTCTAAAAAAAGAAAGTGACATAGTATCGTGGGACAGACAAAAACGGCAATGTGGACATGGTACGTGGGACAAATAGATTATTATTTTTTCATTGACTACAAAACTCCAAAAGATCCTTTTAGAGTTGGACAAAGTAATAATTTTGATTTAAAATCTAAATCAAACAAATTCTAAATTTTAGTATTTTTTATATTATAGTATATACAAATAAATTCGAAAAATTGTCACGAAAAATAAATGGGCTGCGACGGTTGCCATCGTTAATATCAGAGATTAAATCGAAACAAAGACCCAACCCTAATAGATACGCACATAAATAAATCGATTTTTTCTATTTAATTGTTTCATTCATAGTAAAAATATACATGATTTTTTTATTTTTATTACAATATCACAATCAATAATACTTTTACCTATATAGAAAAAATACAAAATTTACAAAAATACAAACCAAACAAACATATAATACTTTAACTTCAGTTGGTAGAAAATGTTTTACTTTTAGCTTGACTTGGAGTTTAATTTAATTTTATTTTATTTTATATAATTGCAATGAAAGTAACACTTTAACTTTATTGAATTAAAACTTTGTTCATTTGACCATTATTTTTACTTTTAACACTTTAATTTACATAATTTTCTATAAAATATACTATATTATATATTTTTATCCTACAAAAATTTATTACAATTCACTATTCAAACAAAGAATCAAACTTTTTTTTTTTTTATTTTTTATTATGACGTGGTAACCCGCAGCCGCTATCCGAAAGTACGCACTGGGTAAACTTTCGGCCGAACCTAATACCCTGCAAACTAAGTCCGACGAAAAAGTTACACTAGGCGAACTATGTGTAGCAGGAGGACCTGAGGCGTTGGGGGTTTGAAGCCAATATATATATATATATATATATAACAAGCATAAGCATAATTACCTGTTCAATTGATAGTATAATTTTAATTAATCAATTTAAACAAAATATCTCAAAGTGTTGTTTTTTTTTAATCTTACATCACATTATATGATTAATTTAAGTAATCTTAAATGCATAGGTGATTAAAATATCCGAAAAATTCAATTAGAATTAAACCGAAATTTAAATTTGGTTCGGATTACTTGAATTTTCAACTGGTTTGGATTGAATTTTTGATAAATTTCGGATTTTGGCATTGATATTTTTGTCAAATATCGAATTTTCAGATCAAATTAGATCAGTATGCTTAAAATCCGATCCAATTCGAAATTTGAAATATAATATTTTAATATATTTTTTTTATTATATATTTAATATAAATAAAACTCAAAATTATAATTATATTTTAATATATTTATTATATATATATATTTAATATTATAAAACAATTATAAAATATAAAATTAATTATAAAATTTTGAATTCTGAATTTTTCGGTTTGATTTGGTTCGGATTGATTTTTTCAAAAAATTAAAATTTTCGAATCGGTATGAATTTTGCAAACCGAACTAAAAATTCGAATACTCACCCCTACTTAAATGGATTATATTGGCGGTGTTCATTTAAATTTATTTCTCCTTCACATGCTGACAAATGCAGATAATTGAATATTTATGTAATATATTTATTTTTATTATTTATTTTTTCTATTTTCGTACTATTTAGTTTTTATATTTTTTTGAAATTATATTATTTCAATTTTGCAAAATATTACATTTAATATATTATTTAAGTAATTAATTAATACCATTTAAAAAAAAAAATACACTAAATTTGATTTTACAAAATATCTTATCTAATTTATTATTTAAATAAAAAAAATTACCAAAAATATTTCTTATAGATGCTCACTTATTAAAACTATCTCTTTATTCGATTAATTATTTATTCTTGACCAATTTATTCATAAAACTGTATTTTTTTTTATTTTTTTTTTTATCTTTTTTATTAAACAAAAAATTATTTCTCAGTGAATTTTTTTTCTTCCAATTTCATCCTCTGTATCGAATGTCTCATAAGTGCATTGGGATGCATTCTTTTTTTTGTAAAGTCTATTTTATTATTTGCACCAGTGAGATGAAAAGAACAAGGACAATAAAGCAATGCCTATTATGATATTTAATTAGGAACTACTTTTACAAAATAAAAAAAAATAAAAAAATAAAAAAGCAAAATAAAAAAACAAATAATTTTGATTTTGACAAAAATGACAAAATGAATATTTTGACTGGAACGAAAGAAGTAATATTTAAAGCCAATCCCGACATTTACTCATTCCATCCCACGTAAATTATCCACATTTCTCATATAATTTTTTATTTTTTAAAAAATATAATTATACATTTTAATTGTATTTTAAATTTCATAATATATAATTTTATAATTTTAATTTAATTATTTAATTATTTTGATTTTAATTTAAAATTATTTTAATTATATAATATAATAATTAATTTTACTAATATATTTTTTAATCAATTAATAATTATATTTTATATAAATTCTCGTATTTACCGTTAAAATAGACAATTTTTCTTGAACATATTAAGGGTGTGTTCGGTTTTAAGATTTTGTAAAAATATTACTATTCATCCTATTTTTTCCCCCCAAAAACATCAAATCAAACACCTATTTTTCATTTTTTATATTATATTAAAAATCAATTTTACATTCAAAACATCACATCAGCGCCTATTTATATCACATCATACAACTATTCAAATTCAAAATTTTTACTATTCAAATCCCATCTCAAAATCCAAACCCCCAAACAAACACACCCTAAGTATATATATTATGTGCCTTCGTGTATGTAAATGTAACAACAAGAAGAATGGCCTGCGGCTTTGTTCTGCCTCCTTGTCTCATTCAGTCGTTTCGTTCCTCCCTAATTAAATATACAGACAATTAAAATATATATATATATATATATACACAGACAATTAAGAATCTCCATTTTAATTATCAATTCTTACATTAAAAAACTCAAGGCCGGCTCTAATGGCGGATATACGTATACACATATATATGTATATATATAGCTGGCAAAAACTAACCCGACACGACAATTTGATATAAACCCGACATAAAATAATTGGATTTGGGTCACGTATTTTAACCCGATTATGTATACGGATTGACACGAACCCGATAAGTTAATAAACGGGTCGGATTAGAGTTGACGTTCTTAACTCAAACCCGACACGATAACCAGATTATATTATGTAAAATAATTATAATTTGATAATTTGCTCGTAAATTAATTTAAACTAAGTTCAATATTAAATAATTTAACCTAATTCATTGCACATATTATGCTTAAACCAATAAAAACTAACATAAAATAACAGCACGACAAAATATAATCTAATTTGAATAAAAAATCTCGAATTAATTTTGTATACGGGTCCACACGATAATAAACGGATCAACACGTACCCGACACGATAATAAACCGGTCGGATTAGAATTGAGTAATTTAACCCGTTTAAAGTATTCAATCCGACACAAATCGATGCATTCTCAGCTTTATATATATATATAAGGCTTTATGTATGTATGCATATACATTTATGTCCTCAAAAATGAAGTCGATTACTGTTTCTTGCCTCTTCGTTCTTACAATTTCTGTCTTCTTATCATTTCCTCGAGCTCTTAGCCATGGCGGCGATAATTATGAATCTATTGCCACGTTGCAATCGTGCTTAATCCATCGGAAAGTGAATAATTTTTACATGTATCCGACGGCGGGGAACGATCCAGGCGGTTTTTATTACAGCCTGCTGAATTTCTCTATCCAGAATCTTCGATTCGCCGGCGCCGCCGTGCCGAAGCCGGCGGCGATCGTCTTGCCGGCGAGCACTGCGGAGGTCGCCGACAGCGTGCGGTGCTGCCGGAAAGAGGGGTTTGAAATAAGAGTGAGATCCGGCGGACATAGCTACGAGGGCTCCTCGTACGTCTCCGGCGGCGCGGCGCCGTTTGTGGTGGTGGACTTGATGCGGCTCGACCGGGTTCATGTTGACGTGGCGGCGGCGACGGCGTGGGTCCAGGGCGGCGCTACGCTAGGCCAGGTCTTTTTGAGATACTTTTTAGATACTTATTTTAATTAATGATTCATCCCTACTGTAACAAATACTAGTATAACAATCAAAATATTAATGTCTTCGTCCGGTTCTAAAAGTCACATTTATCTTTTGCGGCAATGTAGTTAATATTAAAAATATATTTATATTTGTATAATTTTTTTTTTACAAATGTCTTTCTATTAGTATTATAAGACACTAATGAAAGTATTTTTGTAATTTTTTCTTTATTTGTACTACGTTTTGATATAATAATTAATATTCAAATATCACAAGCAAAAAGTAATTGAGACGTTTAGAGTCGGACGGAGGTAGTAATTTTTAATTTTATTAAAAATAATCATACATTGATATTCTTAATTTTTTTCTAAATTACTAATATATCAACATATACAAAATTATTAATATATCATTACACATACAATTATTTTATAAATAGAGTCAAATAACAAAAATGTCAAAATATCTTATATAATTCTACTAACCAATAAAATACTTTTATATCTCAATTCAAAGTACATTTTTTATCATTTTCGTCTTTTCCACTTCAAAGTATTTTTTTTCTATTTTAAAAAAATAATCATCTATTAATACCAAAATACCCTTAATATTTACTTAAATTATAAATATATCATTACATATACAATTATAAGAATCAAATGACAAAAATGTCAAAAACTCTTATTCACTTCTAATAACTAATAAAATACTATTATGTTTTAATATACTACAAAATCCTAAAAAGCCCATTTAATTTGGGACGAAAGAAGTACTCCCTCCGTCCCATATAATATGAGCGTGTTACTTTAGATACGAGAATTTAGATAAACTGTAATTAGTAAGTAATTAAAAAGTGTATTAGTAAAAATAATTATTGTATAGTAAAAATAATTGTAGAGTAAAATTAAAATAACTAAATAGTTTCATTAAGATTAAAAAAATTATAAAATTTAAAATTTAAAACTAAATTAAAGTGTATAATTATATTTCCAAAAATGAAAATGACAAATTATGTGGGACAAGCGAAAATAGAAAATATGGACAAATTACGTGGGAATGAGGAAGTATATTAATTCTCTCATGTAATAGTTCTTGCTAAAAAGAGCACAAAATTTCCTCTCATAATATGAATTACTACTCTTTGATCACTTATATTGTCCCAAACATTTGTATTTTAAAAATATAAATAATATCACTCACATAAAAAACTTATAAAATGATACTCCCTCCGTCCCGAAACTATAATCTTTGTTATGTTGGGCATGAGATTTAAGGAATGTTGACATTATATTGATAATAGGTAAAAAGTATAGGTAAGAAATATTTTTACCCTTGTGAGTGTATTAGTGTAAAAAATAGTGGCATTTGTGTAATAATAATGAAAGAGTAATGGTAGTTACATCGTGATATGATTATTTATGGAAATAAAACTATTGTTTTTGGACGGACAAAAATAGTAAATAAGACATTGTATTGAAACGAAAGGAGTATAATAATTTACTATCATTAACTTATTAACTTCATTTCCTTAAATACCATTTCACTAGTCAAATGCTTTGATATCGAATAAGTATTTAAATATATCCACTTAATACTCCATTCCTATATGAAAAACAATATGTTCATTTTATTTAGGTTAATTTGTTTAGTATTTTTATTTGAAGAATTTATTTGATATAAAATATAGAAAATTGTATTAATATTATAAAAAATAATATTTTATTTTGAATATTAATTTTGTGAAATGATAAAATATATATATATTAAAATTCGTGTCGAAAAGAAAATTGTGGACAAACAAACCATTTTGTTTCTTATTTTTGTTTGTCATTAAAAGATATAAGTGTTTTCTTTTTAGTTAAAATTATATTATTATTTTTTATTTTTTTATTATAAATGATACTCTCTCCGTCCCAGATATCACGTCCACGTTGCCGTTTCTGTCCATCCCATATACCATGCCACTTTCTTTTTTCGGAAAATGATTACACACTTTAATCTCATTTTATATTTTTAAATTTTATTTTTTTTAATTTTAATTAAACTAATTAAATATCTTAATCTTAATTTATAATTATTTATATTATAGGATAATTATTTTCACTAATACATTTTTAATTATCTACTAATTACACATCTCCTAAAATACTATATCTACAGTGTAGCAGACACGGTATCTCTGAGACGGAAGGAGTAAAAAATAACAAACGTATCCAACATATTAAAATATGTGTTCAACTATTTTGAGCAAAATTGCATATAATTTATTTATGGTTTGAAAAATCCGTATTATATATATAATTTTATTAGTTAGAAATTGCACAAGGCTTTCTATCAGTGTTTTGAAAAAAAATTGCATAAAATCTCTTAAAGATTGAATGAAACTTTCTTTGTATTTTTAAAAATATTACATAGAATTTTCTAAAAGAAAAATAAATTTGTACAGTATTTTTTAAAATATAATAGAGTCTCAAACAATTGTTAAATTATAAAGAAATTTGTGCAAATTTTTCAAATCACACGTGAATTATAATTAATTTTGACAATATTTTGAGTCTATTTTCGATGACGGGAGATGGTTATTTTTTAAAACACAAGAAAATTTCATTCAATTTATGGGTTATAAATATTTTTGTCAATATGTTGAGTCGATTTTTTTATGACGGGAGAAGATTGTTGATTTTTTCCAAAAGATATATATTTTTTATTTATAACATAAGAAATTCATACACACTTTATAATTTATACTATCTTCGCCCCGAATACAATGTCACAATTAATACGAGAATTTAGGAATAATTTATGAACGATATATTAGTAAATAATTTAAAATATATTAATAAAATTAATTACAATATACTATAAATATTTATTGATTAAAATCAAAAAATATAAATTAAAAAAATTAAAGTATGAGTAAAATGTGTAAACCTTTAATTTTTCAAATAATAATAATAATAATAATAATAATAATAATAATAATAACATAAAATATGATACTAATAAAAATAAAAAATATGATATAATATATGAAGGGGAGAGTATCATTTAATATTACATTTGTGTAATCTACAACTATTAATGCACTCAATTTATTCAATTTTCACGTTTTGTTTCTATTTTGTATTTTTGTCCTTAATTATTTGTCTTTTTTTTTTAATTTTATATTTTTAATTTTAATTAAATTATTTAGTTATCTTAATCTTAATTACTTACTAAAGATATTATATGTCTATACATCCATATGCGAGTATCATTTTTTTCCAGATATATAATTCTATTTTTTCAATTAAATAGTAAAAATTTCTTCCAATAAAAACATAATAGGTGTACTACGCTATCACGGAGGCGAGCGGCGGCGCGCTAGGATTCTCCGCCGGATCGTGCCCCACCGTCGGCGCAGGCGGCCACATCGCCGGCGGCGGATTCGGACTACTATCTCGGAAGCACGGCCTGGCGGCGGACAACGTGGTGGACGCGCATCTCGTCGTCGCCGGCGGCGCAGTCCTCGACCGCGCCGCCATGGGGGAGGAGGTCTTCTGGGCCATCCGCGGCGGCGGCGGCGGCGTCTGGGGAGTCGTCGCCGCCTGGAAAATCCGGCTACACCCCGTCCCGCCAACGGTCACCGCCTTCATCGCATCCCGACACGGCGGAGATCACGTGACCAATTTGGTGGACACGTGGCAGCACGTGGCGCCAAAATTACCCGACGAGTTTTACCTCTCGGTATTCGTCGGCGCCGGCTTGCCGGAATATCCGAATTCCGGCGGAATCTCGGCGACATTCAAAGGCTTCTTTTTAGGACCCAAATCACAAACCATCAAAACATTACAAAAATTCTTCCCACAGTTAAAAATCAAAATCGAAAACTGCCAAGAAATGACGTGGATCGAATCAATACTGTATTTTTCAGGTCTTAAAAACGGGACACAAATCGAAGGTCTAAAAGACAGATTCTTACACAACAAGAACTACTTCAAAGCAAAATCGGACTACGTAAGAAACCCGATAACCCGACAAGGAATTCGGACCCTAATCGGGGCCCTGGAGAAGCAGCCAAAAGGGTATGTAATTATGGATCCGTACGGGGGCAAAATGGGAAGAATAAAAAAAGATTCCATAGCCTTTCCACATAGGGAAGGGAATCTTTTTACAGTGCAGTATTTGGTGGATTGGGAGGAGGACGAGGATGTGAGAAGGGAGGAGTATATGGAGTGGATAAGGGGAGTGTACGGTGAGATGGAGGGACACGTGTCGGCAGATCCGAGGGCGGCGTATGTGAACTACGTGGACTATGATCTGGGAGTGATGGGGGATGGACACGTGGACGGTGGAGATGAGGTGGAGAGGGCTAGGGTTTGGGGGGAGAAGTATTTTTTGGAGAATTATGAAAGGCTGGTTAGGGCAAAGACTATGATTGATCCTATGAATGTTTTTAGGAATCAGCAAGGGATTCCTCCTTTAGGGGAATCAGCAAGGGCAGTTATGTAATAGTTGTGGATTTTGTCCCTTTTATTTTATTTTATAAATATATATAGAACCGGATTTGAATAGGGTTGAGCATTGGTTGATTTAAATCGAAAAAATCAAAATTTTTTTTCGGTTCGGACTCTTTGGTTTCGATTGTTTGGTTAATTAGTTTGATTCGGTTCAAAATCGACTTTATAAATTTTAGTTTCGGTTCGTTTATGATTTTCAATTTTTTAACTTTGGTTAACCGAAAAAATCTAACTTATAAAAATAATAATAAATTATATATTAATAAATAAGATATATGATAATTTTGAGTATTTATATTTGATTGTATATTAAAAATATATATATATAAATAAAATTTTGGTTTCTTCGGTTTTAAAAAACTTTAGTTCGATTTCGATTTCAATTTTTATAAACCAATAACCGGTTAAAATTGAAAGTTCGGTTTGGTTTGAACTGAGCCGACCGAATGCACATCCCTATATTTGAGTGTTAATTAGGATTAATCAGTATGATACTTCCTCCGTCCCAGATATGGTGTCTCTTTTACTAAAAATATAATTAATTAATAATTAATAATATGTTAGTGAAAATAATTATACTCCCTCCGTCCCATTGAAATATTACAATTTTCCATTTTCGTACTCCCAAAATAAAGTTATTCTTAATTTAGTAATTGTACTACTTATTTAACATAATAAATACCCTTTCAACTTACAATATATTACACAAATATCATTACTTATGTATTACACCATACTAATAGGGGTATTTTTATCTTTTTTACTACAATCCAATATAATACTAATATAAAAAATCTACGTGCAAAAAACAAACGCCACCCTTTCAACGGGACGGAGGGAGTAATTTAATAAAAATAATTTTAAATTAAGATAAAATAACTAATTAATATAATTAAAAAAAAATTAAAAAATTAAAATTAAATTTTTAAAATTAGATGAAAATGTATAATACTTTTCCAAAAAAGAAAAATGACCAAATAAGTTGAACAGACAAAAATGAAAATGTAGACATAGTAAGTGAAACGGAGGGATTATTGATTAAATCTAATAAGGAATTACAAAATTAACAGACATTATGATTGTGTTTGATTAGTGTATTTTTGAATGAATGTGTTTTCCTGTTAAATATAAGCCGCAGCAGAATCAGAACAAGAATAAAAGGAGAGCTAAATTTTATTTTTCGAAAATTCAATATATTGAAAAATCGGTATGATAAATGCATATATTGATACCGTACCAAAATTTTGATACTGTATTTATATATAGCATTTAATATCCAAATACTAAAATTTAAAATATTAATTTTAGCGTCAATATATTAAATTATTTATATATATATATATAAATATACTGAAAATATTGCACAAAAATTTAATATGATATTATAACACACCAAAAATTTTGATATACTCAACTAAAATTTCAGTACTTTTTTAAATAAACTTTTTTGGTACAAAAGAATATTTATATATCAAAATTTTTAATTTTTTTTAAGTGTATATAATTTTAAAATTATATAAATTAAAATAAAAATAAAGGGTGAGATGGGGTGGGGGGGACTGGAGCCCCTCTTGCCCCGCGTAGTTCCGCCATTGAGTATGAGAAATTGTATCGTTGGTATTAAAAATAATATTTATATCAAATTATTAAAGATTGTGAGTGAATATAATACTTCATCCGTCTTTTTTTAAAGGAGCCCTCTCAGGTTTTATAGTCGACTAAGGGTGTGTTTGTTTGAAGGATTTCCACTATTCATCCAATTTTTTTCCCTCAAAAACATCAAATCAAACATCTATTTTTTATTTTTTATATTATACTAAAAATCAATTTTACATTCAAAACATCACATCAAACCCTATTTATATCACATCATACAACTATTCAAATTCAAAATTTTTACTATTCAAATCCCAATCCAAAATCCAAACCCCAAAACAAACACACCCTAAGAAATTTTATGAGTGAATATAATATACTCTATTTTGCAGTAGGTTAAGACATAATACTTTATTGATTAATGAAAGTGTGTAAGAGATTTTGATATTTTTTTTCATTTTGACTTTTTGTATAAAGTAATTGTATGTGTAATAGTATGTTCGTAATTTAAGTAAAAGTTAAGAGTATTTTAGTATTAATGTATATTAATTTTTCTAGAAATATAAAATTAATACTTTAAAATAGAACATACATAAATGATAAAAAATTGTATTTTGAATTGGTACGGAGGGAATATATATTATACTTTTTTTATACTCCCTCCGTCCCAATACAATAGTCTTGTTTATCATTTTTGTCCGTCCCAAAACAATAGTCTCATTTCCATAAATATTCATATCACTATAAAATTATCTTTACTTTTTTCATTATTATTACACAAATATCATTACTTTTTACAGTAATACACTCACAATGACAAAAAAAGTCTTTTGCTCATATTTTTTTACAAACTATCAATATTTCTTAAATTTCGGACCCAACTCAAATAAGACCATAGTTTTGAAACAGAGGGAGTAATATTTATAAGAGATTATCCCACTTAAAAAAATAAATTAGATGAACAAACACTAGATTTAACGTTCAATTAAAACAATATATTTTGTAAAATTATTTGATATAAACTCACACTTTGGGAGTATGTTGTTTCTCTATTAAGGTGTATAGAATATTAGCACTATATTGTTAGTTTATACTCCCTCTGTCGAGGGTCATATTTCTTTTTTGTATTATTGTACTTAATATTAAAAATATTTTTATATTTTTATAATTTTTTTGTACAAATATCCTTCTGTTAGTATTATAAAACACTAATGAAAATATTTTTGCAATTTTTTCTTAATTTGTATAACGTTTTGATATAATAATTAATATTCAAATATGAACATACAAAAAGTAAATGAGACCGTTAAAACCTGGTAGAGGTAATATATTACACTTATATCATGTTAATGCATGTTTTGTATTGTTTATTTATATTTTATGTGCTTGCAAGTTATATAATCCATGTTTTGTTGGTATGCATTCATCTCTCTATATCATTTTTTTTAATTTGTGTAATGTTAAAAGATGATGTTTTATTTCTATTTATATTTATTTTTAGTTTTTTACATTAAATAGTTATTAAAATAATATTTTATGAAAATTTTAAATATGTTTTTAGAAGAAAAATAGTAAGAATGATGAATTCTTATTTTTATTTTTTTAAAAAAAATAGAAGGACATAGCCAAAATAATAATAATGTCAAATAGAATGTTAAGTAGGCATTCCACAAAAATTTTACGGAATAAATAAAATATAAAATATTTTATATATTTTTACTAAATACAAAAGTGTGTTTGTTTAATTATGATAATGTACCAAGTGCTATATTGTATTTAGTAAAAATGTATATAATATTTTGTATTCGTGAATTTTTTTTTGTATTATATTAAAGTATGAATAAAATATCTATATTATCCAAAATTATGCTTGATTGGAAATATATAACTAATTATTCAAGTTTTATACAAATGAAAATGGTAAAATATTTTAAATAATATGTTTTTTTAATGAAATACAACTAAATAATTTATCAATCATTCACTTAATACTTTTTCTAAGACAGACTTACTCATTCCGTCCAACTAGAAAGTATACATATTTCTATTTTGGAACGTCCAATTACAAAGTAAATATTTCATTAAATACTTCACATTTTTTCCAAAAATATCATTACTTTACATCACATCATTACTTTTACACCAAAACAGCAACGACAAAAATCTACTTTTAACAACCAACTATAATTAAAATAGTATTATTTCTTAAATACCGTGTTAAAAGTAAGTGTACACTTTGTATGTGGACAGGGGGAGTATTATTTTTTAATTTTTTTTTTTAAAAAAACCTATAAAAGAAAATATTAATAATTTATTTATTTATTCAAATAACACTATTTAAGATATTTTACCTATTTTATTTATATAAACTTTGCATAATTACTTACACATTTACAATTTATTTTGTGTATACTTTAATTTAACACCAGGGGTTTCACATAATAAATAGAATAAACTGTTTTTTTAGTCTCGTAACTGGACTTCTTTATCATTTCAGTCCTGTAAGTGGAACCTGTCGCAAAATAGTCCCATAATTGAAAATTTTTCGCTGTTTTAGTCCTCCGGCGCCGGAGACGCCCGTGTGGCACACCGGAGGTGACGTGTCCGCCAGGTGTCCCGCCAGGTCAACGACACCGGGCGGACACGTGGATTTTTTCATTTTTTTTAATTTTTTTAATTGAACCAAATAAAAAAAATTAAAAAAAAATACAAAGAAAATTTAAAATAAATTAAAAATAAGTTTTAAAAAAATTTTAAAAAATAAAAATAAAAATAAAAAATCCACGTGTCCGCCAGGTCAGCGACACCTGGCAGACATGTCACCTCCGGTGAGCCACGCGGGCATCTCCGGCGCCGGAGGACTAAAACAGCGAAAATTTTTCACTTATGGGACTAGTTTGCGACAGGCTCTACTTACGGGACTAAAATGATAAAGGGGTCCAATTACGGGATTAAAAAAACAGTTTACCCTAATAAATAAATACTACTCCCTCCGTCCCATATATCGTGTGTGCTATACTGTAAACACGGTATTTTAGGAGGGATGTAATTAGTAGATAATCAAGAATATATTAGTGAAAATAATTATCCTATTATATAAATAAATATAAATTAAAATTAAGATAACTAATTAGTTTAATTAAAATTAAAAAAATAAATTAAAAAGTTTAAAATGAGATTAAAGTGTATAATCATTTTCCAAAAAAAGAAAGTGACGTGGAATGTGTGACGGACAGAAACGGCAACGTGGACATGGTATATGGGACAAAGGGAGTATAAAATAATTTTATACATTCATACAAAAATGTAATAGGGTATTATGCAATTTATATTTATTATTTCATCTGTCTACTTAAAAAGTATACATATTTATATTTTGAGCTATCCAATTATAAAATAACTATTTCAAAAATACCCTATTTTTTTCTACAGAATACTTATACTTTATCATTACATTATTACTTTTATACTTAAAAATAATGGCAAAATCTTACCAAGTAATGTGTTTGTTTTGTATTTTGATATGAAGGATTTTTTTTTTTATTTCTTTTTAACGTAGGTAAAAAAAAAAAGTATAGATAATATAAAAATAATGAGTGTGTGTAATATATTAATTTTTTGTAATGCAATTTTTAAAAATACGTCTATTGGTTTGAGACCGAGAAAGTATAAATTTGACCGGTGAAAAAATATTTAATCAAAGAAAACCTTTGTTTTATTGACCATCATTATTTTTATGGTATAATTCGTATAAATATAATTGTTACGTACGAAATTTAGAATTAGGTTAAAAGCCCAAGGTAAAAAGAAGAATGGGCCTGGCAATAGAGTTGATTGAACTGACTGAAGGGCACCATGAGGAAATCAAGGAAAATAGGTTTATTACTAAGGAAAGTCCTCAGGTCGGGAGGTCCTCAAGACGGAAAGTCATTAGGACGGAAGGACCTCAGGTCGGTAGGTCCTCAAGACGGAAGGACCTCAGGTCGGAAGGTCTTCAGGACGGGAGGTCCTCAAGACGGAAAGTCATCAGGACGGAAGGACCTCAGGTCGGTAGGTCCTCAAGACGGAAAAACCTCAAGTCGGAAGGTTTTCAGGTCGGGAGGTCCTCAAGACGGAAAGACCTCAAGTCGGAAGGTTTTCAGGTCGGGAAGTCCTCAAGACGGAAAGTCATCAGGACGGAAGGACTTCAGGTCGGTAGGTCCTCAAGACGGAAAGACCTCAAGTCGGAAGGTTTTCAGGTCGGGAAGTCCTCAAGGCGGAAAGACCTCAAGTCGGAAGGTTTTCAGGTCGGGAAGTCCTCAAGGCGGAAAGACCTCAAGCCAGATGGTTCGCAAGTCGGGAGGATTGGCAGTCGGACCCATACTATTGTAGATTGGCAGTCGGGCCAAAAGAGCGGAAGGTCTGTGGTCGGCTCAAAGAGTGAAATATAGGGATAATTTTGGTCTGCTGGGGACGCGTGTCAGCATGAGAAGGGTTGGAAGACGGTTGGGAAGGAGACGTTGTAACCGTTCGGGTGACGGTTTTCGGTACGGTTTCCCAGAGAATATTTAAAGGCTTGGATAATCATTGGGCAAGGTATCTTCAATCAACTTCAACAAAGCAAAGTCAGATTTGGGGATCACCACTTTAAATTTCAGTCTTTTATTTTCCAGTTTATTTTCTGTACCATACAGTGTTTAGAGATTCCTAATCTCAGGCACTAATTAATCAAGTTTAAGGATATTTTCTATATCTTTGAATTTTACTTTATTTTTGTTGAAAAATTACATCAACAAATTGGCGACCACAGTGGGAGCAAGACAAAATTGCTCATTCCAATTCCGGCGATAATTTCATACGTCTTAGATCCGGCCGAATCATCGGAAGGGTCCATATGGCAGGTTCACAACCGCAATCATCTTCGGCACCGGTGGGAGAATCCGTTCCACCACCCATTGTGCCAAATGCCGGGGAAATCCCACAACCACCAACTGATTGGTGGTCTTATGTTCAACAGATGAACAACCAGCATACTTTGGTTATGCAGAATATGTTGCGTGAGCAACAAACGAACATGTTGCGTGAGCAACAGAGTCTGATGCAGAACATGATAGATCAAGCATTGTCAAGGGTTAGTCTTCAACCCACTCAAACGCCACCAGGAGTGTCACCGTCCCGACCACAGGCAAATTTCGCAGGGCCATCATTCGTGGATAGTACATTCCCAAGTGCCACAAATCCCAACCGAACGGATAGGGGAAAATCTCCTTTGACTTTTCCCAACAATGTTCCACTGGGACCAAGGGTTACCAATCCGCAGCCAAACAATACAAGGGAGGATAGGCCTGAAGGATATATACATGATCCTATTCATATTCCTGTGCCGGATCCGTTCCATGTTCCTGATCATCAACGCTTTCATGTAGATCCTGATGAGATTGCACACATATTAAGGGATCAGTATGGATTAACTCCTCAGATGGCTAACCGCCCTGCATATCAGAGACCTTTCCCAGAAAGGATCATTAATGAACACCCTCTCCCAAGGAATTTTCGACCACCCGATTTTCATGCATTCTCAGGGGAGGACGGATCTTCCACCATAGAACATGTTGGTCGGTTCACAGCACAATTAGGAGAAGTTGGCAATAACCCTTTTTATAAGTTACAGCTGTTTGGTTTATCTCTTACTAGAACGGCGTTTTCGTGGTTTGTAAGTCTGCCTCCTGGACAAATTCAGACATGGGAAGGACTGGAGATGGCATTTCACGCTAGATTCTTCAATCCTTTACCAGTTGTTTCTTTAACTGATTTACTAGAATTGAGACAGTTTCCAGAAGAATCTGCTTCACAGTTTATAGAAAGGGTGCGATTGATGAAAGGACGATGTCCTACGGTAATCAGTGAGAAAGAGATGACCAATTTAGTGGTCCGGAATATGCATACTCGTTTAAGAAAGGCACTCACTGCCCTGGATGTGGAGGATTTGGCAAGTCTTGCATCCAAGGCAGGACGTTTAGAGTCTTTGTTCAGAGAGGAAGATCAGCATAACAGGCGTAATAGAGGCCAACATATGGCGAGTATGGGAACAGAAACATGTGACTTTGATTTTAATCAGTCAGAAGAGATGGCAGCCGAAATCCTTTCTGGAAAACCTTATGTATGCCCTAAATTGAAGCCAGTACCAGGATCTGAAGGAAAGGAGCAACCGACTTTTGATAGTTCGAAAGCTGATGAAATCTTTGATATCCTACTGACTGATGGGCAGATCCGTATTCCAAAGGGGCAAAGATTGGCCACTAAAGAAGAAATCAAAGGGAGACCATATTGTAAGTGGCATAATTCTTTCACACACAATACAAGTCAGTGTACTCATTTCAGGAAGGAAATTCAAAAGGCCATCAAGACAGGTCGGCTCAAATACATCACTCTAGGTGTAGACCAGCAACCGTTTCCGAAAGTAACAACTGCAATGGTTGACATCCAACCAAGTTCGGAAACAAGGAAAAGTTCGGCCAATGATGGACAAACAGGGGAACGAACTCAGGCAAGCCCCGGAACAAAGAAAGGAAATCAGCCAAAAAGCAGCCGACCTGAAGAACGACTCAAAGTTTGTGAGAAACCAGTCGCTGAAAAATGGGACCATCCAGACGGTTCTTTTAACGTGGAGGTGAAAGAAAAGGTTTTAGTGCGTGACCACCCGACCAGAAAAACAGGGTCAGTCGGGAACAATTGGGCTCGAAATAAAAAGCCTTTACCAGTTGATATAGATCCTCGTTTCCCAGGTATGAATCGTACACAGATTCGCAATGCCAAACGCAGGTATGCTGCAAAGTATGGGAAACGAGTTCCTTCAGCAAAACAACTAACCGACGAACAAAAAGCAGCCGACCATTTGGCAGGAGATCAGTCCATTCGGGTCTTTACAGAACAAACGACCAACGAGCAGGGAGCAGCCATTCAGTCTCCAATTGGTCGGTCCAGTCGGGTCTGGTCAGGAAAGCAACCGAATGACGGATTAGGCGCTTCCGACCATACCAAAAGAAGTTCGTCGGGACAGGGGAAAGGTAAAGGAATGGCAGATGAAATAATTAAAGGTTTTAGATGCCAACATTGTGAACGGATCAACATCAATCCATCTCTTGAAGATTTCCGTATAGAATCTTTGACGCTTCAACCTCAGAACAAGACGAAGGAAGAAGTTCTAACTACAGAGGAAAGTTCAAGATCTGTTAAATCTCGTCTGGGACCACGAATCCCTTGTCGAATGACAGAGATTAATCAGATGAGAGATGAACCGATATGGGCGAGTCTGGTAGATGATACTATGGACGAACCGTTATGGGCATTCTTGGCAGATGATGAATTAGAGGAAACAGAGTGGGCAAAGACTTCAGATTCTGAGCCTCAGCCGGAGCCACCTTCGATTGTGTTTCCTCCTATTCCAGAGGGTGCGATCTCCCATTTGAAGCCTCTGTATGTTAATGCTCATATTTGTGGGAAACCAATCACAAAGGTTTTCGTGGATAACGGAGCAGTTTTTAATGTTATGCCATTGAAGACTCTCAAGAAGCTAGGGAAAGGAATTCATGATTTGTCTCCTGTGGAATTCGAAATGACAAGTTTTACAGGGCAGCCGACTAAGCCTGAGGGCATGATGGTTGCCACAATCGAGGTCGGACCAAAGAAGATCTCCACTGTTTTCTTTATTGTGGACGCAGATACTACATACTCTCTCTTGCTGGGAAGAGACTGGATTATGCCTCTCAATGTGTGCCTTCAACCCTGCACCAACAATTAATGTTCTGGGAAGGAAATCAGGTCTTCAAAATGGAAGCGAATGACAACCCATTCGATGTATCAGAACAAGTTGAAGAGTCAGTGTTTTATTCCAGTCATTTGGCTCCGATGTCTCAGTTGTATATGGCCAGGGAATACCCAAACAAGGGTTATAAAGTTACTGGCCAGAACTCGATGTTCTATTAAAAGAACACCTTTATTGTATGGCTCATGATAAAGCCACACCCATTCCCATATAATTTGTTTGTTATGGATGATACAAGCTTAGAAGTATGTAGTTCTCTTATTAATAAGTTCTATTTAAAGCAGTTATTACATAAAGCAGAAAATAGTAAAGAGATTCTGGATGTTCACCTCCAAGAAGATGAACAATTTCGTTGGCCCGACCTATTAGAAAAAACAGAACCAACAGCTTCATCACAAGACCCATTATTGGAGTTTAATTTAGGAACCGAATTGGTTCCAAAAGTGATCAGGTTAAGTGGTTATTTGTCTAAAGAGCAACAAACAATGATGCTCGAAGTTATTAGAAACAACATTGATTGTTTAGCATGGGATTATTCAGAGATGCCTGGTTTGACAAGAAGTCTAATAGAGCATCGATTGCCTATCAAAGAAGGTTGTAAACCTTACAAACAACCTCCAAGGCGAATGAGCCCGGATCTAATGCCTCAAATCAAGGAAGAAATCCAAAAACTTCTCAAAGTGGGTTTTATTCAGCCTTGCCGTTATGCGGAGTGGCTGGCTAATATTGTGCCAGTGGTCAAGAAAAATGGTAAGATTAGGATATGCATCGATTTCAGGGATTTGAATCTAGCTACCCCTAAGGATGAATATGTGATGCCTATGGCCGACATGTTGATAGATGCAGCAGCAGGGCATAAAATCCTTAGTCTGATGGATGGTTATGCAGGTTATAACCAAATATTTCTGGCAGAAGAAGACATTCCTAAGACAGCATTCAGGTGCCCAGGGGCTTTAGGTATTTATGAATGGACAGTCATGCCATTCGGGTTAAAGAATGCAGGGGCAACTTACCAAAGAGCCATGAATTCAATCTTTCATGATTTAATTGGCAGATCTATGGAAGTGTATATTGATGATGTTATTGTTAAATCTGCCAGTTTTGATGAACATTTGAGAAATCTTGAAGAGGCATTCGAAAGAATGAAGAAGTACAAGTTGAAGATGAATCCAACCAAATGTGCTTTTGGAATATCAGCCGGGAGCTTTTTAGGATTTTTAGTTCATGAGAGAGGAATTGAAATTGATGCCAACAAGGCTAAAGCCATTCTTGATAGTCGGCCACCCAAGACGATTAAAGAAATCCAAAGTCTTTTGGGTAAGGTGAACTATTTGAGGCGTTTCATTTCTAATGCTGCTGGCAAGGTCAGACCCATCACTAAATTGTTGAAAGCTGGAAAAAATGTTTTTGAATGGGGTCCCGATCAACAGATGGCTTTAGATGCTATCAAGCAGGCATTGGTTCACCCTCCAGTCTTGATGCCTCCTAAACAAGGTCGGCCACTCAAACTTTATTTGGCAAATACATATGAAGTGGTTAGCTGTTTATTGGCACAGGATGGTGATGACGGGAAGGAAAGGGCAATCTACTATCTCAGTAAAACCCTTACAGGACCAGAACTGAATTACTTATGCCAGAAAAAATGTGTTATTCATTGGTCTTCGCTTGTACTAAACTTGAGCATTATTTGCTGCCCAGAAGAATTGAGGTCATATCTAAGGTGGATCTCATC